TGTCTGATAATTTCTGTGTACAATAGAGGAGTTTTCATGATGAGGAAGAAAGCAGATGTCAGATCATGTTACTGTCACGGTTTTATGTGATAATTATCCCACTTTGACTGGTTGTCTTAGAAAAATAAATTAATTCAAACTTCTAAATAAGTAAGGAATTTTATGATTCAAATGTAGTCATCTGTTATTGTGGGCAATGCAATAAATATTATATATATATATATATATATATATATATATATATATATATATATATATATATATATATATATATATATTATATATAACTTTGTTTAAATGAAAAATGAAGTAGAGTTGTGCTTGTTATTGGTATTTTAAATGCTCTCTCGTCTCCTCTCTCTTTCTCCTTGTGTCCTCTCTTCTTACCTCCTATCTCCTCGCTCTCCTCCTCTCTCCTCACATCCTCTCTCCTTGCCTTCCCTCTCCTCGCCTCCTCGGTCCTCACCTCCTATCTCCTCTCTTCCTCTCTCCTCACCTTGTCTCCTGTCTCTTTGTCTTCTCTCCTTGTCTCTTATCTCTGTTCCTCTCTCCACCGGCGGGTCAAAGCCTGATGCCCTCAGACCTCAGACGCTCAGCAGGTCTGGGCCTGGTCAGGACTTGGATGGGAGACACTGGGAAAATCAGGAGCCACAAGGAGGCACCAGTCACAAAAACATTCAGTCATTGTGTCCTTAGGCAAGACACTTCACCCACATTGCCTAGTAAGAAAGTGATATGTGTGTGTGAGAGTGATGGTGGTTGGAGGGACCGATGGCGCAGACTGGCATGGCAGCTGCACTTCCGTCAGTCTGCCTCAGGGCAACTGTGGCTACAACAGAATCTTACCACCGCTGAGTGTGGAGAAAAAGAAGAATGAATCTACAATGTTCTGTAAAGTGTCTTTGTGATATATGTCTGTGAAAAGTGCTATATAAAGAAAGACTTACTTACTTACTTACTCTCCTCCCTTCCTTTCTCCTTGTCTCCTCTCCCCTTACCTCCTCTCTCCTCTCTGCTCACCTCCTCTTTACTCTCTCCTTGTCTCCTCTCCCCTTACCTCCTCTCTCCTCTCTGCTCACCTCCTCTTTACTCTCTCCTTGTCTCTCTCCCCTTACCTCCTCTCTCCTCTCTGCTCACCTCCTCTTTACTCTCTCCTTGTCTCCTCTCCCCTTACCTCCTCTCTCCTCTCTCTGCTCACCTCCTCTTTACTCTCTCCTTGTCTCCTTCTCCCTTACCTCCTCTCCTCTCTGCTCACCTCCTCTTTACTCTCTCTTGTCTTCTCGCCTCCTCTCTCCTCTCTGCTCACCTCCTCTTTACTCTCTGTCTCTCTCCCCTTACCTCCTCTCTCCTAACCTCCTCTTTACTCTCTCCTTGTCTCCTCTCCCCTTACCTCCTCTCTCCTCACCTCCTCTTTACTCTCTCCTTGTCTCCTCTCCCCTTACCTCCTCTCTCCTCACCTCCTCTTTACTCTCTCCTTGTCTCCTCTCCCCTTACCTCTTCTCTCCTCTCTCCTCACCTCCTCTTTACTCTCTCCTTGTCTCTCTCCCCTTACCTCCTCTCTGCCTCACCTCCTCCTCTCTGTCTCCCCTTACTCCTCTCTTCACCTCCTCTCTCTTTACTCTCTCCTTGTCTCCTCTCTCTTACCTCCTCTCTCTCTCCACCTCCTCTTTACTCTCTCCTTGTCTTCCTCTCTCCTCCTCTCTCCTCTCTGCTCACCTCCTCTTTACTCTCTCCTTGTCCTCTCCCCTTACCTCCTCTCTCCTCACCTCCTCTTTACTCTCTCTTGTCTCCTCTCCCCTTACCTCTCTCTCTCTGCTCACCTCCTCTTTACTCTCTCCTTGTCTCCTCTCCCCTTACCTCCTCTCTCCTCTCTGCTCACCTCCTCTTTACTCTCTCCTTGTCTCCTCTCCCCTTACCTCCTCTCTCCTCACCTCCTCTTTACTCTCTCCTTGTCTCCTCTCCCCTTACCTCCTCTCTCCTCTCTGCTCACCTCCTCTTTACTCTCTCCTTGTCTCCTCTCCCCTTACCTCCTCTCTCCTCACCTCCTCTTTACTCTCTCCTTGTCTCCTCTCCCCTTACCTCCTCTCTCCTCTCTGCTCACCTCCTCTTTACTCTCCTTGTCTCCTCTCCCCTTACCTCCTCTCTCCTCACCTCCTCTTTACTCTCTCCTTGTCTCCTCTCCCCTTACCTCCTCTCTCCTCACCTCCTCTTTACTCTCTCCTTGTCTCCTCTCTCCTTACCTCCTCTTCCTCTCTGCTCACCTCTCTTACTCTCCTTGTCTCCTCTCCCTTACCTCCTCTCTCCTCACCTCCTCTTTACTCTCTCTCCTTGTCTCCTCTCTCCCTTACCTCCTCTCTCCTCTCTGCTCACCTCCTCTTTACTCTCTCCTTGTCTCCTCTCCCCTTACCTCCTTCTCTCCTCTCTGCTCACCTCCTCTTTACTCTCTCCTTGTCTCCTCTCCCTTACCTTCCTCTCTCCTCTCTGCTCACCTCCTCTTTACTCTCTCCTTGTCTCCTCTCCCCTTACCTCCTCTCTCCTCACCTCCTCTTTACTCTCTCCTTGTCTCCTCTCCCCTTACCTCCTCTCTCCTCTCTGCTCACCTCCTCTTTACTCTCTCCTTGTCTCCTCTCTCCTTACCTCCTCTCTCCTCTCTGCTCACCTCCTCTTTACTCTCTCCTTGTCTTCTCGCCTCCTTCTCTCCTCTCTGCTCACCTCCTCTTTACTCTCCTTGTCTCCTCTCCCCTTACCTCCTCTCTCCTAACCTCCTCTTTACTCTCTCCTTGTCTCCTCTCCCCTTTACCTCTCCTCTCTCCTCACCTCCTTTTATCTCTCCTTATCTCCTCTCCCCTTCTCCTCTCTCCTCTCTGCTCACCTCCTCTTTACTCTCTCCTTGTCTCCTCTCCCCTTACCTCCTCTCCTCTCTCTCACCTCCTCTTTACTCTCTCCTTGTCTCCTCTCCCCTTACCTCCCTCTGCTCCTCCTCTTTACTCTCTCTCTCCCTCTGCCTACCTCCTCTCTCCTCTCTGCTCACCTCCTCTTTACTCTCTCCTTGTCTCCTCTCTCCTCTCTCTCTCTCTCCTCTCTGCCTCCTCTTTCTCTCTCTCCTTGTCTCCTCTCTCCTACCTCCTTCTCTCCTCTCTGCTCACCTCCTCTTTACTCTCTCCTTGTCTCCTCTCCCCTTACCTCCTCTCTCCTCACCTCCTCTTTACTCTCTCCTTGTCTCCTCTCCCCTTACCTCCTCTCTCCTCTCTGCTCTCCTCCTCTTACTCTCTCCTTGTCTTCTCCCTCTTACCTCCTCTCTCCTCTCTGCTCACCTCCTCTTTACTCTCTCCTTGTCTCCTCTCTCCTTACCTCCTCTCTCCTCTCTGCTCACCTCCTCTTTACTCTCTCCTTGTCTCCTCTCCCCTTACCTCCTCTCTCCTCACCTCCTCTTTACTTCTCCTTGTCTCCTCTCCCTTACCTCCTTCTCCTCTCTGCTCACCTCCTCTTTACTCTCTCCTTGTCTCCTCTCCCCTTTACCTCTCTCTCCTCACCTCCTCTTTACTCTCTCCTTGTCTCCTCTCTCCCTTACCTCCTCTCTCCTCTCTGCTCACCTCCTCTTTACTCCTCTTACTCTCTCCTTGTCTCCTCTCCCCTTACCTCCTCTCTCCTCTCTGCTCACCTCCTCTTTACTCTCTCCTTGTCTCCTCTCCCCTTACCTCCTCTCTCCTCTCTGCTCACCTCCTCTTTACACTCTCCTTGTCTCCTCTCTCCATACTTCCTCTCTCCTCTCTGCTCACCTCCTCTTTACTCTCTCCTTGTCTCCTCTCCCCTTACCTCCTCTCTCCTCACCTCCTCTTTACTCTCTCCTTGTCTCCTCACTCCATACCTCCTCTCTCCTCTCTGCTCACCTCCTCTTTTCTCTCTCCTTGTCTCCTCTCTCCATACCTCCTCTCTCCTCTCTGCTCACCTCCTCTTTACTCTCTCCTTGTCTCCTCTCTCCATACCTCCTCTCTCCTCTCTGCTCACCTCCTCTTTACTCTCTCCTTGTCTTCTCGCCTCCTTCTCTCCTCTCTGCTCACCTCCTCTTTACTCTCCTTGTCTCCTCTCCCCTTACCTCCTCTCTGCTCACCTCCTCTTTACTCTCTCCTTGTCTCCTCTCCCCTTACCTCCTCTCTCCTCACCTCCTCTTTACTCTCTCCTTGTCTCCTCTCCCCTTACCTCCTCTCTCCTCTCTGCTCACCTCTTTATTCTCTCCTTGTCTCCTCTCCCCTTACCTCCTCTCTCCTCTCTGCTCACCTCCTCTTTACTCTCTCCTTGTCTCCTCTCCCCTTACCTCCTCTCTCCTCTCTGCTCACCTCCTCTTTACTCTCTCCTTGTCTTCTCGCCTCCTCTCTCCTCAGACAGCGGCGTTGTCAGAAAGATGCCTCCTCTCTCTTCCCCTCCTTGTCTCTTATCTCCTCCTCTCCTCCCTTCCTTTATCCTTGTCTCCTCACTCCCCACCCCTATTTCCTCCCTCCTTACCTCCTCTTTCCTCTCTTCTCTCTCCTCGCCTCATCTCTCCTCCTCTTCTGCTCCTCTCCTTTCTCCTTGTCTCCTCTCTCCTCACCTCCTCTCTGCTCTCCCCTTTCCTCCTCCCCTTTCCTTGTCTCCTCATTTCCTCTTTCCTCTGCTCTCCTCCTCTCCTCCTTTCTTCTTGTCTCCTCACTCCTCACCCCTGTTTCCTCCCTCCTTACCTCCTCTGTCCTCTCCTCTCTCCTCGCCTCCTCTTCTCTCTGCTCCTCTCCTTTCTCCATGGCTCCTCTCTCCTTGTCTCCTCGTTTCCTCTCCTCTCTCCTCCCCTCCCCTCTCCTCCTTTTCTCCCTGCTCCCCTGCTTTCTCCTCTCTCCTCCCTTCCTTTCTCCTTGTCATCTCTCTCCTCCTCTCCCCTTGTCTCCTCGTTTCCTCTTTCCTCTCCTCTCTCCTCCTCTTCTCTCTGCTCCCCTCCTTTCTCCTCTCTTCTCGCCTCCCGTTTCCTTGTCTCCTCTCTTCCTCTTTCCTCTCCGCTCTCCTCTCTCCTTGTCTCCTCGTTTTCTCTTTCCTCTCCTCTCTCCTCGCCTCCTCTCTCCTTGCCTCCTCGTTCCCTCGTTTCCTCTCCTCTCTCCTCGCCTCCTCAGACAGGTGTGGTGCCGCCGCGCTGTGACGTCAGAAAGGTGCCTCCTCTCTCCTCGCCTCCTCTGCAGCCGGGCGAGGACACTTTGCTCACACACCAGTCTCTCCGGATCTGCTCCTCTTTTCTCTTCTAACCGCCCAAATGTCGCTCAAAACTCACCGATCCTTCACTTTTTTGGACTTTTTCTGCGTTTTCGCCACGTAATCACTTTCTGTTTCACTTCTGGACACGTACTGAACCAAACAACGTGATTTTAACCGGTAAGATTGACTTGTTTTGCTTGTTTTTAGGCGTTGATTTCACGTTTTTCCGGTTTACAAAGACTCTGGTTTAAATCTAGCATCAAAGTCTTAAAAAATATACCGGATTACTGCCATTATCGCGCAAAATAGCATGTCATTTCGCAGTTTAACGATCTAAAATTAACCAGACGCGAGCGTAAAATGGCGAAGAGCAGTTTAATGTTTGACCAAAGCCTCGGATGCGTCTGTGGGGCAGATTTATGGCGTGTTTTGTGTCGTTTTGTGGTTTGTTTTGGTTAAAGTTTGTCCAGGGAAAGTGTGTGGAAGGCGGTACAGAGCTGGAGCTGTCAGCGTGGCCAAGGACGACGTGTCTCTGCAAACGCCGCCTCCAACACACTGCGCACGGGCTGAAGAGAGGGGGCGCCGGGGACCGGGTTTAGACCGGGGGCCGGGTTTAGACCGGGTTTAGGCCGGGTTTAGGCCGGGTTTAGGAAAGTCCTGGTTTTGCCCTGGTTTTGCCCTGTCTTAGTCCTGATTTAGTTCTGGTTAAGCCCTGGTTTGGTCCTGGTTTAACCTTGATTTAGTCCTGGTTTAGTCCTAGTTTAGTCCAAGTTTAGTCATGGTTTACTCCTAGTTTAGTCCTTGTTTAGACCTACTTTAGTCGTAGTTTAGCCTTAGTTTAGTCCTGGTTTAGACCTGGTTTAGTCCTGGTTTAGACCTAGTTTAGTCCTGGTTTAGTCCTGGTTTAGACCTAGTTTATTCCTGGTTTAGACCTGGGTTAGACCTGGTTTAGTCCTGGTTTAGTTTCCAGTTTTTAGTCCTGGTTTAGTCCTGGTTTAGAGTCCTGGTTTTAGACCTGGTTTTAGTCCTGGTTTAGTCCTGGTTTAGACCTGGTTTAGTCCTGGTTTAGACCTAGTTTAGTTCTGGTTTAGTCCTGTTTTAGATAGACCTAGTTTAGTCATGGTTTAGCCCTGTCTTAGTCTTGGTTTAAACCTAGTTTAGTGGTTTAATCCTGGTTTAGTCCAGTTTTAGTCCTGGTTTAGACCTAGTTTAGACCTAGTTTAGTCCTCCTTAGTCCTGGTTTAGACCTGGTTTAGTCCTGGTTTAACCCTGTCTTAGTCCTGATTGAACCCTTGTTTAATTCTGATACAGTCCTGGTGTAGTCCTGGTATAGTCCTGGTATAGTCCTGGTATAGTCCTGGTATAGTCCTGGGTATAGTCCTAGTCCGGGTATAGTCCGGGTATAGTCCGGGTATAGTCCGGGTATAGTCCGGGTATAGTCCGGGTATAGTCCGGGTATAGTCCTGGCTTTAGACCAGAGTCTTTGCTGTATTTCCGTTGTGGTTTAGGTTTAATCCTCACTTCGTCAGGTGCTGCCATGTGATTCGTCGTTGTCGTCATGGGACCCTATTCCTCTTTCATTTTACACCAGCCCAGTAATTACAATTTAAAACACATCATTGTTAATATTGTAAAGGTGGATATGGTCACTTAAGACTAGTACTCAAGCAATTATCTCCTCTACTTACCTACTTCAAAAATAATAACATTACTCAAGTAGAAGAACAATGTAGTGGTCCAAAAATATAAATAAGAGTAAAAAGTTTTGGGAATTTGGGAAAGCTACTACTCAAGTTAGAGTAACTGTAAGAGTAACTTTGACGTAAATCTGATTTATTACTTGAAGTTAGTGTAATTAGAAAGACAAAACATTAAATAAGGCACAGAATCAGATTAATTGTATATAAAAATGAGACAAACTAAATCATATCTGAAGTATTGCTGAAACACAAAGGTTCAAATAATTTCATATTGTCACATACTGTAAAGTTTTGGTCACTTTAGACTTAGTCACAGTGGGAAGAGGAACTAAAACTTTTACTCAAGTAAGAGTACTGTTACATTGTACTATATATTTCTCAAAAGCATGGGGTCTGAAAACTTCTCCATTAAAGGTACACATTTTTAGATTTTTTAGAGGAAAGATTAGACACAATTTTAGACAATTGGACTTTTTGGATTTAATTTCTTAATGGAGCAGCTGCTCAGCTGTTGGACACAAAAACAAACACACTGTTGGCCTATGGACTGTGGCAAAACCCCATTTGGACAAAACACAGTAAAATAAGAACAACATAGTGTTGGACAGTGTCAAAATATATGTATATGTAAATGCTTGTATAATGTAATGTACATGTAAGTGCGTTTTGGGGTTGCCAAAACAAATAAACAAAAGATATGGGAAGGGAAGAGATAATATGTAAATGTAAATTTGATTTGACCGCCCTAAAACGTAAATACACACATGCAAACACTGCATTGAGAAAACTCCCCCCCCCCCAATACTGAAAAAATAAAATAATAATAATATATTTTTTAAAAAGTACACATTAAAGTACTCTTGACCAGTTTTTGCAGGGACCCATATTTTGAAAGTCACAAACATTTGCGACTCAAGTTAAAAGACTTTATTGGTAAATCACAAAATAAAGGTGGATTTGATTATTGAACATTAATGAGGATATTTTATTGTTGACTGAGTGATCGTGTCTCTGAACAATTAGTATGACTCAAGTTTGAAACAATGAAAAACAGTCACTGAAGCAGCAATAAAAGGATCCAGAAGTCGCCTATTTGGACATTAAATGTAGAATGTTTTTTTTTTTTTCTTTTCAACATTTAATTGAACCAGCAATATTGGAAGAAAATAGTCAATAAAATAATTACAAAAAGATTAGAAATGATATAAAACGTGGCAGAAGTGTATACTGCAGATCTACATGCAGATTGTGACAAGGTGACCGAAAAAAAAAAATCTTTTGCGACCCACCTGAGGGAAACGGTGCTCTTGACTGTATGTTCTAGCAGCAAGTGTGATATGTAATATGTACTGCACTATGACTTGGTCCTGAACACTGGTGCAACTCTCCAATGAGGTTCATTTAGGCATCCGAGATCTTTTTGCAGGCCAAGAGTTTGTTTTCATACCTGACAGGTTTAACTGCTAGTGGTCTTCTTCATTCAGAGTGGTCACTGGTCACATGATGTTGCTGTGACGTGTCCGGTCAGCTGATTTATAGATAAAGGAACACACACAGGAGCTAACGGACCACCTAAACACAATAGACAGAACTGGAAACATCCAATTCACACAGGAAGAAGACCAATACCTCTTATGGACATCGGAACATCCCACAGCCACAAACTCTCCTGTCGTAAGAACATTATTTCACAGAACCAACGTTATAACGGATGAACAAGACACAGGTCAAACAGGTCAGAGAGAAAGAAAAACAAAAATAAAACTGAACAAAGAGCGCAGGCATGGTAACATGACTGTACATCAGGGGCAGGACAGAAAAAGTGCAGAGGGCGGTGAGAAAACACAATATGAACACAGCAGTGAAACCAAACAGAAAACTCAGGCAAATACTCGTCCACCCGAAAGACAAAATAGAACTGTACCATAAATGTAATGTCATATACGAAATACCCTGCTTGTCCTGCAATAAAACACACATCGGGGAAACAGGGAGGGCATTCAGTCCATGAAAAAAGGAACATAGGACACAAAGTGAAAAGGAAATAGCAAAGAAAAAACTAAACACAAAGCAGAACAGGAACAGCTCAAATCGTCCATTTGTGACCAGTGTAAATGAGAGAAGCACATTAAGGACTGGGACAGAGCAAATATCACCGGGACAGAGGACAACAAACACCGTCACTGGATTAAAGAGGCAATCGAAAGTAGGGATGGGCATGATTAGTCAATTAATTGATAATTGATCATTAAGAATTTCATACATTATGTTCATTTTAATCAACAAACCAAATGTAGGTTGTTGTGCATAGCGTAGTGTGACCAAACAGGGTCTGTACATGTGTCTCTGCATCAGAAGGAGCGAGACACAAACAGTCGGTCAGTCTGCAACGTACTGAAGCACAAATGTATATTTAACGATGACTTGTACAAGAAATTCCACACTTTCCGTTGCGTTCGGGACAAGTGTGAGTCCATGTGCACAGTGTACAAAGCAGCACATATGTTTCTGTGTCCAGTGGGAAAAAGTTTTACCAGGTGAGAGTCGCTCAATGTCGATGACGATTCCCCACTTCCCTCCCCCCGTACGGTGTCCTGGTTTTGACAAACACAAATCTGGTCACACTAACCTGTATTCACCTGAGTCATGTCTTTTAATCTGACAGAAATTGACCACATCAGCAACACAAGAGCTGTAGTTTTATCTTCGCTGAATTTATGCAAATTAGTGATGTGGTTTTAAGTTTGGTTTCTGTGAGAGTTGCACAAAACTGAATTAAACACATTATAATGTTAAACGGGTTGATGTGGATCTAGAGTCGTTATGTTTATATGTTGTAAAGGTGAATGTATTTATGCAGATTAGTGCAGATAGTAATAATAATGATGATCATTTTAATATAAAAACGTTAATGATTAATCGATAATCGATCGTTAATTCTTCAAAAGTCGAAACTGTCAGGTATGAAAACAAACTCTTGGTCTGAAAAAAAAGACTAATAACATCAATTGGTGTAACAGGTTTGAGTGGCTGCTTTTGCCTCAGGCCTCTCTGTGAAAAATCCTCAAACAAACTCTGTGTTCCTCTGATCCTTCACTTCTGTCTTCACTCTCAGAGAATGTACAGGAACATAGGACAAAGCGGAGCGTGCGGGGGTGCTACAAATGTGTTCACAAAGAAGTACTGGATAGAGCTGCCAGTAGACATTTCAAGATTGCATTGGTTCGATTTCAGACCACTATAACAGATTTCCTATGAATTTGATCAGATTTTTTGTGTTTTGCTTTATTGTGTCTTTTTAAGTGGGTTTCAAAATTAATTTTCAACATAAACGATACAGAATAGTCACATTTCTTTCTCCAAAGTCTTGCATCTGTTCCAAACCACTTGCTTTTACTGACAGGACTGGCTTCATTAAAAAGACCCAAGCTGTTCATTAACCATTAGAAACTACTAAAATGTGTTCAGTTTCACAGCTCTAGTGGCCTGAGATCCAGAATATACTTCTTCAATACTTTATGATAATGTCACCGGTGAAATGGTGAAAAAAAGGACCTGAAAAACACAGAGGATTTCTGTAGAATCAGTGAACAAAGCACTAAACTCTGATTGGATGCTTGTGTTTGGCTGGTGTGACATAGTATTTTGACCCCCATAGTACACTGACCCTTACTTTTTTCTGTAGTAGTTACTTTTATGATCATTATTTCTCATGTAATTTACTTTTATTCTATATTGCTACATATTCACGATCTTTTATGGTATTTTAAGGAATGTTTTGATGGAGAACGACTTGGTATTTTGTGTAAATGTAACGTATTGTTAAATTTGCATATACAGAGCTATCTTGTCACTTTTTATATTCTTGTTATATTATATTGTTGTGGTTTTTAGTTTGCTATTTTCTGATAGTCCTTAATCATAATGTCAATTTAGGCAATGGTTTTTAAGAATAACGACCTTGAGTTTAGTCATGTTGTGTTACAATAAACATATTGGGGGTCAGATTACTATAGTCATAGGATTTTGACCTCCTTTATATATAATTGATCATTAAACTAACATGACTTCTTACTTTACATCATCATAACTATAATAAACATATTGGGGGGTCAGATTACTATAGTCATATGTATCCCCTATTTAACTACTCAATTAATCAGCCCTGTCTATTTTCCAAACAAGATTCCAAATAATTTTACATCACTTTGATTACATAACTAATTAATAATTACTTATCTCAATTTCAGTCAAACACGTGTTTAAACAACTAAGTCATTTTTAACATTCAAAAGTTATAATCGAAATAAAAAATGCATCTGAGATCTTCAAAAAAAAAAAACACTTCTAAATATGTCAATATGTTTTAATTTGCAGATACTGTATTAATATTCAAAGTTTTTCTATAGAATTCAAGTTCTTTATTATTAAAATATAGATTTCCATGGGGGGGTCAATATTCTATAGGGGGGGTCAACATAACCTAATAGGATTCTGACCCCGGGGTCAAAATACTGTATGATGTAACATAAATACATGTTTTAGATAGTGGCAGCCATTTATTGACTTTTTAAAAACCATCTAAACCACTCACCCACCCACCCCTTTTTTTCATATTATTATTATTATTTTTTTAATTTGTATTATTATTTGTATTATTTATTATTTTTATTATTTATTTATTATTTTTATTATTAATATTTATTATATATTGTTATTATTTATGTATTTATTAATTTTTATTCATATTTGTAGTAGCATATTTTTTATCGTTCTATTATTATTATTATTATTATATTGTATGACGCTACTCCTGTTTCCTGATTGATTTGTTTTTGTTAGTTAACTTTATTAGTTATGTTGTATCTGCATTAAAAAAAAAGTGTGTACATGTGTTGTTTGAATGACATATCTTTATCTGATTGCACATGAATAAAAACATATGAAACCGAAAATACTATATGCTGTGTAGACTCCGGGGTCACGTCACCGCGGGCTCAAAATCCTACACCACACCGGGCTTGAGATACAGCGGAGGGTGTGGAGACCAGACTCATATTAATCTGTATAAAAATACAAACATGTCAAAATGTGAACTGTATATTGATCATTTCATTTTTCATTTTCAGGTTAGTTCCTCGCTGCATGATGTCGTCTCGTCGACGGTCGGACCTGTGCCGGATCTGCGGAGGGGCGCTCCAGGGGAACCAGAGGCGATGGCTGTTCTCAGGAAACAAGAAGAACCAGAGCCTCACTCCTTCTGGGTCTGTGAAGGGTCAGAGCCAGTCCAACTGCAGCAGCCCCTGGGGTCAGTGTGAAGAGGAGAGGGCGGTGGGGTAGAGGGAAGGGATATCCACAAAACAGAACTAGACTGAATTTTTGCATCATCTCGAAAAGCGTAAACAAACATCAGTTATTTTTGTCAGACAGTAGTGCTGCTTTACATGTTTAGGACAATTCAAATAGGTTCCTCACAAACATCATGTGCATAGACTGTTTAAATGGACTAGGCAGTGCTGATCCACTGGTTCCATTATTGGCTAAGCTGATATCCTGCTCGGACTTTTAACTGGATGTGATAAGACTATTTACTGACTCATTTTGGCCTAGAATGTCTGATAATGTTTGAACTTTTATTTGTACAAAGCTGCTCTGTTCAGTAGTTATTGGAAGTATAAAGAACCATTGTATAACACACTTCTCTTGTGTAATAGATTTACTTTTAAGGAAATAAGTGCTATTTTCAGTTCATATTGGCTGATGCTTAATCCTTTGAGCCCGACAGTATCATATACGATACCTGGGGATATGTTTTACATAACCGTGGATAACTTTCCAACCATAAAAGATAGAAACTTAACTTTTTTCTCCTTTAAAAGCTGACAGTTGCAAGAGGATGCAGCTTTCTGAGCAGATTTCTGGCATGTTTCTGGCATTGTCCTACATCATAAGCACGCTGCGTGATGGCGCCGGGAAAACAAGTGTCCAATAGGAATTTTGTTTTCTGGTAAACTCATGCGCTCCATCCATTTTGATTGGGCCAAAGAGTGTAGAGAGTCAAAATGTTCGACTGCTCTGAGCGTCTGTGTTTGTAACAATTGAAAAAGTTGCTCTAAGTGCAGATGTCTCTCAAATAAATGGCAAATTACACATCTTGGTCTGTGTAATTGTGCATCCCTTGCTTTTTTTTTTTTTATTTGAAGGGTTTATTTCAGTCCAACTGTCCAAATGTAATAAAGCCCATGGAAATGCAGGAAGTGATGTGGCTCTGTGTCCTGGACCTGACACCAGCTGTTTCCACGACTGACACCAGGAAAGTCATGGGGCCATTGTACTTTTTTTGTTTGTTTGTTTTGAGGCAATAAGGATATGTTTAGTTCACTTACACACTTGATATTTTGCACTTTTGTAGCTAAGGCCCTAAATTAAACATTTTTTATATCCAAAAACTTGTTTATACATGTTTTCTGAGAAAGAGTATGAATTTTATTTTCCTTTTTTATGTTTTTTTATGTGTATTTCTTGTCCTATAACTTTTATTACCGCCATTTGACACAACTACAGCAGCAGATTGTGAAATAACAGGTTGTACTGAAAAATAGATGTATAACACTTCATTAGGGGGTAAAATGAGGAGTTTTAATAGCAAAATTAAGACAAAAATCAAGGGGAGGACAGATGTACTGAAATTGCCCTTAGGTCTTGGAGGGTTAAAGTCTAAATATTGATATTAGTATGGGAACTGAAAAGCTGGATTGGTGCATCCCTAAGATCAGAGGTGTCAAACTCATTTTGGTTCGGGGGTTTTATCCAACCTACTTTGATCCCAAAGTGTCCTGGATCAGAAAACTCATGTCATATAAACCCCAAAATAACAATAAGTTCAAATATTTGTGCAGAGAAACACAAATCTATTCCAGAAATCATTTTTTTAACTGATAAACTCTTTCTTTTACAAAGTATTATAATATTATGAACAACCTGAAACTTTAAGAAAAATGCAATTTCAACACAAAGTTTTAACATGAACTTGTATGTATTTCATAGAATTTAGTCATACTTTCTTTTTGCTCTTGAAACTTTGCATCTTTTAGCCTCTACAAGTGCATCAATATCAGGCACCATGTCCTGAGGAGCTGCTGTCGTCAGAATGTCATTCAAGTGCTTTGAGTGCAGCTTTGTTTTATTAATGTTCATACTGAGAAAACCTGCTCACAAATGTAGGTAGTACTGTAAATCTATTATTTCTAGTTGCATGTCTGTGGACACATCAGAGGCTTTGACTGTGAATTGTGTGCGAAAAATTTAAAATTCTGTCTTCAGGTTTTAAAATAAAATTAAAATATTTTAGTAGAAAATCAGCTGAGGGCCAGATCCAGCCCCTGCCTAAGATAGACTGCTATAGATGGATAGATAGCTGCAGTTTTCCAAAGAGGAAGTGGGCTCATGAGCTCAGAGCTCTGATTGCAATTGACTTGTATTGAAAAACCGTGGCCCCTCTCTCTGTAACTGCTGCTGTCTGGCCAGTCAGTCTGACCTTAAAATGTTCTTTTTTTACACACTCTACATGATCCTGGTGTTGAGAGTGAATGTCTGTCAGTCTGTGTCTTCATGTTTACCACCAGTGTTGTATTGTTCTTATACAAGTCTTTTCTCTCTCTCCTCAGGCAGCACTTTGTCCCTGGGCTCCTCCGCCTCTCTGCGATCCCAGTTATCCTCAAACATCTCCAAAAGCTTCGACATCCTCTCCATCCTCACGCACATCCTGGGCCGCTCCGTCTCCCGCGGCAACAGCGAGTTCATTTGCGGGAAGTGCGTCTCCGTCCTCGAGCGCGTTTTCAAATACGACACCGTGATCGCCCGAGTCCACGTCCTCTCCTCGGAGCGCCTCCAGAAACTCATACAGGAACGGGACAAAATCCGCCAATGGGTGCGCAACAGTTACACGGAGAAAAACCCGCACGAAATTCCAAGTCGGGGCAGTACGAGCGAAGAGGAGGGCGAGTCGGAGAAGGACGGATACAGGGAGATGCTTCGAGACAACATGGCGCTTTCAGAGTACGAATTCTGGTCGGAAAAGTGGGATACGTGCCCCTTTTTTATCCGCACGGGGAAAAGGTGTCAGAAAGGCAAAGGCTGCGAAGGATGCAACGCTTTGAGAGTTTCCGATTCGGATTACGAGTCGGTTTGCGGGATTCCGAGAAATTTGCCATTTCATGCGTTTTCTTCTTTAGCGTTTTCCAGGGATAAATCGCGAAGTATGCCTCTGGACTGGCAGAAAAGCCCGTCCGCCAGCTGCTCTAGTCCTGCGTCTCTGGCTGGGTCCACTCTCTCGCTACCGTCAAGAACTGAGTCGGTACAATCTCTGGACTCGCTAGACGGGAAAGATCCGTTTGATTCACCGCAGTTTGCCGCTGTAAATCTGCTGCTAAAGGAGATAAGTGACAGCCACGGGAACGCCCTCGTTTCTCCGGCTGGGAGTCGGATACCTGTTTTGGACAGAAGAGGAAGAGGAGGAAGAGCTGACGGCAGAGAACACAAAAACCTGGTGATTAATCGAGTTTTGGATTTTGAAAACGGAGAGAAAGAGGAAGAGGATATGCTGATGGAGCTCCGAGATGAGTTTGTGCCGCTACATGGACAGGTGAGCAATACATGGTCTAAAGAGGTTGGGGGTTAGACTCCTGATTAGGGATACACAATACTGATACTGGTATCTGATACTGAAATAATTGCTGGATCGAGTATCAGTTCGATAATAGTGGTTAAACTGATATCCTGGTTGCATCTTTAATTAGGTTTAATAACATTATTTACAGGCTGATTTTGCCCAAGAACTTTTCATAATGTTTGAACTTTTATTCATAGAAAGCTTTTCTGTGGTTATTTGAAGAATAAATAACAGTTCCAGAACACTTTGGATCACTTTGTGTTTTACAGTATACGAAAAAGGTATTTTCTGTATTTTTCGAACTATAAGTCACTCCGGAGTATAAGTCTCCCCGCCAAAAAACTAGGGGTGTGCAAAAATATCAAAATATTGATATATCGTATCGTTTAATGTAATGATACAGTATCAATAGCAGGGACCGCTGTATCGATATATCACCAAGTCTATTTTTTGGTATATTTTACTAAATTATTTTGTTACAGCTCTACAGTTTTGTTGCTTGTTCAGAGGCAAAAAAATAATTTAGATGACACATTTGACATTTTCACTGTTTTGATGATTAAAATGTTTGTGTTTCATATGAACTTTGCACAAGAAGTGGTTTAACAAACACTTTTAATATCACAGCCATGATTTAGCCATAATTTTTTAGTGAACGTATCGAATCGATTTGAAATATATCGTATCGAGCCAAAAAAAGCACTGTATCGAGATATGTATCATATCGTGGCCTTTGTATCGAGGTATGTATCGTATCGTGGCCTTTGTATCGAGGTATGTATCATATCTTGGCCTTTGTATCGAGGTATGTATCATATCGTGGCCTTTGTATCGAGGTATGTATCGTATCGGCAGCTTCATAATGATGCCCAGCCATACAAAAACACCGGACAATAAGTCAGATTTTTTGGGGGAAACTTATTTTATAAAATCAAAGACCAGGAACCGATATTTCCTGTTGAAAGTCAAGTTGTAGTAATAACAGTAAGAATAGAAAGAACAACAGAGAACAACAGACTGTTAACGTCACATATGAACAGTTCTTCAGATAAACTATAAGATAAACAACAGAACAGAACAAGTTTACCAAACTCTCCATCTCACTCCAAATCACTAAATCCATTCAATTCTTCATCCTCGGTGTCACTTCTGAGCAACTCCTCGACCTCCAGAGGTAAACAGAGCGCCGCTTCCTCTTCTGTGTCGCTGTCGTCAGACTCGGCATCAGTTCCAGTTAGAATTATTCTGGTCTTTCTGGCTTTGTCCATCCATCCATTGACTTCAGGAAAGTTTCATGGTGCATCCTCCCGGTGTCCCAAGTTTCTCTCTCACTCCAAACTTTCTTTCTGCTGCTCGATTACCTTTTTCAGATGCAGATTTCACGGCTTGCAGTTTGTAATCTGCAAAATCTGATTTTGTTTTTGGGGGCATTTGTGTTCAGTCTTCTCAGTCGTCTTTATAAGTTTGTTTAAATGTTCTATTTTCAGTGGTGCAGAAGTAATGGTGTGATTGACTGACATGACACAGACAGGACAGAGGCTCTTTCTGCAGGAGACATGTGCAGTAGAGTGAAGTGACAGTGATACAGGAGGAACAGGAGCAGCAGATACTCACACACAAGACTAGAGCCTCTCACCGCTGTCAGTGTGAACATTTTAATATACAAGTTGCACCAGAGAATAAGTCACAGGAAACACCCAAACTATGAAAAAAAGTCCGACTTATAATCCGAAAAATACAGTATTTAAAGCAACTAAAGTAACTTTAGTATTTCAACTGAAAAAGCTGGATTGGTGCATCCTATTGTCCTGAAGTGGTGTGTCATGTTTTTTTCTGTGACACTGTGGCAGAGTGGTTAGCCTGTCTCCTCTCAGTAAAGTATCGCCCTCTTACCACAATGAAGTTGCACTGTCTTTTCAAGTCTGTACCTGTTTAATCTGTTTGTCTATGGCCCAGTCTGCAGTGGTAATGACCGAGTGCTTGTCTAAGTAAATATTTATCTAGTCTGAGTTCCACCACAGCCTTAAACTTCTTCACACATCTTTAATAATAAACACTAAAACTCATAGCTCTTTGATAGCTCTGATACAAAAGGACCAAATGTGAATACTTGCTGTTATGTATTTTAGACCAGTGTTTCTCAGACTGTGGTGCGAGGCCTGTCCTATTGTGACCCTCTGGAGTTTACAGTTGTTTTGATTCAAACTGCTCAATGTATTTGTCCTCCTTTTGGTTAATTATTATTTAGAGCAAGCTGTCCTTTCCATGGCTTAGTATTCTCATTTGCAAGTTTGTTTTGTCATTTTTAGACCTGATAAAGTTTAGGTCTGGTGGTACTTGGAAAGCCAAATTAAGGATGCCAATACTGAAACGCAATCGCAAACCGGTTCATTTGATATCCCATATTGATCTATGAATTGGAAACTCGATAAACTGACAATGTTGGCCCAAAACCCCTTGTAATACTGACCTTGTGTTTTCTTTAGAGTTGTTCTGTACGTACTTTATATGATAAAAAACAGTTACAAAACACATTTGGATCATTGTTTACCATATGCTGTGTGCGTTTAAATGAAATAATATTGTGAGTCTCTGCCCTGGTATACTTTGATATCTGGTATCGGCAGATGATATCGACAACAGTATCAGAACAAAAAAGCTGGATTGGTGCATCCCTAAGCAAACTCATTTCATATAGATCATTTCTTGGTTCTTTTTTGAGGATGCAGATCTCCAGTTTATTTATAGAAATAAGTTAATCTGTAGTAGGGGTGGGCGATATCTCGATATTTTAAATATATCCAGATATTTTTAAAACTCGATAAGGATTCTGACATATCGTATATATCGATATAACGCTTATATTCAATTCTGATTTTGCCACTTTGCTTGTTTGCCTTCTCTGTGCGCGCCTCCGCCTCCCTGATTTTGCAGCTTGTGTCTCATGCACTACTGCCGCAAATGCCGAAAGTTGATGCCAGTGAAAAACTTCTAGCACCACGAACCTTTCACACCATTTACAGACAAGACCATCAGCAGCACATCCTCTGTCACAGAGAGAACACTCATATTCCACTGAGTCGTGTCCTTTAGCCCGACAGAAGCTGAACCACATGAGCAGCACAAGGAGTGAGCTGTTTATGCAAATGAGCCTTTTAAGCTTCGTTTCTGTTAAACGTAAACATGTGTCAAAACTGCATTAAACACATTATAATGTCAAATGGGCTGATGTGGCTCTAGAGTCGTTATGTTTATATGTTATAAAGTTTAGTCATGTAAAATGTATTTATACAGAAGATTTTAATGAATAATCTGCTGCAGTGTTAATTGTACAACAGTGTTTAGAATCGTTGGGTTTGATCTGCAGTGGATTGTGGGAAACCTCAGAGCTCCTTACTCTTGTGAGGAACATGGATCTGTTAAAATAATGAACCTCCCGAGCTTCTTCTGTTAAAAGAGCTCATGGTTATCGTACGGTTACAGAGTTAATGCAAAGATGAGCTTGAGCTGAGTTGTTTTATTTATGAATGAACAGAAGGCAATATGTATTTTTATTTTATTTTACAATTACATGATTATTTATGTAATTAAGGAATTTTTTGTAATCTTAAATGTGGCAGAAGCTCTTTGTTCGTACATGAACTGCCTCTTGCACTTCAATATACTTTAACATATTTGTTTTTGCAATAGTTTTGTAGGTTATTTTTCCTGTACACATATCGAGATATAGATCGTATATCAAAATATATCAAAATATATCAAGCTATATTTTTTGCGCCATATCGTCCAGCCCTAATCTGTAGTATCCGACAAACTAGGAAAATGTATTTTGACAAGTATAAACAAAAGTGTCAAAGTGAAATCTTATATAAACCAAATTTAAGAACTTATATTGTAATTAAAAACTGTTTTGGTCCTGAGCTGTATGTCACTCTGAACTTGAGCAGAGGTCAGAGGTCAGTATGTGTCCAGCTGAGGTGTGGGACTCTTCCTCTGGCTCTGGAGACAGGACGCTTCCACTCAGATCCTAGAGGACTGTTATATAAAGTGTCTTACTGTTTGTTTGCTGTGTCTGATGAGGAGAGATTGGAGTATTTGTTTAAATGTAATGTTTTCAAGCTGGCTCTGTTTGTGCTGAAAGCCTCTGTAAGAGGACACATGCATGACACTGAATAAGTAAAGTAAACTAAACTAAACTAAACTACACAGTGTAAAAAGTTTAAGAGCTGCTGTTTTAAACCAGTATTTTCTTCTTTGCTCCGTCTCTCTCCCTCTTCAGAATGGTGCTGGACGCCCTCATCAGGTGGTGAAGCTTCTCAGAGCTCAGCTGGACCAGGCCCGGACTCGGATCAAGACTCTGGAAGACCAGGTCCAAAACCAGGTCCAGGACGGGACTAAACCAGAGGCGCTCAATGGCTTTGCGGACTGGAACAATGTGAGTCTTAAATACTCAATTCTATGTAGTAGTATAAATGATCACTATCCAAGCATTGTGATTGTGATTGGATTTGCAATTTATGTTTTAAGAATAGGATTCTGCTCAAAGTTCACATTTTAAACACTTGAGAATTGACAAAGAATTGACAAAAACACTGAAAATCTGAACTGACAAACTAATACAAGAATCATATTTCAGAACATTGAGATGTAAACTCCAGGGTTAACATTTTTATTCAGAATAAGACTGGAGATTTTGTTGTTTATGGAGGAAATTATGATACTTCTAAAACTTAGACTTATTACAGACTTTATTAATTGTGTTCATTCAAATTGTGATTTCATTTTCTATTCATCTTACAGCCTTACTTTCACTCTCTTTAAAGTTCTGCACCCTCTAATCAGATCACATGCACTGTCAGTCTGATTGGCAGCTCAGGTTGTAATAGTTTTTACCACATTCTTGCAGCCGTAGAACCGGTTTAGGGCGAGTACATTTTTCAGGACAGCTGTGAGGTGTGGACAGAACACACACAGCTCTGTGTAACTGAACAAGGCTCCAGGCGTGCCCCAGGTTAAAAACTGTAAATATATGCCCTGGTAATGAGGTTATATCCAGACTCAGATACTGAAACTAGTATTAAAACTAGATACTCATTTGAACAAATAAGTACCAATACCAATAAAGTCACAATCACAGGACAGAAATTAACCTGTCCTGAATAGCTTTAAAGGGCCCATCTCATCCAAAATCAACTTTTCAGAGCTTTCTACCTTCTAAGAGTGATGTGTGGACCTTGTATATGTCGCCAAAGTGGTTTTTAGATTGATTTGGCCTTTTTTTTTTACCAAATTGCAGTGTATTTCTGCCACCCTCCCACGTGACAACGAACTAAAACTAAACGATGACGCGGCAGCTACACTTATGACGCGTTTGACGTAGCAGAAAACGCTTGGCACCCGACCCCCTCCGCTGCTCCACCGTCTGCGCCCCGCCTCCACCAGTGTACACCATATAATAAGTTGATCTACTAATGTTTATTAATACTTTACCAATCAGTAATGTTCATCTGATATGGATGCAGTGCTTGAGCTTCGTGCTCCTCAAAGTCCTCGTCCGATTCCGGGTCCAACACATGCGGCTGAACGCGCTGTATCTCTAACTTCTTAGGTTCTTTTTAAAGACAATGCAGTAAAGTGTATTTACCTTGTTGACATTACACAATTATTACGTTTCGTGGCCAAATCTACATATTTTCAGTACAACAGCATAATTTACAGTCAGAAAGAGGGGTTTGCAATGGGAGATCCACTATCAGCAATAATGAGCAGTTTTTTCATGGAGGACCTGGAACAAAAAGCATTCAACACCGCACCACCACAATGCCGTTTAACCTTTTGGAAACGCTACGTAGATGACATCCTGGAAAAAATACAGCAAGGACACATGCAAGAACTCACGGACCATCTCAACACACAAGACGACACAGGTAATATTCAATTCACACACGAGGAGGAGAAAGACGGAGCCATATCTTTTCTGGACATTAAAATCCACCACATCGCAGACGGCAGCATCAAAATGACTGTATACTGGAAACCTACACACACTGACCAATATTTACTCTGGACATCCCAACATCCCACTGCACACAAACTTTCAGTAGTAAGAACATTATTGGAACGGGCCACACCGACAGGGAGGAAGAGGAGAGACACATCATACAAGCACTCAAACAATGTCAATATCCCAGCTGGGCCATAAACAAAGGCAGACAACAAGTTATCAATAAAGCCAACAAACCCAGGAAAAAAATACAACAATCCAACACAGGGCAGCAGGACAAAAACATAGTCACACTACCGAACATCAGAGGAATAACCGAACCCATCCAGAGCCATGAAAAAACACAACATAAACACTGGAGTAAAACCAGACACAAAACTCCACCAACAACTCGCACACCCCAAGGACAAAATCCCACAAGAACAAAAATGCAATGCCATCTACGAAATCCAATGCAAATCATGCAATAAGTCATACATAGGGGAAACAGGCCGGGCATTTCACATCCGAAAAAAGGAACACCAAAAGGAATGCGAAAAGGAAACGTCAGGGAGACTCACCAGAACACAAAAAGATAAAACAGAACAGGAAAACCTAAAATCCACCATATCAGACACTGTAAAAGGAACAACCACATTCTGGATTGGGACGGGGCTCGGGTCATTGGATCGGAAAACAACAAGTTCAAACGCTGGATCAAGGAGGACGGTGAAATCAGGAAACGAGGCACGGACAGCATTAACCGTGATGACGGAGCGTTCCTCCTTTTCACACACCTGGGACACCCTCCTCCAGAGACACCGGGCGACGGGAGGCGTGGTCAGTCTGTGCGACCTGCCAGGTCCATCAGGTCTGACCACGTCTACAGGAAGTAACAACAGCTGATATACGACACGTCACCACCAACACCGGTGACAGTTCTGAAGATGCAGCAGCAGCCGAAACATGTCAACAAGGTAAATACACTTTACTGCATTGTCTTTAAAAAGAACCTAAGAAGTTAAAGTAGATAAGAAGACAAAATGAACATCATTGGCGCTGTATCTCCATGATGAATACAAGTTTATTCCTGCCGCTATCAGGGTGCACGTCTGTCTCCCCCTCCCTCCCTGAGATGGGCGGAGGAAGGGCGGCTCACTCGTCGCCTACGTCACGTTTGGAGGGCGGAGCGTGTGCTTTCTCAGGACGGGCGGGGGGATGAGCAATAGTCGGCCTTTCATAGTTCCTGGTCTGTGACTGTCTCCAAGCAATCAGTAAGATTTCATAACTATTGTGTAATGGATGTTCCAAAACCCAAATTGTGCTTGTTTATGTGCAGAAGATACAATGTGAAAAGAGTTATTTTGCATGAGATGGGCCCTTTAAGGCTCATTTATGCTCAATTTTCTTACATAAACAGATCTGTGCATTAAGTAGTCACTGTATTTATACTTCCAAATATTCCCTATGTCAAATATGTATCGTCCTTAAGAACCACAGGGCACACAGTCAGTTAGAGTTGACAAAAATGGACGAAATAGAGCAACAAATAGACAAAAATCTGGAGGTGAGAAAATGATTTATTAGTTTTGCAGCTGGTTCTAGTCACTTTTATAGCCACTTCTGCTGGAAGTAGGGATGGGCATGATTAGTTGATTAATCAATAATTGACCGTTAAGAATTTCATCGATTATGTTCATTTTTAATCGACAAACCGAATGTAGGTTGCTGTGCATAGCGTAGGGTGACCAAACATCCGTGTCCGGGGACAAATGGGGGTCCGTACATGTGTCTCTCTGCTCTCAGATGGAGCGAGACACAAACAGTCGGTCAGTCTGCAACATGCTGATGCCCAAATGTGTATTTAATGATGACTTGTACAAAAAATTCTACGCTTTCCATTACGGTCGGACCATGTGCACAGTGTACAAAGCAGCACATATGTTTCAGTGTCCAGTGGGAAAAAGTTCACCAGGACACTGAAAAACATGAAAAAGCTTTGCCAGGTGAGAGTCGTGCAATGTCGATGACGAGGCCCCACCCCCCAACCCCCGTACGCTGTCCTGGTTTTGATATATGCAAATATGGTCACACTAACCTGTATTCCACTGAGTCGTGTCCTTTAGTCTGACAGAAGTTGAACCGCATTAGCGCACAAGAGCGTTTTCTTTCTTTTCTCCTCTTAGTTTATGCAAATTTGCCATACGGTTTTAAGTTTTGTTTCTGTGAGTCTTGCACAAAGCTGCATTAAACACATTAGGGATGGGCATGATTAGTCAATTAATTGATAATTGATCATTAAGAATTTCATCAATTACGTTCATTTTAATCGACAAACCAAATGTGTGTTGCTGTGTGTAGTGTGACCAAACAGGTGTGTACATGTGTCTCTGCATCAGAAGGAGCGAGACACAAACAGTGGGTCAGTCTGTAACGAACCGAAGCACAAATGTGGATTTAACGATGATTTGTACAAGAAATTCCACACTTTCCGTTGCGTTCGGGACAAGTGTGAGTCCATGTGCACAGTGTATAAAGCAGCACATATGTTTCGGTGTCCAGTGGGAAAAAGTTTTGCCAGGTGAGAGTCGCGCAATGTCGATGATGAGTCCCATCCCTAGCTTGCATAAATGAGCCTTTAGAATGATCTTGAGCTGTATCAGAACAAACATAAAAGGAAAAATTTAGCTGTGAGCTTCAAAACTACCGCTTCATGACATCACAAGGTGGAACAGAGGATTTTGAGCTTTGGAGATGTAAACAGACTATTATTAAAAAGAGTTACTCAAGCATGTGGGAATGAAACAAAACACAACTCCAGGTCTGTTTTTGAGGAGGAAACAAGAGTCAGTTCTGCATGACAGGACCTTAACCTACCTCAAGGTGTCAAGATAAGGTACAAATTAAGATCTGTGTAGAAGAACATAAAGTATAATTATATCAGAAGACCTAATGAGCCTATTTGATCTATGAATAAATAACAAAAATATAAGAAAAGCCTGCGTCAGTCTGCTCCCGTCTCTGTACCTGTCACCTCTGTTGCTCTTGATTTGAGTTGTTTCTTATGTCGAAACTTGTGTCTCACTAAAGCGGTTTGACATTTACCCAGGCCCTGAATCCATCTGCAGCCCCGAGCTCTGTCTCATGATCAGATTCCTCTCTTCAACATTTGAGCTGGTTTGGATATGGAGGGAGAAGAGGAAAGAGAGAGAGAAAGAGGGAGAGAGAAGCGGGGAGAGAGAGGAGTAGGGAGAGAAAGAGGGAGACAGGGGGAGAAAGAGAGAAGCTGGGAGAAAGAGGGGGGAGAGAGAAGCACAAAGAGAGAGAGAGAGAAGCATGGAGAGGGAGAGGAGCAGGGGGAGAGAGAGAGAGAAAGAGGAGCAGGGAGAAAGAGCGGGAGAGAGAGAGAGAAGTGGAGAGAGGGAGAGAGAGAGAGAGGAGCTGGGTGAGAGCGAGAGAGAAGTGGAGAGAGGGGGAGAGAGTAGCAGGGAGAAAGAGAGAGAGAGAAGCACAGAGAAAGAGAGTGAAGCATGGAGAGGGAGAGGAGCAGGGGGAGAGAGAAAGACCAGCAGGGAGAAAGAGCGGGAGAGAGAGAGAGAGAGAGAGAGAGTGAAGTGGAGAGAGAGGAGCAGAGGTGAGAGAGAGAGAGACGTGGAGAGAGGGAGAGAGAGAGAGGAGCAGAGGGTGGGTGAGAGAGAGAGAGAGAAGTGGTTAGAAAGAGAGGGGGAGAGAGTAGCAGGGAGAAAGAGAGAAGCACAGAGAGAGAGAAGCATGGAGAGGGAGAGGAGCAGGGGAAGAGAGAGAGAGAGAGAAGTGGAGAGAGAGAGAGAGGAGCAGGGTGAGAGCGAGAGAGAAGTAGAGAGGGAGAGAGGAGCAGGGAGAGTGAGACAGACGGGAATGAGAGAGAGGAGCAGGAGGAGAAAAAGAGAGTGAGAGACGTGACGTAAAGAGCAAGTGGGGAAGGGGAGGAAGAGTGCAGGGAGAGAGAAGAGGAGGAGGAGGGAGAGCGACTCACGAACTGGAAAAGTGGGACAGAAAACCGTTAAAATGAAGTCATGTCCAAACACGGAAGAATTACCGTTTTTCGTAAAAATCATTCATCGTTATTAACCCTTTAACCTGTTGTTTTGCAGCTGGATGGTGACTCCGGAGCAGTGCCCCCTCTGCAGGCTCTGGGCCTCTCCCTCCGCAGCAGAGAGCGCCTCCTGCAGGTGAAACACTGTTACTGCGCCTCATTTAAATCACCCAGGCACAAAACAAGCTTAACTCAGGAATGTGTAGAGTGGCTCCACCAAAATGCCCCTCCTGTGTTCCTGCATTATTACTGTCTGCTGCTGCCGCTGCTGCTGTTTGTCATGAGTTTAGTCCTGGTTCAGTCCTGGGTCACACATATAAGGCCACATGGTAAAAAAAAAAAATACTATGATTTTAATGTTTAAAATCACACGCTGCTGTCAAGTAAATAGTGTTTTTTTATTATCATTGTGGTGTCAGATCAGCCTTGAGAATTGAGTCCTTAGTAGGGATGGGCATAATTAATCGATTAATCGATAATTGATCATTAAGAATTTCATCGATTACGTTAATTTTAATCGACAAACCGAATGCAGGTTGCTGTGTGTAGTGTGACCAAACAGGTGTGTACATGTGTCTCTGCATCAGAAGGAGCGAGACACAAACAGTGGGTCAGTCTGCAACGTACCGAAGCACAAATGTGTATTTAAAGATGATTTGTACAAGAAATTCCACGCTTTCCGTTGCGTTCGGGACAAGTGTGAGTCCATGTGCACAGTGTATAAAGCAGGAACATATGTTTCTGTGTCCAGTGGGAAAAAGTTTTACCAGGTGAGAGTCGCGAAATGTAGATGAGGAGTCCCCACCTCCCTCCCCCCGTACGGTGTCCTGGTTTTGACAAACGCAAATCTGGTCACACTAACCTGTATTCACCTGAGTCATGTCTTTTAATCCGACAGAAATTGACCGCATCAGCGACACAAGAGCTGTAGTTTTATCTTCACTTAGTTTATGCAAATTAGCGATGCGGTTTTAAGTTTCGTTTTTGTGAGATTTGCACAAAACTGAATTAAACACATTATAACGTCAAATGGATTGATGTGGCTCTAGGTCGTTACGGTTTATATGTCGTAAAGTTGAATTTATTTCTGCAGATTAGTAGTGCAGATAGTAATAATAATGATGATCATTTTAATATAAAAACGTTAATGATTAATCGATAATCGATCGTTAATTCTTCCTACGATCGATTAAGAAAATTTCATCGAATGCCCATCCCTAGTCCTTAGTATCAACATTGAGTTGTTTTTTTTTACCCTTGCTGCTTTGTTGCCAACTGTAAATAAAATGTTATTGTCAGAAAATATACATTTTCTGCTCTGCACCAAGTTTAACCTCACAATATTCCATCTTGCAGTGAGAGGTTATAGGGAAGTATCTTGTAAATTTAAATGTTTTCTTTAGTTTCTTTTGCTCTGACATTCAGTGCGTCCACATGACCTCTAAGTGGCGCCAACGAGCTGTTTTAACCAGTCTGCACATGGACAAAAATATCTTTTAAATATATTTGATATGCCTAACACATACACATAACACATAATACTCTTTAAAGACTTTTCAAAAACTCCCAAAGCACTACTGGACTCTTTATTTATTTACTGCACACTCTGTTAACTACTACTGTAGACACAGTTGCCCTGGGGCAGACTGATAGAAGCCAGGCTGCTAATCTGCGCCATTGGCCTCGTCGACTATATGCCGACCATTTGCACTTTTTAACTTATTTTATTTATCTATGGTTACTGTAGTGGTTAGAGATGACGTTATTTGTTGTGTCTGTTCACATGCGATAGAGAGAAACGTCATTTCAATTCCTTTGTATGTCTAGTAGATATTGGTGTAACGATATCCAAGTCTCATGATACGATATTGTCACGGTATGAACCTCACGGTGCGATATTTATTGTGATATCGTGGGAAAGCTCACCATATGGTGGGGAGGCTCATGATTATGGATGTAACAATATCTAAATCTCTAGGTACAATATTTTCACGAAATACATCTTATGGTTCGATATTTATTGTGATATTTTGTGGAGGCTAATACTTTTTCCTCTTAAAATGCTTTGACAAGACTTAATCCAAAGAACTAAGACTTAAAAGTGTTAAAACTGTTATTTCTTCATGTAGTCTGCACTGAAATGGAGCAAAGGATCATGGTCTATGTAGTTCCCTCTGTCTTTTTTTGCTGCACCAGAATTCTTCATTTAAGCAAAGACACTTGTAATTCGATATATTGTGATGGTCCACGATATTATTGAGAGAACTTTGACGATACGATATCACGATATTTCGATTATTGTTACATCCCAAAAAATTGACAATAAAGCGAACTTTGAACTTTGACCACCATCAATCATTCACCACTTTCATACTAGGCTGGGTGAAGTGTCCTGCCGAAGGACGCAAAAACAGAACTTGGTACGAGCAGGAATCGATCTGACCTTCGGGTTGGGGGACCACTGCTCTTGCCACTGTTATTTATTCATCTCACAGTTCAATCTTTTTCTGTATAGTTTGGCATTATCATCATTTTGTCCACTTACAAATTACTATTCATAATTCCCAAAACACAAAAAACAAGGGCCTCTTAAGAACTAGGAGGAACACGTTTTATTATTTGTTATTTTAGACCTACAGGAACTCCATACCCTTTAATTTACTGTTGTTTACCCTTTAATTTACTGTTGTTTGCCCTTTAGTTTACTCTGTTTTACCTTTTAGTTCGCCCTATAAGTTTGCTTGGCCTGTTGTTTCAGGAGAGCATGGCTGTGATCCGGAGGCTGTGTGTGGAGGAGGGGAGGGGTCCGGAGCTCTCAGACAAACTCACCGAGAAACTGACCGAGAGTCTGAAGGAAACAACCTCCCAGAACAGAGTAAGATTTATGTCTCTGGACTGAGCTTTTTAACAAGTCTGTTCATTTAAAGTGGGAGTAAAGTGGGGTTCTGGAGGACTAAAGGGGAGAGCGAGGGGGGAGGAGGGGCGGGGTCTGGAGGTATAAGGACCAGTGTGATTGGTCTAACAGGTATCCACACTTCAAACTCTGATACAAACCCTGCAGCCAGTGTTTGTATCAGAAACGCCTGTCTGTAATCAGGGCAGTCTTGTGTGATATCACATAGTACTTGGGATTGCAAAGGACTATGGAGGCTGCACACACTAAGACTTAGATCAGAAAGTTGTAAGTTTATGTAGTTTGCACAAAATTGCCAAAACAAAACAAAAAACACACAATTAAAACACCATATGCACAGTTGAGTGGCAAAAAAAAAAAAAAAAAAAAGATTGAGTGTTTAGTTCCAGTTTAAATCAGTGTGACTGTCAGGAGGCTCCACTGTTCACCAAACTGATGTCATAACAGTCAGGGGTGTGCACTGCCATGAGTCTGGTCATACAATACATATCACGCTACACATGTGACAATATGATATATCCTGATATATCCCAATACTAAAATAAAGAAAAATATATATTTTTAATAATTACTTCTTATAATATAGTCATTGTACACTTTCACCAGCACAAAATTCTATTACATTAATTAATTTATTTATCTTTTAATCATGAGAACAGTAAATGTAACTCTGGAATTTTTGTGAAAAATATAATTTAATCGACTCAAGAATTGTGAAATGTAGTATCGCGATATATCTCTGAATCAATTTTTTCTTACACTCCTAATAACAGCTGTTATCCTGGTTTCCTGTTCATAATTCCCCCGTGTGACGAACTCTTGTTTTCTTAAAAGCTCCAAATAATAATAATAATGCATCAGTTTTATATAGCACTTTTTTGGACACTCAGATGCTTTACAGAGCATTATTCATTCACTCCATACCAGGTGGTGGTAAGATACTACTGTAGCCACAGCTGCCCTGGGGTAGACTGCCGGAAGCGAGGCTGCCAATCTGCCCATCGGTCCCTCCAACCACCACCATCACTCACATACACCACTTTCATACTAGGCAATGAGGGGGAAGTGCTTTGACTAAGGACGCAACAACAGTTTGTTATGACTGGCGCCCCCCTGTGGCACCTGATTTTCCCAATGTTTCCATCCAAGTACTGACCAGACCCAGCCCTGCTTAGCTTCTGAGATCTGACAGGATCAGGCTTTGACAAGCCAGTATGCAAGAAAGAAAAAAAAGGAATGGAGAGCAGATTTGTCAAAAGTACAAATCAAATACTAAAACATCTATAACAGAATAAACTCTAGATACAAACAGTTAACGCCATATTTGGAAGCAGAAACAAATGACAGATCATCCACCAGAAAGTTACAATGTATAAAAACAGTATGTGACCCCCTGATGACCCTGTGGTGACCCCCTGATGACCCCCTGATGACTCTGTGTTGACCATGGAAGTGTAATAATATCCTGAACATGAACCAAAGATGGTGTTGTGTTATTTTCACTGGCCTGTGCTCATTGGCACAAAATCCCAATATTTTTTTTCTTCTACATTCCTTCCTGAATCCTGTCCTGGTGCCTCTTCATAGTGTGACGACAGAACCGTGCACTGCATCATCAGTTCTGACCAGTGAGAGGGATAGTTGGTAGAACAGAGCTAATGCGAGCTAGTCCAGTTTAAATCCTCAAAGCGCCTAAAGTCAGCTTTGTAAGATAAACATTGTGAAACATTCATGTTGTGGAAATACAGAAGAATCCTGCAAAATCCCACCTGTGTGAAAGCTGTGGATGTTCTGTCAGCCCAACGTGGGCAGTACCTAAAACAGCCACTTGTCGATCTCACACCAGGCAGGGGCAGTTCTTATTATAGATCCATGCTGTTGACACTGTGTTGACCCTGTGTTGACCCTGTGTTGACCCTGTGCTGACCCTGTGCTGACCCTGTGCTGACCTGTGTTGGCTCTGTGCCTGACCTACCTTTGTGACCCCGTGGTGACCTTTGTGCCCTGCCCAGGCTGCTCTGGATCGACTGGAGCGTGAGGTGATGGAGGAGAAGCAGAGACTGGAGCAGGAGCTGGAGACTCTGAGGAAAACCTCCAACGACCGAGAGAGAGATCTGAATACTCTGCAAACAGTACTACAGGCCAACCAGGACCTTATACAGGTACTACTGATACTATTACTGCTAATTATACTACTACTACTACCACAACCACAACCAGGACCTTATACAGGTACTACTGATACTATTACTGCTAATTATACTACTACTACTACTACTACCACAACCAGGACCTTATACAGGTACTACTGATACTATCACTGCTAATTATACTACTACTACTACTACTACCACAACCAGGACCTTATACAGGTACTACTGATACTATTACTGCTAATTATACTACTACTACTACTACTACCACAACCAGGACCTTATACAGGTACTACTGATACTATCACTGCTAATTATACTACTACTACTACCACAACCAGGACCTTATACAGGTACTACTGATACTATTACTGCTAATTATACTACTACTACTACTACTACCACAACCAGGACCTTATACAGGTACTACTGATACTATTACTGCTAATTATACTACTACTACTACTACTACCACAACCAGGACCTTATACAGGTACTACTGATACTATTACTGCTAATTATACTACTACTACTACTACTACCACAACCAGGACCTTATACAGGTACTACTGATACTATTACTGCTAATTATACTACTACTACTACTACCACAACCAGGACCTTATACAGGTACTACTGATACTATCACTGCTAATTATACTACTACTACTACTACCACAACCAGGACCTCAGTCAGAGAAGCCTGGACACTGCAAACAATACTGATACTACTACTGATACTAATACTTCTACTGCTGTTGTTACTGCTCTTTTCCAACAGGCTGCAGTCCGTGTTCTAAAACGGTGCACTTGTGTTTTGCAGGAGCTGCGTGTGTCTCTGGGGGAGAAGGAGCAGCAGCTGGAGGCTCTGCACTCGGAGAGGGAAGTTTACAGGCAGAGAGAGAGGGCCCTGAACGCAGCACTCTGTGACAAAGACTCACTACTGCTGTGTCTCAAACAAGAGCTGGACACCTGCCAGAAAGATGTACAGGTAATCCTCCATCTGACCCTCTCCTCTTCATCCTCTGCTTCTCTGACCCTCTCCTCTTCATCCTCTGCTCCTCTGACCCTCTCCTCTTCATCCTCTGCTCCTCTGACCCTCTCCTCTTCATCCTCTTCTCCTCTGACCCTCTCCTCTTCATCCTCTGCTTCTCTGACCCTCTCCTCTTCATCCTCTGCTCCATCTGACCCTCTCCTCTTCATCCTCTGCTCCTCTGACCCTCTCCTCTTCATCCTCTTCTCCATCTGACCCTCTCCTCTTCATCCTCTGCTCCATCTGACCCTCTCCTCTTCATCCTCTGCTCCTCTGATCCTCTCCTCTTCATCCTCTGCTCCTCTGACCCTCTCCTCTTCATCCTCTTCTCCATCTGACCCTCTCCTCTTCATCCTCTGCTCCTCTGACCCTCTCCTCTTCATCCTCTGCTCCATCTGACCCTCTCCTCTTCATCCTCTTCTCCTCTGACCCTCTATTCTTCATCCTCTGCTCCTCTGACCCTCTCCTCTTCATCCTCTGCTCCTCTGATCCCTCTCCTCTTCATCCTCTGCTCCATCTGACCCTCTCCTCTTCATCCTCTGCTCCATCTGACCCTCTCCTCTTCATCCTCTGCTCCTCTGACCCTCTCCCTCTTCATCCTCTTCTCCATCTGACCCTCTCCTCTTCATCCTCTGCTCCATCTGACCCTCTCCTCTTCATCCTCTGCTCCTCTGACCCTCTCCTCTTCATCTTCTGCTCCATCTGACCCTCTCCTCTTCTCTTTTCCATCTGACCTTCTTCTCTCATCTTCTTCTCCGTCCAACCATCTCCTCTGCGCCATCTGACCCTTGACCTTTGCCCTCAGGCCCTCTCGGACTCTGTTCTGGCTGACCTTTCGTCTGGGGACAAAAGTGGAGCTCTGGTTTCTCGTCTGAAAGAGAAGCAGGCTGAAATGGCTGCAGTCATACAGGAGCGAGAGGAGAACAGCGCCACCATGTGTCAGGAGGTGACCAAACTGACCTCGGCTGTGCAGCAGTACCAGAGCCTGGTGCAGGTGAGACGAGGCTATCACCGGGTACTTTTGACTAACAGGACTTGTTACCATGTACTGTTGTCATCATACTAAAATTTCAACCTCAATTTTGACACAAGATGAACAATACTGATTCCAATACCTCTTTTTTAGACTATTTTCAGAATTAAATGGTAGTACTTTTCTATTCCCATGTGTGGTTCATGGGTGTATACTAGTCTGTGTGCTCTTATACTTCTTCTGAAACAGTTAAAAATCATTATAATATTCTGGAACACTTCATTTTATATGGAGTTAGGTTAGTGTCTTTATTATCAAATAAACATTATGCCATTCATTTGTCCAGAAACAAATATAACATGTCAGTGCAGTTACATTTATTTGCAAACCGATGAACCTGCATTTATAAACCACTGTACATATTTTTTGACTACCCCTGCATTTATTTGTGGATTTCTGAGACCTTCCTGACACTGTTCCATGCACAAATGCCAATCACATCAACTGAACTGTTGTATGGCAAGTATGGTTTATGGTTGACAAGGTTGCACTACTATTGCACACAGTAGTAGTGTTAGATCCATAGGTTCCAGATCATTTTCAGGTTGATTAGCGAAAGTGTTCAGTCACAAATAAAGAACTTTAAACAAGTTAAATTGCAAGGAGATAAACAAGTTACCGTATTTTTCGGATTGTAAGTCGCACCAGCTAAAAAATGCATAATGAAGAAATAAAAAACATGTATAAGTCACACCAGACTATAAGTTGTACTTTTTGGGGGGAATTTATTTTATAAAATCAGGGACCAGGATCAGACATTTTATCTTGAAAGGCAAGTTCTAGTAATAACAATAGATCAGAGAACAACAGACGTTAATATGTTAACATTAACAAATATTCAGATAACTATAGCATAAACAACAGAACATAAGTTTACCAAACTCTCCATCTCACTCCAAATCACTAAATCCATTGAACCCATTGAATTGTTCATCCTCTGTGTCACTTCTGAGCAACTCCGCGCAAGTCAAAGCCTGAAGTCCAGGCTTTTTCATCCAGTGACTTCAGGAAAGTTACTGCATCCTCCCGTTTGCCGTGAAGCTGTGTTCTCCATTTCCACTTTCTGTCAGTCCCTCACAAGTTTCTTGCTCACTCCAAACTTTCTTTCTGCTGCTTGATTACAGTTTTCTGCTGCATTCACTACATGCAGCAGGACAGTGGCTTTTTCTGGAGGAGACATGTGCAGAAAACTGATATACAAGCCTAGAGCCTCTCGTGGCTGTCAGTCTGATCATTTTAATACAGAAGTCGCACCGGAGTATAAGTCGCAGGAAACACCCAAACCATGAAAAAACGTGCGATTTATAGTCCAAAAAATACTATATTCTTACAGTTGATGAACCACCTTTCCCAACCAATTTTGCCAGTCAACCTGAAAATGATCTAGAATCTATGGACCTAACTACTACTACTGTGCGCAATAGTAGCACATACTTGTCAACCATAAACCATATGCTCGAACTTCAGTTGATGTGATTGGCATTTGTGCATCGAACGGTGTCAGGAAGGTCTCAAAAATCCACAAATAAATGCAGGGGTCGTCACACATATTTACAGTTTGTAAATGTAGGTTAATCGGTTTGCAAATAAATGTAACTGCACTGATATTTGTGAATGTGAGTGTCTAGAAATGCTTTTGTGAATGTTGTTACATTTATTTGTAAGTCATGAATTATATTTGTGAATGTCGTTATCTTTGTTTCTGGACCAATGAATGTATTCTCGAATGGCGTGATATTTATTTGATAATTAAGACACTAACTTATGTCCGTACATTTCTGTCCTGTCAGTGGGACTTTTTTAGTATTGATCCCTGCCAAAAGATGTTTCAGTATTGATTCATATCTGATTTTCAATACTTTTTGCAACCTTATTACAAACTGTTACAAACTTGAGCTGGTCTTATTACAGACTTTGTGCACTGCCAGCTTTTTTAGAGCTACAAAAAAATAATATAACACAAAATCTATAACAAACTCCTCTTGTATTTCCCAGTCACAGCAGGAGAGCCAGGGTCAGGTGGTGTCCTCTCTGTCCAATCAGCTGTCAGATACTCGCGCTCAGCTGAGAGAGAGGGAGAAAGAGAGGAGGGAGCGGGCGAGAGAGTGGGCGAGAGAGCGAGAGGAAGGCGAGAGACAGAAGAGCAGACTGATGCTGAGTCTGGACAAGAGGGACCGACTCATCGAGGTAAAGACTGTCACATGTCCATCTCTGCTCACGGTCAAATCAAAAATCTCAAATAAAAGCCTGTTTTTTTCAATTTGGCTGTGGTACCTGACTCTTTTCCTACATGTTTCTATGGAGATGTTGTTCCTTTGGCTCTAACATTCCACAGTATGACACAAAACACTTACCGTAATTTCTGGACTACAAGCAGCTGCTTTTTTCTCACAGTGCGACTTCTACAATGATGTGGCGAATATATGGACGGATTATTAGTTTATTAACACAGCGAATGTTAAATACGGGTGGGCGCGTGACGAGAAGTGATGAGAAGAAATGTTTCAAACTTCAGTAACTGGAAATTCACTCATACCTGATTGATAGAACTACTCCCGCCTCTGAGAGAGCCTGGAATTAGCTGAAATCCTACAAGACACTGACATGACACCAGACAGGACAGAGCCTCTTTCTGCAGGAGACATGATACAGACAGGACAGAGCTCTTTCTGCAGGAGACATGATACCAGACAGGACAGAGCCTCTTTCTGCAGGAGACATGATACAGACAGGACAGACGCTCTTTCTGCAGGAGACATGCACAGTAGATCGAGCAGGAGAGACGAGGTGCAAGAACAAGACAGAAAGGTGGAAGAGATGCTATTTGATTGTGTTTTGAACAGTTATTTCGCGCTTCATACACACACCCTTCTCATGGAAAACACACAAAGAAATGCAGATGATGCAGCTTTTAAGTTTAAAACGATTGATGTGGTTGTGGAAGAAGGAAACGGCTGCTGCACGTGAACTTGACATCAGTGAATCGATGGTGAGACGTTGGCGATGGAAGCGTGAAGAACTGACTCAATGCAAAAAGACAACAAAAGCTTTCAGACGCAATAACCGCAGACGTCCCGAACTTGAAAACGTTTTTGAAGACGTGGACACCTCTGGCTTATAGACAAGTGCGGCATACATGTACAATTTTCTTTTTCTTTTCAAATTTAGTTGATGCGGCTCAGTAGTCCGGATATTACGGTGTATGTCCCCATGGAGAATGTTTCAAAGTGTGGTTTTAACTTTCCATCTCCATGGAATCAGGCAGGTGATGGGTTACCTCCAGAACGTTACATGCTGTACCTTTTAATTTTAAAAACCAACTACAATTCAAATCACAATACATAAAATACATTTAAATACACAAATACACTCAAGATACATTTTTACTTTATTCAAAATGTTTGTTTCTTTCAGCAAATCCTCCAGGACGCAGAGGAGCAGGAGCGTCTGTTCAGAGAACTACAACAGAATCTGCAAAACAAGTTTCCCCCGACCACCGGCATCAAGTACACACTTTAACCTGGACTAAACCAAAGTGCATCAAGTACACACTTTAGACTGGACTAAACCAAAGTGCATCAAGTACACACTTTAACCTGGACTAAACCAAAGTGCATCAAGTACACACTTTAACCTGGACTAAACAAGCAACCAGTACAAGTACACACTTTAACTGGACTAAACCAAAGTGCATCAAGTACACACTTTAACCTGGACTAAACCAAAGTGCATCAAGTACACACTTTAACCTGGACTAAACCAAAGTGCATCAAGTACACACTTTAGACTGACTAAACCAAAGTGCATCAAGTACACACTTTAACCTGGACTAAACCAAAGTGCATCAAGTACACACTTTAACCTGGACTAAACCAAAGTGCATCAAGTACACACTTTAACCTGGACAAACCAAAGTGCATCAAGTACACACTTTAACCTGGACTAAACCAAAGTGCATCAAGTACACACTTTAACCTGGACTAAACCAAAGTGCATCAAGTACACACTTTAACCTGGACTAAACCAAAGTGCATCAAGTACACACTTTAACCTGGACTAAACCAAAGTGCATCAAGTACACACTTTAGACTGGACTAAACCAAAGTGCATCAAGTACACACTTTAACCTGGACTAAACCAAAGTGCATCAAATTAAAGACTAAACTAAACTGCACTATCTGATACACACTTTTAAAGGGTCTATATTACACTGTTTTCTGATTTATGTTATAATGTAGTTTCCTCATCAAATACATACCTGGAATTTAGGTTTAGTCACACGTTTAAAGCTCTATTCACACATGATTTGTATGAATTGTGGGCCTTTGGTGATTTTTAATCACTTCAGAGGATACCTGAGATCTTTATCCTTGTGCGAATTTACCATGTCTGGAATTTGTAAAGTAAAAATTATACCACAAATTACAGTACCTACTATATTTCACCAAACACAGATGTCCTGGTGATAATATTAGTTCCGTGCGAATCTCGGTGTTTGTTGTTGTAATTGCGCGTCTTTGTCAATCTTTGTGTCAATGTCAGTAAACTAGAGTAATTTATGGACTTTTTTTTTTTTTTTGCCTGGTTGTACTTGTCCCGTGCGAGTAGGGTTTAACACACAAATCTTGCATGTTTAGGTTTCCTCTTCTCTCAAATGCTCCACTGTGTTATTAAACTCATTTTAAACTATTGCTAGAATAACTTTGGCAACTCCAGAGCTGATATCCAGAGCAGCTGTTCACCTGCAACTGCACCTTTTGAGCTTTGGATGTGCAGATAGTCTAATGCAGGATTACTCAAACATGTGTGAAAGAACCAAAACACACAACTCCAGGTCTGTTTTTGAGGAGGTAACAACATTCTAACATGGCTTTAATCTCACAGCAGGTCATTGTATGTAATATAGGACCTTTAAATCAACTAAACCTAGCTATCAAAGTCACCAACAGGTCAGTCCGTATGAAATCAGCCGTTTTCAAGGAATCTCCCCTATGAGCCATTTCAGATTTGGCTGAAATCACCAAATGAAAGAATTTCAAATTTTAGCTCAATCCCTTGAGACGTTCCTGAAATTTTCACGCCTTGCTCACTTTTTCTCAAGCCTTAATTTATAAGCATGTTTGAGAGACCATAACTTCATAAAACTAGAGCTAGGAAGCAGAAAATGTGGATTATTGTAAATTCTTGGTCATAGATTCTGAATCTGTTGTCAAATATTGGGTATCTTTTGGGTATCTATCTCCAAATATCTCACATTTGGTTGCCGCTCAATTTTTTATTTTTTTATTTTTTTTATTTTTGAGGTCCAAGATCTATTTGCTCTAAGCAGATATTTACAAACAAACTGTTGACCCTTATAAATTCAGGCTTCAGAAAAAGTGAGCAAGGCCCCAAAAGTTCAACAGGCCATAACTCAGGAACGACTCAAGGGACTGAGCTAAAATTTGAGATTCTTTCATTTGGTCATTTTAGAATTTTTTTGAAAATTTTTCAGCCAAATCTGAGATGGCTCATAGGGGAGGGCAGCTGATTTCATATGGACTGACCCCAACTTAACTCAATCCGACTCAACTAAACCAGACTAAACCAGCTTAAACCCGACTAAGGGTTCAGTCACACTTGTCCTGGCTTGGTCCTGGTTTGAGCCCAGTTTAGTCCTGATGTAAACCTGGTTTAGTCCTCCTCTGGTCCTGGTTTAGTCTTGGCCCAGTTTAAGTGAAGTTTGGATTGTTTTTTGTCCTGGTTTAAACCCAGTAAGTACAAACACATCCTAAACCACACTAGATTAGACTAAACAATGGTAGAACCAATTGCACTTTTAATGTAGTTGCTGCATTGTAATTCATAGAAAAATCTATAACTGGAGCGACAGTAGCTCAGCTGATGGAGCGTTTGTCCACTGATGGAATCTCACTCTGGACATAAACATCATTGGTTGAGCGGTCAGATCAGACTAGCTGTGCAATTCCAGCTCCCACAGATGAATGCTGTCATTGGGTCTTTGGGCAAGACACTTAACACACCTCGCCTCCAGTGTCTGTGTACACTGGTGTGTGTGTGAATGTGTGAGTGGGTCCATGTTGTAAAGCTTTTTGAGTGCCTTGAAGGTGGAAAAGTGCTGTATAAAAATGTACCATTGACCATTTAGACATAAATATAAAATGTTCCTCATTTGACCAAAGATCTTTTTAACTTACTTGAATAAATGTAATGATAGTTTAAGGTTCATTGAAATCATAGACTGTTTATATAAATGGACATAGCTAATGTGCAAGCCGCCGCGTTCCAAACAGGAAGTTCACACGTGGCTCTTCCGGCTCCTCTGACCCCGGCCCCCACTGACTTACATTGGAATATTGTGGCCCCTCTCTGTAACTGCTGCTGTGAGCCTTGTCATTTTGGTCTGAAAATCAGGTTTTCCACAGCCATGGAAATCCTGGAAAAGTCATGGAAATTTAAAATGATATTTTCGAGGCCTGGAAAAGTCATGGAATTTTACTGTCTCTGTCACGCAGCTCCAGCATTCTGTTAATAAGTTCTCATTAGACTATTCTGATTAGAACGTCTGTGCCTTTTGTTTAAAAGAGACGACAATAAATGCACTGACAGGATTTTAAATGTTACAAAACTATAATCCCAAACCATAAGGTGAGTGGAAAGAGTTAACATTTCATATTTAGCCCTAAAAATATGCTCAATTCTACAGATGTAGGTGCTAGGTGTAGGTTCTTTTTTCAGACCAAGAGTTTGTTTTCATACCTGACAGTTTGGACTGTTCTCTAGCGTCTTCCTCAGAGTGGTCATGTGATGTTGCTGTGACGTGCCCGGTCAACTGATTTATACAGGTTTTGGCCAGACACGTCACAGCAACATCACGTCACCACTCTGAGGAAGAGCACTAGTGAGCAGTCCAAACTGTCAGGTATGAAAACAAATCCTTGGTCTGAAAAAAAGAACCTAATAACATAAATTATCAGAAAACCAAATGAACCTCATCGGACTACATGCAGGTGCTGTAAAGTCATGGAAACTTCACTTTAGGTCCTGAAAGAGTCATGGAAACGTTTTGAAATGTTGTCAGTGAAAAAGAGTGGGACCACTGTAAGACGTTCACATGCGGCTCTTCCGGCTCCTTCTGACTCTGGCTCCAATTGACTTAAAATAGCCTCATCACTTTGGTCTTAAAATGTTTGTATTAACCTGCTTCTTTTTTTTTTTTTCCCTCGTTGCTGCTTTGTCAGTTATATAGGGCCTGACTCCAAATTCGCTCCTGTAACCGTTGGTATCGTGAGCCGAACGCTTTGGGTGACGTCACACTCGCTCAGTCCATTTTTTACACAGTCTATGGTTGAAACTCAGATAAATGTTATGGTTTTGACTGTTTTGGGGAAATATTTAAGGGACTTTTACTTGTGAATAGAGAGATAATTTAGACTAACTTTTAACTGCCAAACAAAATGACTAATTTCTTGAAACACAGTATGTCACTTTTTTTTTAATCTTTTGACCTTTTTTTGAATATGTTTTTGGCAACATTTTAACCCACACGCCCTTCCTAGTATTGCAATCAGACAATTAATTGGACCAGAACTGGGTGGCGTGGTTTAAGCGTTTGGCCAAGTGACAAAGAAAGTGTGCAATCGAACGGCATTCAAACGAGTGACCCTCTGGTAGGTGGGCAAATGCTTAACCCACTGTGCCAGCCAATATTTTGTACATTTCTGATGCTGCTGATTATCTTTACCAAATAGAACTACCGGTAATTGCTGTATTGGGGCCAAATAAAAACCAAAAACTCCAAATATATTATAAAACTGACCTAAAAATGCCTAAATTACATTCTGTTGTTTTGTACAAAGTTGTAATTTTTTTTAAAGCTTGTGTGTTTTGGGTGGAATAAAAATGCACGGTACGACACTGGTTTAAAACTGTAGCTAGAGAAATGATTATTTACAGTAATATATTTTAGGACCAATTTTGGGTTTTAATTTATGAGATTTACATTTTCTTTGGTGTTTTTAATTTCAGAAGTTAAAGCGTGAGATGGTTGCACTCTCAAAGTATTTTTAATTTAAATAAAAAATTATTTCAACGTTCAAAGTGTGTGTTTAAAATGTGTGTGATGGCCAAAAAGGCACATATTACCTTTAAAGAGGGGGTATTATATAAAATCAACTGTCCACCTTGTTATAACTTCATTAAAAACATGCCTGAAGAGGGGAAAAAGCAAAGGGAGCGGGAAACTGAAACGTATTAAACATTAATACACTGTTTTCGTGAAATCAGCATTTTTAAAACGATAAAAAGGAAACATGGTGATTTAAATATGACGTGTTTGTAGAAGTAAAATACCCCTCTTTAACTGTTCTGAGTCTCTATGGAATGTTATGGTACTTCTTTGAACATGATTTCTGTATTTTCCTTGTCTCCTGTTGTCACTGCCTCATACACAACTGCCCATTTTTGTTTACGATTTTGGTTTTGTTCCTTCTTGTCAAGTTGTATTTTTCCTGATTGGTTCAGAGCGTTTCCTGCCTCACCTCAAGAGGAATAAAAACTCTGATTTCAATGAAGTGTTTGTAAGAATTTATTTACAGTTTAATTTGTTTACCTGATAAATCCTGACTGATATCTGTTTGTATTTTTTATACAGACGCATATCAGCCTGGTCCTCATTTGCTTTTAGTGCTTCACTCAGGGCTGTTGGGTGTCATGTGGGTGCCCTAAACACAAATGCTTTGTGGTGCCACTAGGGATGGGCAAGATTACTCAACTAATCAATCATTGATCATTAAGAATTTTGTCAATTACGTTCATTTCTAATCGACAAACCAAATGTAGGTTTCTGGGTGTAGTTCAAACAGTGGAGTTTCGGCCTCAGTCCCACGTTTTGGCTCTGGCTCCTCCTTAGATCACTGTACCTCTCAGTGAGTGTGTTTACATGTACATCTGTATCCCGCTTTCATCATGGTGCATGTAAACACAGTATCCTGTTTACTGCAACATAAAGAGCTGCACTAAACCTGCACACATACGATCTCTGAAAACATCACAACAGAACAGACTCACCATCAGCATCAACATCCTCTGTCACAGAAAGAACACTCATATTCCACTGAGTCATGTCCTTTAGTCCAACAGAAACTGTACCGCATCAGCGCACAAGAGTGTTTTCTTTCTTTTCTCATCTTAGTTTATGCAAATTAGCCATGAGGTTTTAAGTTTCTTTTCTGTAAGATTCGTGCAAATCTGCATTAAACACATGATAATGTCAAACAGCTGATGTGTCTCTAGAGTGTTTACAGTTTATATGTTGAAAAGTTGAGTTTAATTATGCAGATTAGTGATAGTAATAATAATGATGATACTTATTACATAAAAATGTTAATGATTAATCGAAAATTGATCATTAATTCTCCCAATGATCCATTAATAAAATTTCATCAAATGCCCATCCCTAGGTGCCACCATCATCATTATAAACAAAGATCTGTGCAATGACTGCAGACTGAACATTGAACTAAACATTGAACAAAACACTGTAAACACACAACAAGTCTATGTCCTTGTAAGTCATAATGTGCACATTTCTTTGGTAAATAATAAGTACAATATGGGGGGGGCCTCGACACTGAGCTACAGTCGTCCCTCGCTATATCGCGGTTCAGCTTTCGCGGACTCACCGTTTCTCAGATTTTTTTTTATTTTTTATTTTTTTGAAACGCGTATTGTGTATTACAGGCGGGTAGTAATTACACACAGGGGGGTCAGGACTAACCAGGTCTAAAACCAGGACTAAACCAGGTCTAAACCAGGTCTAAACCAGGACTAATCTTGGACTTAAGAGAGAGAATGTCGAGCAGTTTGTCTGCAAAGCGTGATCGGGCAGTTGCCGCGTTTACCTCCGTGAGGTGCGGAGCTGAGCCGGTCCTTTCTCCTGCGTCACCTCCGAGCCCGTCCTGACAGTGAGTCCTGTTTCAGTTCTGGTTTAGTCCTGGTTTAGTCCTAGTTCAGTCGTGGATTATTCCTCCTCTTCAGTTCTGGAATCAGTCCTGGGTTAGTCCTGGTTTAGTCTTGGTTCAGTCTGTGGCGTAGGCAGCGCAAAAGTTTGATATAATCTTGGGTTAACAGGCAGGTGCGCTCCTGTCCTGCGGGTCTCAAGAAATGGTCCCGTGCAGGACTCTGAGCTGTTGGGCTCCATTACGGAATAAACGAATCTTTGGTTCGTTACATAAAGAAGGAGGAAGATAACAAAAGGACGACAGCAGCAATGAGTTTTAAGAAGAATGTAAAAAGGATTGTAACTGTCCTGTCTGAGAAAAGTGTATAAAGTTTGTGCTGAGGGGTTTTACAGCTTTAAAACAGATAGAATAATTGTAAAATATAAAGTTGACTACTTTGTGGATTTCACCTATCGCAGGTTATTTTTAGAATGTAATTCCTGCGATAAACGAGGGACACTGTAATCTCACTCACAACCTGTGCACATGGACTCACACTTGTCCCGACCGGGACGGAAAACGGAGAATTTCTTGTACAAGTCATTGCTAAATGCGTATTTACGCTTCAGTATGTTGCAGACTGACCGACTGTTTGAGTCTCGCTCCTTCTGAGTCACAGAGAACTATGAAAGCCACTCAGTTTAATGTCCCCAATGAACGGTACTGAAAACCCAGACATTTGCATCACTTTATAAAAAAAACCCAGACGCTCAGGACAAGACGCAAAATACGGACATGTCCAGGGAAAAACGGACATTTGGTCACCCTACCCTGTGTGCTGTGCTGTGTGTGTGTGTGTGTGTGTCCTCTGTGATATTTTTCCTTTCTTTTTCTCATAAGCCGTCATATTTGTGTTGATATGGACTGAGCATGTGATCCGTGTCCCTGATTGGCTAATCCACCTGTCAATCACACCCATCTGTCCCCACTGCACCGAGGATCAGACTCACATCTTCAGAAAGTACTGAAAAAAGTGTGTATATTCAAGACCTCAGGCAACAAAGTTCCAGTAAAAAGTTCAATGTTTAATGTTGATTTATTAAATGTGGTTTTATTTGAATGATTAAACCATCGCGTCATAACGTGTCACAACAGGTGCTTTTTGTTTAACACTGTTCATGTTTACTGTTAATGAAAATAAATGAAAATAAAATCACTAACTAAATTTAAACCAATTATTTCTGAGTGATTTAGCTGCTATGAAGCCAACATCTGCACATTAGTCAGAGCACACTGTGTTTTCACTATTTTCACATCATTAAACTGTCAGTTTCACTAAACGTTACAGACACAGGGATTTGGAATAAAGTCTGTTTTTCACAAACTTCTCCAAGGACCAGTGTTGGGAAGGTGACTTTGAAAATGTATTCCCCTACAGATTACAGATTACATACCCCAAAATGTAGTTTGTAATGTAATCCATTAAATTACTTAAAGTGAGTAATGTAATCTGAATACTTTGGATTACTTAATTTGCTGTAGAGAAGCAAAGACGAGGAAATCGTAACATAAAATGTTTTTTTTGCTAAACGAAAATGAAAAGCCCAGACTTTACTCAACCAAATAAAAAATATTAGTGATAGAAGATGAAGAGACACTTACACGCCTGTTAAATCCTGTTTTAGTCCTGGTTTAGATCTGGTTTAGACCTGGTTTTAGTCCTGGATTCAGTCCTGGTTTAATCCTGAATTATTCCTGGTTTAGACTTGGTTAAAAAAAAAAAAGGGATATAGCCTAAAATCTGAAAACAGGAAAATACCGCCATGTAATCCATTTATTTCAACAAAGTAACTGTAATCCAATTACCACTTATTAAAACAGTAACTGTAACTGAATACAGTTACTCATAATTTGTACTCTGATTACATAACTCTGGTACATGTAATATGTTACTCCAACACTGTCAAGGACCTTTGTTAATGATATAAGAAGGTGACAAATAAAGCAGATGTATGGGCAGCTGGAGCTTTCAGAATTTGACAAAACATTATCAACTTGGAAAACATGATTTCTTCAGGTACCTTCAAATGAGAAACTATCACAGAATGGAAATACAGCAGAACCCCTCCATGGAAGAGAGTGATGTCATTCAAACAATAACTAAAGCTTATAAAGATAAAAACGATAAGAACACAACTCTAAGGCTGTGTTCAGACTGCAGCCTGAAGTGACCCAATCCGATTTTTTGGCCCCTATGTGACCTGTATCCGATCTTTTAATGACAGTCTGAACCACACAGATCTGATTTTTTCAAATGTGACCAGGACACTTGGATATGTGCTCCTGAAACCGATACATATCTGATCTTTTGACATGTGACTTCAGTGTGAACGGCCAAAGTGCATTCATCCACCTACACGTTATCAACAAGACACAAACGTCACTATTCTGCGCTGAAGTAGGCGAAAATTGTTAATGAACTCCATGTCAATGAAGTGAAGCACATCTCCACATCCACACGTTCCTTTCAACGGACGTCGCTGCCACTGTCCCACAAAACACCATGACCAAAAACCTCGTCCTTCTCCTTCTCAATCTCCTCTTTAAAGCAACTAAGTTGTTCATGTTCTGGCTCCGGTACGAGAGGAACTTTAAAATCTCCAGGTGCTCGATGCTGCGTCCATGTTTGGACAACTTCCGTAAACACAGAGCACGCTCGCTGAGGTTGACGTCATCGTGTCTCCAGTGTCACATGTGGGACACTTTCGAGCCGTTTAATGTTCACACTGGAGATCACATACAAGTCACATTTAATTGGAAATGTGAACGACCTTGCAAAAACATCGGATTTCACAAAAAAGTCGGAATTGAGCATTAAGCCGAATGTAGACTAACGGTGAAGGGGAATTGGGAAAAAGAATTAAACATAAAAATTGAAGATAAAGATTGGTTAAACATGTGGCAGCATCACCACACCACCACCTGCTCTTGAACATGGAGGGAGTTTGCCTGGAAGAACCTGATTCGATTCTTTATTACACCTAAATTAAAGAGTAAACAGTTAAAGATGCATCAGATGTGTTGGCAGAAATGTGGAGAGATTAATATGGACCATTCTCATATATTTGGAATTGTGCAAATATGACTGTATTTTGGGAAATGGTTTGTGATGTACTGGGGCAGGTGCTGGGGTATTTTGTCCCTTTGTCGCCTGAACTGGTCTATTTATATAACCTCTCAGAAAACATTATTCACCAAAGCGATATATATCTTTTCAAAGTCATGTCATTTGCTGCCAAAAAATCAATCACCAGGAACTTCTGTGCCCTCAAAAGATCAGTGGACATCTACAATAAAAGACAACTATCTAATGGAAAAAATAACTTATAGACTGAGATTGCAAGAGGCACAAATGAAGAAGAAATGGGAAAAATTTACAGGCTTCTGCTCCTGTTTTTATTTCCTTTCATAATAATAATAATAACATATATTTTTTTCTTTCTTGTTATGTTTAGAAATGTATCATGTCCAATAAAAATAAAGTGATAAAAAAATAATAAATAAACCAGATGTTGCAGAATTAAGATGACATCTACACAATCTATTCTCTTTAAAAAAAACATGTGCCAGTTAAATGTCACTCATGGTTAATCTGATTAGTCTGATTGTCTATGATTTCATTTAATGCCAAAAAACTCAAAAAAAACCAGACTGGGTGCCATAATCCACCACTGCCAACATGTCGTCCCTGTCAGATTTAGTCATGTGGTGCAGGAGCTTTATTCACACTATATTCAATTTTGTGCTAATTATGTCCTGTTTATTTCATCATTGATAATTCTTACCTGTAGTGTTGGTGTTGGTGTTGGTGTTGGTGTTGATCTTGACTTGTATCTGTGCAGGTGTTTGTCTTTGGAGGCCTGGTCCTTGTCTCATTCAGAGTGGAGTTTTTCTCAATGAACCTGACACTTGAATGGGACACTGAATAATCCATCTGGTCCATTGTCTAAACGGCCAGTGGATGTGGGTTAGTGAAACATAAGAGCTCTTCATGAGTGTAGAATGACTCCGCTCAGGGTTGCCAAGTGGTGGAGTTGTTTGTATCCACTTTCTGAAAGACTTCTACTGTACAAGAGTTTTTGTTTAGTGGTGATGGGTTTAATAATCACGAGACTGCTCTGTCATATGAAGAAGAACTTGTTCAATCAGAGTTTTGGACGCACACTTCTCTCCACAGACATGTTTTGGTCTGGAATGTTCCATAGTATAGCATTAAACTAATTGTGTATCTCCATGGCGACAACCAGGAGACTCCCAGGCCAAATTTCAGGTCAGATCTGTAAGAAGGCATCTCTGTTTTTCAAAGCATTTTGGAGTAATAAAGATGAACATATAGGCGAAGGTTCAGCTGACATCATTGGCCCTGAGTGCCACTAATGATGAATAATTAGTTGGGGGCCTCTCCATGGTCGGGGGCCCTCGGCGGCCACCTACTAGAGCCCAATGGTAGTGCCTGCCTCTGCTGCCAACAGTAAAGAGAGCCATAAATTGTCATTTGTTTAGTTAAAATACAGAAAAGCTGCTTAAAAATGACCAAAACACAAAGAAAATGTGACTACACTGACTCATGTTCATCATGAATGGGCCCAGTGCAGAATAATTTTCCTTAATTACAACACTCGTTTCACAATGTTATTATTACCAACCACAAAAAAAAAAAAAAAAAAAGGATGTCCCAGTAATTTTATTATATTGTGTTTTATTGTATTGTATTTTATTGTATTCTATTGTATTTTATTTTATTGTATTCTATTCTATTTTGTTTTATTTTATTGTATTGCATTCTATTTTATTTAATTTTATTGTATTTTATTTTGTTGTATTTTATTTTATTGTATTTTATGTTATTTTATTGTGTTGTATTTTATTTTATTGTGTTGTATTGTATTGTATTGTATTTTATTGTATTTTATTGTATTGTATTGTATTGTAATGTATTGCATTGTATTTTATTTTATTGTATTGTATTGTATTGTATTGTATTGTATTTTATTTTATTTGATTGTATTTTATTTTGTTGTATTTTATTTTATTGTATTTATTGTATTCTATTTTGTTTTATTTTATTGTATTTTATGTTATTGTATTGTATTGTATTGTATTGTATTTCATTTCATCTTATTTCATTTCATTTTATTTGAAGTATGGGCACGTTGAGCTTTCAGTGGCTTGTTTCTTTCTCTCTCAAGATCTGGCAACCCCGGTGAGTTGCCATGGCGCTGACATTTCAACAGATTCTTCCAGTCAAACTTTCCCAGCGCACGAGGCCGCACGTGTTCAACTTTTCTGCACTGTGAAAAGTGACAGACCCGCTTGATGGAGGTGCAGTCGGTTCCTCTGGGCTCCGTCACCGTCGGAGCTGCGTCCTGGCGGGATGGCACGGTGCGCTCGGTCCGGAGGGCAGAGCGGCTGGTGCGGGACACTCGAGCCGGAGCAGCCACAGCCCTGAGCCGGCCGCAGACCACCAGCGCCTCGGTCACGGTCCCGGGCTCCGCGGAGGACACGACACCGGAGCTCACCACCCCCGGAGAGAACGACAAGAGGACCGGTTCTGGCAAAGATGAAAACAGCCCAACTCCAACTAGACCGCGGACCACCACCACGGTGAGAGAAAAATAAGACAAAGTCTGCGTAAAAATCTAATCTCTGTAGTTACAATCAGTGTTGGGGAGTAACAGATTACATGTACTGGGATTACGTAATCAGAGTACAAATTATGAGTAACTGTATTCAGTTACAGTTACTGTTTCACTGAGTGGTAATTGGATTACAGTTACTTTACTGAAATAAATGGATTACAGGACGGTATGTTCCTGTTTTCACATTTTGGGCTATATCCCTTTTGGTAATTCCACTCATTGCCGGAAACTAAACCAGAGCTAAAACTAAAATTCTTCTAAAGCTAAAATTCTTTGTCTCAGTGGTGGATGAAGTATTCAGTTTTGTACAAGTAAAAGTACAGATTCTGGGCTAAAAAATCTACTTAGTTAAAACTGTTGAAGAACCTGTTGAAAAATGTACTTTAAAAGTAAAAAGTAAAAGTATTTTGAGAGATTTTTGGCCACAGTTAAAGCATCAAATGTAGTGTGATTTTGATAAATAATGTGATTTTCTGATTTTAAGTGATTTCTTAATTTTTCTAGATGTTTTTGTTTATTTGATTTGCTTAAAATTTGGACTCAAATTAAATGTTCTAAAAATAATAAAATGTGCTTTTCAGCAGATGTCAAACCATAAAGAAAAGTACTTTTTACTTTTCAGTTCAGATTTAAAATGTAGTGGAGTAGAAAGTACAGATACCTGCTCTCAAATGTAGTGAAGTAAAAGTAAAAAGTATTCACTGTAAAATGTACTTAAGTAAAGTACAGATACCTACAAATTTTACTTAAGTATTGCACTTTAAGTTTTTGTACTTTTTTACCTTCTCTGTCTATATCTCCAAAACTCAAAACACTCTGTTCCACCTTGTGATGTCATGTGTTCAGTATATTTTGAAATCATCCAAATGATTTTAGTGAAGGTGTGTCGAATTTAAAAACACAGTGGAGCATTTCCTTTATTGTCACATGACTACGTACAAGGCTCCGCCCACATGACAACTCTCCATAAATATACAAAAATATGACACAAAACTGTGCACAGCAACTTGACAAACCTGATGTGATGTGCAGTAGTTTCATTAGCAGATGTACTCTGATTGTGTTGTGACCGTGCTCTGAAGGGGGAGTGACTTAACATGGAGAGCAAAGGGAAGGGGGCGTGTTATAAAACATGTTGATGCATTGTCAAAGGGAACATGCAGGTGTAAATATGTTACAGTGTGTTCAAGTTCAAACAGCATCTCTAAAGTGAAACTGGTCCTCCAGCTGCGGTGGTGCTGTCCGCGGCCTGCGGGGGGCGCTCCGTTCCCTGGCACCGGGCTGCGGGAGGCGTGTGCGGGGGCGAGCGTGGCGGCGGCGGGCGGGTACATGAGGGCGGTGCGGCGCGTGGAGGCGGAGCTCCGCGCGCAGGCCGGCCGCGTGACTCAGGAGGCGCTCCGGCTCCAGAGAGAGAGGAACCTTCTGGAACAAACCCTCCGCAGTCTGAGGTCTCACCTGGGCATCAACCGCAGCAGCACCACCCACAGGACCAGGAGAGACGCCAGGGAGAGCGTGAGTCACTCAGATGCCCTCCCACAGACACTGAGAGACAGATGCCCTCCCACAGACACTGAGAGACAGATGCCCTCCCACAGACACTGAGAGAGACAGATGCCCTCCCACAGACACTGAGAGAGACAGATGCCCTCCCACAGACACTGAGAGACAGATGCCCTCCCACAGACACTGAGAGACAGATGCCCTCCCACAGAGACAGAGAGACAGATGCCTCCCACAGAGACAAAGAGAGACAGATGCCCTCCCACAGACACTGAGAGACAGATGCCCTCCACAGAGACTGAGAGACAGAGCCCTCCCACAGACAGATGCCCTCACAGAGACTGAGAGACAGATGCCCTCCCACAGACTGAGAGACAGATGCCCTCCCACAGAGACACTGAGAGACAGATGCCCTCCACAAGAGACTGAGAGAGACAGATGCCCTCCCACAGAGACAAAGAGAGACAGATGCCCTCCCACAGAGACTGAGAGACAGATGCCCTCCCACAGACAAGAGAGACAGATGCCCTCCACAGACACTGAGAGACAGATGCCCTCCCACAGAGACACTGAGAGACAGATGCCCTCCCACAGAGACTGAGAGAGACAGATGCCCTCCCACAGACTGAGAGACAGACCCTCCCACAGACACTGAGAGACAGATGCCCTCCACAGAGACACTGAGAGACAGATGCCCTCCCACAGAGACACTGAGAGACAGATGCCCTCCACAGAGACTGAGAGACAGATGCCCTCCACAGAGACACTGAGAGACAGACTGAGAGACAGATGCCCTCCCACAGACACTGAGAGACAGATGCCCTCCCACAGACACTGAGAGACAGATGCCCCTCCCACAGAGACCTGAGAGACAGATGCCACCAGACTCCCACAGAGACTGAGAGACAGATGCCCTCCCACAGACACTGAGAGACAGATGCCCTCCCACAGAGACACTGAGAGACAGATGCCCTCCCACAGACTGAGAGACAGATGCCCTCCCACAGACACTGAGAGACAGATGCCCTCCCACAGAGCCCTCCACAGAGACTGAGAGAGACAGATGCCCTCCCACAGACACTGAGAGACAGATGCCCTCCCACAGACACTGAGAGACAGATGCCCTCCCACAGAGACACTGAGAGACAGATGCCCTCCCACAGAGACACTGAGAGACAGATGCCCTCCCACAGAGACTGAGAGAGACAGATGCCCTCCCACAGAGACACTGAGAGACAGATGCCCTCCCACAGAGACACTGAGAGACAGATGCCCTCCCACAGACACTGAGAGACAGAGACAGACTGAGAGACAGATGCCCTCCCACAGAGACACTGAGAGACAGATGCCCTCCCACAGAGACTGAGAGACAGATGCCCTCCCACAGAGACACTGAGAGACAGATGCCCTCCCACAGACTGAGAGAGACAGATGCCCTCCCACAGAGACTGAGAGACAGATGCCCTCCCACAGAGACACTGAGAGACAGATGCCCTCCCACAGAGACTGAGAGAGACAGATGCCCTCCCAGAGAGAGTATGCACTCTGTAAGTCAGATGCCCTCCCTGTGCAGGTCTGTGATGGTGCAGATGAGCTGCTGCAGTCTGAGAGGAGGGAGCTGCTCCGTCTGAAGCAGGAGCTGGAGGAGACCCTGAGCTCCACTCTGACCCAGCTACAGGTGAGATCTCCTGAGGAAACACTGAGGCTGAACACTTTGTTTAAAAACACCATTTAAAGCAGATCTATGGTTCAGAACTTTTAATCATGTTATAGTGGTTTCTTCTCAATGACCCTCTGAAGTTGTATTTGGAGTGATTCATGCATGACTGAGCAATCTCCTCCCTCTCTTTCTCTCTCCCTCTGTGTCCCCCTGTGTCCCTCTGTGTCCCTCTGTGTCCTCTGTGTCCTCTGTGTCCTTCTGTGTCCCTCTGTGTCTGTGTCCCTCTGTGTCTGTGTCCTTCTGTGTCCTTCTGTGTCCCTCTGTGTCTGTGTTCCTCTGTGTCCCTCTGTGTGTCCTCTGTGTCCCTCTGTGTCCCTCTGTGTCCCTCTGTGTCCCTCTGTGTCTGTGTCCCTCTGTGTCTGTGTCCCTCTGTGTCCCGCTGTGTCTGTGTCCCTCTGTGTCCCTCTGTGTCCCTCTGTGTCCCTCTGTGTCCCTCTGTGTCTGTGTCCCTCTGTGTCCCTCTGTGTCTGTGTGTCTGTGTCCCTCTGTGTCCCTCTGTGTCCCTCTGTGTCCCTCTGTGTCCCTCTGTGTCCCTCTCGTCAGTCTCTGTCTCTGTCCAGTCGTCGTCTCTTGGCCTGTGCTTCTGAGCGTGTTCTGGTTCTGGAGCTTCTTCCTCTCAGTGGATCAGGAAAAACCAGAGGACGAGCACCACCAGCGCACCGAGCCAGAGCCCAGCCGACCCCACGGGCCCCTACACCCCAGGTACTACACCCCCACGGGCCCCTACACCCCACGGGCCCCTATACGCCAGGTACTACCCCCACGGGCCCCTACACCCCACAGGCCCCTATACGCCAGGTACTACACCCCACGGGCCCCTACACCCCAGGTACTACACCCCCACGGGCCCCTACACCCCACGGGCCCCTATACGCCAGGTACTACACCCCCACGGGCCCCTACAGCCTACAGGCCCTATACCAGGTACTACCCCCACGGGCCCCTACACCCCAGGTACTACACCCCCACGGGCCCTACACCCCATGTACTACACCCCACGGGCCCCTATACGCCAGGTACTACACCCCCATGGGCCCTACACCCCAGGTACTACACCCCCACGGGCCCTACACACCAGTACTACACCCCACGGGCCCCTTCACCCCAGGTACTACACCCCACGGGCCCCTACACCCCACGGGCCCCTATACGCCAGGTACTACACCCCCACGGGCCCCTACACCCTACGGCCCCTATACCAGGTACTACAGCCCCACGGGCCCCTACACCCTACGGGCCCCTACACCCCAGGTACTACACCCCCACGGGATCCCTACACCCCATGTACTACACCCCCACGGGCCCCTATACCCAGGTACTACACCCCCACGGGCCCCTACACCCCAGGTACTACACCCCCACGGGCCCCTACACACCAGGTACTACACCCCCACGGGCCCCTACACCCCACGGGCCCCTATACGCCAGGTACTACACCCCCACGGGCCCCTACACCCTACGGGCCCCTATACACCAGGTACTACACCCCACGGGCCCCTACACCCTACGGGCCCCTACACCCCAGGTACTACACCACCACGGGCCCCTACACCCCATGTACTACATCCCCACGGGCCCCTACACCCCAGGTAGTACACCAACGGGCCCCTACACCCCAGGTAGTACACCCCCATGGGCCCCTACACCCCAGGTACTACACCCCCATGGGCCCCTACACCCCAGGTAGTACACCAACGGGCCCCTGCACCCCAGGTACTACACTCCAGGCACTACACCACAGGCCCTGCACCACAGATACTACACCCCAAGTGCTATACACCTGGTACTACACCTCAGACTGTACACCCCAAGTACTACACCCTATGTACTACATTTTAGATACTACACCCCAGCCACTACTCCCCAGCTACTACAGCCCAGGTACGACACTCTAAGTACTACACCCCAGGGAGGGCTGCAAGAGTAATTGCAATTTTTATTCTTCTTCTTATATTTTAACACCAGAACAGAATCCTGGTGTTAAAATATAAATTGATAATTGATAATAATAATTAAATGAGTTTCTTAGCAATTCATATGTCAGACTTCCTGGACGTGTGGTGCTGTGTTTAAACTGAATCTTCATTTTTTCTTTGATTTTTTTTTTTTTTTTTAATATCTAAACATTTTTTTGTCAAGATATTTTATTTCTATTCAGATCCTCAAAGTATCCACCCTTTGATTTGAATTTTTTAACTGTTTTTCTTTACTACATAATGTCATATCTTAATTCACATATTTGTCTTTTGTATGTGTAAGAAGTAGTACAAATTTAAAAAAAAAAGAAAAAGGGAGACATGTCCAAACCTTTGACTGGTGGTGTAGATCAGTCTGATGTTTGTGTCTGTATTTGACCTTGTGCTCAGAGTGTAAAGAGGCTCTAGACTCGTCCAGCTCCTCCATGAAACAGTCCCAGCTCCTCAGACAGACCATCCGACAGAAGCTGAGCAGCGCCCTCCTCAGGCAGAGAGCGGTACAGCAGACGGTCAATGACGGGCTGGTGAAGAAGGTGGCAGAGACCGTCAGTCTGCAGGTAAACACGGCTGCTCAAATCTGAAGAGCTGTTTTCAGATCATTTTATTTAGTCTGGAATGTAGACTAAGGCTCCATTCAGACTGCAGGGCTTAATGCTTAATTAGGATTTTTTAGTGAAATCAGATTTTTTCGCAAGGTTGTTCACATTTCCAGTTAAATGTGATTTGTATGTGATCTCCAGTTTGAACTTTAAATGCCCCATAAATGTCCCGCATGAACACCAGAGGACACGAGGACACACGGAGGACACACACGTCACACACAGCGAGCGTGCTCTGTGTTTACAGAAGTCGCCTAAACACAGAAGCAGCATCGAGCACCTGGAGATTTTAAAGTTGCTGTCGTACCGGAGCCAGAACATGTACAGCTTATTTGTTTTAAGAAGGAGATCGATTCATTGATCCATTGACTAGACTCCAAATCTCCAGAGCCTGAAAATTCTCTTGCATTGTCGCCCTCCTTGGTTGTGGCTTTCTTCCAGTTTCTGCCTACTTCAAGTGCAGAATAGTGACGTTTGTTGATGACCTGTAGGTGGGATGAATGTGACCTGGCTGTTCAGACTGAAGTCACATGTCAAAACATCAGATATGTATCGGTTTTAGGAGCACATATCCAAGTGGCCTGGGTCACATTTGAAAAAATCAGATCTGTGACATTCGGATTGTCATTAAAAGATCAGACACAGGAGCACAGGGGAGAAAAAAATCGGATTTGGGTCACTTCAGACTGTGGTCTGAATGCAGCCTAACTGACATAAGTCCCTTTTTATTTGAAAGCAAAATGGAGTTTTCAGAACTTTTAACCCTGGTACGTTAGAGTCTTCACATCGACCCTCTGAAGTTATATTTGCAGTGATTTGTGCATTTTTGAGTCGTCTTTAATCACTTATTTTCAAGACGCCATTTTGCAGATCAATCCCCGTTTTCACGCCCATTGTGATGTACACACTTCCTTCTCCAGCATCGTGTAGTTGTTTTGGTACAAACTTAAAAAAAAAAAAACTCTACTCTAGTGTGATGTGCAGCTGTCCACAGGAGGGGCCCCAGCATGCAGCAATTTGTTGTGATGACATTTACAGCAACATCAGCTCCTATTGGACACCACAGTTTTCTAATAGTAAGAAATGTCATGAATGAACTTAAAGATCCAGTATGTAACTTTCCTGCTGTGGGCTTTCCCCCTGTATGTCTTCAGGGAGATGTGCCTTCTGCTGTATTTCTCCAAGCAGGTGACACCTTTAGGCCAGGTTACAAGTCAGATCTATGGAGAAGTTCACACTCAAATATAAATAACTTTGAACACATGCCTGACATATATTTTCTCGCAGTAGTGAAAACCAAGCACAAGAGCGTTTATTTGCAGCTGAGTGTATTTTCTCCCTTGTTTTCTCTGTAGCAGTCCCTGGCGGTGATGTGTGGAGCCACGAGACAGGCCCTGTACCGGAAACAGAGAGAGATGGACCTGATCCTCCACAGCCACGGACGCGCTCAGGTCAGAGGTCACCAGCACCGGCCAATAGGCTGAGATCACAGTGTATAGTTTAAAGTGCTTTTCATGACATCTCACAAACACAATTTATATGTTGACCTCCTGGTTACAAATGGCCTGTGAGTATCAGCCTTCAGCACCTGTACTCACCTCACAGTGATTCTGTGCAGAGTTGCATGTTCTCCCTGTGTCTGGATGGATTTCCATTGGTACACTTCCACTGCTCTGTACTTACTATATTATACTATATACTATATACTATACTATATACTATATACTATATACTATATACTATATACTATAGTCACTCCAGACTATAAGTCGCACTTTTTGGGGGAAATTTATTTGATAAAATCAGAGACCAGGAACTGACATTTCCTGTTGAAAGTCAAGTTCTAGTAATAAGAATAGAAGAGAGAAGAACAGACTGTTAACGTCACATATGAACAGTTCTTCAGATCAACTATAACATAAACAACAGAACAGAACAAGTTTAACCAAACTCTCCATCTCACTCCAAATCAACTAAATCCATTCAATTCTTCATCCTCCTGTGTCACTTCTGAACAACTCGGCCTCGACCTCTGGAGGTAAACAGAGCGTCGCTTCCTCTTCTGTGTCGCTGTCGTCAGACTCAGCATCAGTTCCAGTTAGAATTATTCGGGTCTTTCTGAATCCCGACAGGATGGTTTCAGTGTCACTGAAGTCCAGACTTTGTCCATCCATCCAGTGACTTCAGGAAAGTTTCATGGTGCATCCTCCCGGTGTCACAAGTTTCTTTCTCACTCCAAATTTTCTTTCTGCTGCTCGATTATCGTTTTCAGCTGCAGATTTCATGACTTGCAGTTTGTAATCTGCAAAATATGATTTTCTTTTTGGGGGCATTTGTGTTCAGTCTTCTCAGTCAGTTTTTTTTATTTAAAATTTTCACTAGTACTGCAGTAATGGTGCGATCGACTGACATGACACAGACAGGACAGAGGCTCTTTCTGCAGGAGACATGTGCAGTAGAGTGAAGTGACAGTGGTACAGGAGGAACAGGAGCAGCAGATACTGACCCACAAGACTAGAGCGTCCTCTAGCGCATTTCAGTGTGCCAATTTTAATATATAAGTCGTACCGAAGTATAAGTCACAGAAATTACCCAAACCATGAAAAAAGTGCGATTTATAGTCAGAAAAATACGTTAGTTTTCTTAATCAGTGATGCATGTAGGATAGGACAGCATCATGTAGTTATTTTGGTACAAATGAAATGAAATCCTCTGCTCTAGTGTGATGTGCTGCTATCCACAGATGACGTTTACAGTAATGTCAGCTCACACTGGACACCACAGTTTTCTAAATACAGAAGTCAACACACTTAAAAGCGGGTGTCTATGGGTGTCACAGATTATAACTGTATACCAGACACAAGTACAAAAGGTCTTTTTTAAGTTAATGTGTTCCTTTTGCATTCATTTTTGATGGGATTTTGTGTATTGATTACATACAGAGAGGGATTCATTTGTTATTTTCTGTAAAAATGCTAAATATTTACCACCAAACCAAGTCATAATAAAAAAAAAACTGTCATATGCAGATTTGTTGACCTGGTTTATGGTTCATATCTTTGTAGGTACCTCTTGTTTGTCAGTATAAATCAACAAAGATGAACTTGTATCGTATTGTTGCTTCCTCTCTTGCTGTAGGGTCTGGGGCACAGCAGAGATATTCAGTCTAGGCTGAGGAGGCTGCTGGTTGTGCTGCTGCAGGGACATGAGTATTGATTGCTGCTTGTTGTTGTAGGGTCCAGAGAGCAGTGGAGACGTTCAGTCCAGAGAGAAGCTGGACCGGCCCCTGGTGCAGGTCTATCACAGACACCCAGGGACCCAGCTCCCAGAGGCGGCTCAGCTCATCCAGGTAACTCCCTCCAGGACATCTGGGCTTGTGAGCAGGTGGAGACTGATAGATTGTTCTCATATTTGCACTTTTTAACATACTGGATATCAGCCTTAAAGGAACAGAATGTAAGATTTAAATTTAAAATTTTACCAACTGTGTCCGCAGATGTGAGGTAAACATGTTCAAATTAAATATATCTCTTATTGATAACAATTTTCTTGGACAGCCACAACCACAGACTTTGACAAAATTTTACAAAGATGAGAGGATCTGGATCTTTTCTCCCTGATTCCTGAGGCTGTGATTGACAGACAGATTAACCCAGACCTGTCAAACTCAGGCCCGGGGGCCAAATTTGGCCCGCAATATAATTATATTTGGCTCGCGAGATCATATCAAATCTGTATTAGAGCTGCCCACTGCACACAGAGAGACTATAGAGACATTATTTATTTAAAATGTTATTATTTGATATTCTGCTTGTTCTGGATTCAATGTTTAAGCAAAACTTTTATTAAACATTAATTTTAATAAGAAAAGGTTTAACATTACAGATCTCAAAAGAAGAGAAAACATGCAGATGTTGTTTGAATTTTTCAATAAACATTTAGTTTGGCCCATGACCCAGTTTTTAATTTTGGCCTCTGTGAATTTGAGTTTGGCACCATTGGATTACCCAATCGGAGAGAAACATGCTTTGTTTGCACCAAAAACAAACATGGCTGCTTACTATGGGTGTTTTGAGGTCACAGTTCGGTTCATTTTCAGTACAGAATGGGAACAAAATGCAAAACCATTCTGTGATTCCAAATTCCGTGCAGGCGAAAGACAAAAGTGAGGACCGGGGCACAATGACCATAGTTTTGTGAAGATTCTCGTGGTTTGGAGGGATGTAGTCAAGGTGGGGGGCAATTGCTGTTAAGGCGACTGCCCTAACTATAAAGCGCTGCGGGAAACACTGCCCCAATCACGGACGAGTTCCTTCTTGAATATTAAAGAGCCGAGCCTCCGTGTAGCTGCACATGTAGTGGTGGAATGTAAATACACACTAATTGCACGAACTCACTCATGCACAGCCCTGCACCGAACTGAACGTCCTGTACTGAAACGGTTCGGCACGAATACATGAACCTTTACACCTCTACTGCTTACACATTAAAAAAGGAGATAAATCTACTTAAAGGACTGAGAAACTGCAGATTTTTAAAGAATCATTAATCGAAACACCAAACTATGACTTATTTCAGGTAAAAGAAGTGATATATTTTCTTATGAATGATATGAATGTCTTCTGCATTTGAGAGACATGTGATACAAATGAGGTTTTTCACACTCACTGGTTCAGTTCCAGACCCTTCTGGATTCAAACAGAGAGTAGAAGGGACTGGCTGATCAGGCAAGATAACAAATACTGTTTTATCCTTAATTACAAAAACACTGGACATGATGTTCAGGTTGTTTATCTTATCTAATTTGGTGTATTGGTTCAAGATGAATATCCAATCAGAAAGTCTGAGTAAATCTGTTTCCCACATTGTATAGACTCTATTCATGCTCGTCACAAACCAGGAAGACATTTGTAAACATGTGATGACACCTTCCCAGGCCCAGTTTTCTTCATCTCCATGTCATTGTAGTGTTCTGTTCTGTTCCTGCTCATCAACAGTTCCAACCAGACCTCAGTTTTCATCATTTCTCACTGACACACATCTCTGAGTGCACTGGGTACATGTGATTAGAAGAGATGAGATGATTCCAAACAGCACATACGTCTGCAGTCTTCATTTTACCTCTGATCACATTTACTTCAGTGGGTTTGATCACAGTCGGTCGGTGAGTCCAGTGTCGGGAAATACACCGGAAGTTGTCATCACATGTTTCCAAACGTCTTCCTGGTTTGTAACATAAATGTGAATAGAGTCAGTTGTAACATGCTTTGCTGAGTTCACTGTGTGTTCTTGTGCCTCCTTCAGGGCAGTGCGGTGTTGGCTCGCTGCCTCTCGTCTCGGCAGGCAGAGTTTGATCGTCTGCGGCGCTCCTCTGCCCTGCTCCACAGCGACCTCCAGAGGAAGAGCTCCGCCGCTGCAGTGGACTGTGCCCTGCTGAGGATGAGGCGCAGAAATGTGGACAAGCGCGCAGTACCGGTGTTTCTCCAGCAGGACGCACTCCGGAGCAGCACGGCCCTCTCCTGTGCTCAGTAGACTCACACAGCACACATCATGCACACCTGGAGCTCTACTTTGTTTCATTCACTCTTGTTTCATTAACCTGCTAAACTCAGTGTCACAGATAAAAGTCCAGGACTTCTCCTGTGCAGTTTTTATGTCCATAAACCATCATTTCCCAAAGACTGGGTCGTGACCCTCACGTGGGTCGCAAGAGATTTTTTTGGGGTCACCTTGTAAAGATCTGCCTGTAGATCTGTAATATCCACTTCTGACACTGATCTGCTGCTGCGTCTCCTCCTGCAGACTGGAACGCACTACAAAAACACAGACAGGCCCACCTATTTCAGTAGAAATGTTGAAATGAAAAGACATGTTTTGTATCAATTCTAATCTCTTTTTGTAATTATTTTATTGACTATTTTGTGCCAGTATTGCTGGTTCAGTTGAATGTTGAAAAGAAAAAGAAAAGTTCTGTATTTAATGTCCAAATAGGCGACTTCTGAATCCTTTTATTGTTGCTTCAATGTTTAAAACTGGAGTAATACTAATTGTTCAGAGAGACAATCACTCAGTCAACAATAAAATATCCTCTTTAATGTTAAATAATGATCAAATCCACCTTTTAAATATGGGTCCCCAGAAAAAAAAAAGTTTGGGAAACACTACCATAAACCATCACCATCATGGCTCTGAGAGTATAATGAGCAGAGTGTTTATGAGGGTGGCATTTGTGTACTCTGCCACTGTTCATTCCTGTTGCTGACAGCAGAGGGAGCTCCAGCGCCTAAACACCTCACTGAAACAGAGGTGTATGTTATAAAGTATATTTTTCAATGCAGACATTATTAAAGTGGAACTAAACATTAAATCCACTTTTTTCGCTACTAAACTGTGTATAAGGTGTTTTAATTGCCTCGTTTACCTGTTTCTGTAATTTTTGTGCAGATACATTTGCACCTTTTTGGTCAACTATGACTACTACTACTACTACTACTACTACTACTACTACTACTACTACTACTACTACTACTACTACTACTACTACTACTACTACTACTACTACACTTGTTTTAGGCAGAGTTCTGTCCTGTGTGTGTCTGCTGTATGGTTTGAATTAGGGCCTGTGAGTGGATCTGTAATGAGGTCAGCTCATCATGGGAACACATCTGTGTGACGAATGCTCAAAACAAATGTGAGATTTGGTCTCTTAATGCTGTTCTATCTGCATTTATTTTCATATTAGTACAGTTTCAGAAATATTCATGTGCATAGGATAGAATTCCGTACATATTTGGTAAATCCGTGCATATTTGTCTGTACTTGAGCATAAAATAAATATTCTTAAACTCTCGAATGAGTCCAGTCATACATAAATGTATGATTATGAAAAAAATTATGATATATATATATATATATATATATATATATATATATATATATATGTGTGTGTGTATATTGTATGTATATTTTATACATCAAAATACGAACTGAAAAGTTACAACATCAAGTTACGAATACGAATTCTCAAATGAGACTCGACTGTCAAAAATACATCATCACTTCACAGGCTTTATTTACTGAGCAGAAGAAACATCTATTGAGATGCCGGACTTTTGTGTATGAACTGAATCAGGACTAAACCAGAAGTAAACCATAATTAAACTGGGACTAAATTAGAACTGAACAGGGACTGAGTGTTGGCCTGGAGGTGTGTCTGTGTACACTGTCGGGTGACTGGGTGACTGCAGGACCAGCGCAGAGCTCAGCGCCCCACTGGGCTAAGCGCAGTCATCACCTATTCACACTTTGTGGACACAATGCTCTGTGAGCTCGGGGTTCTTCCTCTCTCTCAAGTCTAAGATTAGTCCTTGTTTGGTCCTGTTTTAGACCTGTTTTAGTCCTGGTTTAGTCCTGGTTTTAGTCCTGGTTTAGTCCTGTAGTCCTGGTTTACTGGTTTAGTCCTGGTTTAGTCCTGGTTTAGTCCTGGTTTAGTCCTGGTTTAGTCCTGGTTTAGACCTGGTTTAGACCTGGTGTAGTCCTGGTGTAGCCCTGGTTTAGTCCTGGTTTAGTCCTGGTTTAGACCTGGTTTAGTTCTGGTTTAGTCCTGGTTTAGTCCTGGTTTAAGACCTGGTTTAGTTCTGGTTTAGTTCTGGTTTAGTCCTGGTTTAGTCCTGGTTTAAGACCTGGTTTAGACCTGGTTTAGTTCTGGTTTAGTCCTGGTTTAGTCCTGGTTTAATCCTGGTTTAAGACCTGGTTTAGACCTGGTTTAGTCTTTTCAATTTGTATTCTGATGGATAAAATACACACAACACATTTTATACACGACTGGACTCATTCGAGGGTTTAATAATATTTATTTTATGTCCAACTACAGCCAAATATGCACGGAATTCTATCCTAGGAATATTTCTGAAAGCTTTCTTTCTCCATACGATTGGGTTTACAATAGGGCATTAATATTTGAGAGAAAACTGAAATCTGAACTTTAAACTAATCCAAGAATCTCATGTATTTCAGAACATGTTTGTAGAGGTCTGGAATGCAGGGTGACAGTGTTTATATGGAGACATGGAGACACAGGGAGGCTTAGATCCACAAAAGGACTTTACTTAATTCTTGAAAATGTGCGATTGCAAAATTATTATTTTTTTAATTCATTAAAATTCTATAGCTACAGTAGAATTAGTTTCTTTCTTGTGTCTTTCTTCACAGAACTCCTCACAGAACATGACCTATGTTCATGTTATAATTTGATGTTTTGGTTCAAGTCGATTATCCAGTCAAAAAGCAGAATGAGCCTCACATGAGTTTCTCGTTTGGGTTGCCAGTTTCAGTGTTCAGTCCAGAGAGAGGCTGGACCGGCCCCTGGTGCAGGTCTATCACAGACACCCAGGGACCCAGGGACCCAGCTCCCAGAGGCGCCTCAGCTCATCCAGGTAACTCCCTCCAGGACATCTGGGCTTGTGAGCAGGTGGAGACTGATAGATTGTGCTCATATTTGCACTTTTTAACATATTGGATATCAGCCTTAAAGGAATAGGCGAGTTTCAGCTGTGACGTCATTGTTATTAAAAGCCCGCGTTGCATGCTGGGAAATATTTTGGTCGGAGGCAAGAAACACGATAGCGTCAAACACAGTGTGTAACCTCGTGTATTTCTCCCCGATAATGGTAAATTCCTGCTGCATTATCGGATGCACAAATAGAAGCACGGAAGAAGGAAAATGTCTTTTTCGTATTCTGAGTGAAAAGAACCACTAACGGAGAATTAAACGGCTTTCAAATATCCACAGAGCAAACGTAGAAGATCCTAACAAACCGTGGACTCCAACAAGTTCAACAACACATCGAGACTCTTGGAGGTTTTCATCTTTTCTGCTGTGAATGGCCCAGGAGTTTCCACCAAGTCATTGTGGATATCGCCAAAGTGAATATTTGTCCAGGTAGTTGGACCAGAAATTTGGTTTCCACCTTTTGTCGGGGTTGAAAAGGGTGATTTGGCTCCATCGATGCTTATGACCAATTTCTGGTCAAATGGTCTTGGGTCCTCTGCTGTTAGAGTGGATAAATAACCAGGATCAATACCCTTTACGTGCTTTCTCGCTCCGTCCGTCATGTTGAATTAGTGTTTCTTGCCGCCGACCAAAATAATTCCCAGCATGCAACGCGCGCTTTTGTCAACAATGAAACTCGCCTATAGAATGTAAGATTTTTATTTTATGACCTGTCTCCGGATGTGAGGTAAACATGTTCAGATCAAATTGAGATTTTACTGATAACTGTTTCCCTGTGCAGCCAGAACCACACACTTTGGCTGAAAAGGCCCCAAAATCAAGAGGATCTGGAGCTGTGTCCTGTCCTCCTGATTCCAGAGAGTGTGATTGACACTCTCTCATTTGGGTTGTCAGTTTCAGTGCTTAAATCCAGTTGGTTTAAACCCAAAATGCCTCTCTGTGATCTGAATGGTCCCTGCCTAAACCTCAGCACCTGCTCAGGGAGGGAGTTCTGGAGGTTCTGAGCTTTCACATGATTCTGTCCAAAAACTGAGAATGAGACAAACTTGGATGTGTCTCTCTGCAGATTAACTTCAGTTGTGATTCCATCCGTTGTATCTGTAAGATTGTAATAGACTGTAGAAAGAAGTGGACTGAGGGAGTGTGATGTCACCCGAAGTGTTCAGCTCCAGTCAAATGAAGCTCATGGAGACAGTTCCGTTTTAGGTATAGGAATTCATTTACATATAAAATAGCAAAAATAAAAACACCAGGATCACCAGGACAGGAAGTGAACATGAGCGAGCTTTCAGCTCCACTGACTCGTCATTTTGGTCTTAAAATGTTCGTATTAACTGGCTCTGCATTTTTTATTTCACTATTTTGTTGTTTTTGTTGTTTTGTTTCTTAAATCAACATAAGAACATTAATAACAAATGAGGCGCTTTCCCGGGTCGCTCCCGTGAACTTAAAGGAGCTGTTCACTTGAAAACTACCGCTTCATGACATCACAAGGTGGAACAGAGCATTTGGAGCTTTGCAGATGTAGACAGACTAATAATAAAGTGTTACTCAGGCATGTGGGAATGAAACAGAACAACTCCAGAACTGTTTTAGAAGAGGTAAGAGAATTCTAACATGTCTTCAAGCTACAAGAGTCCATTTGTGTAATACAGGACCTTTAAATGTAAGTAAGTAAATCTTTATTTATATAGCATCTTTCACAGATAAAAAAAAATCACAAAGTGCTTTACAGAGCAAAACAACAGAAAAACAACGTAAACAAGAACAGAGGAATTACAGACACAGACAACTAAAAGTCTGTCTAAAGAGCAGTGTCTTGAGCTGCTTTTTTAAAAGAGTCTATAGAGTCTGTCTCACGTAGAGCTGGGGGCAGGGTGTTCCATAATTTGGGAGCCACAGCCTGAAATCACACATCACCCCGAGTTTTTAAATTGGGTCTTTGGGACCATGAAGAGACCCTGACCAGAGGAGCGGAGAGAGCGGCCTGAATAGTAGGGGCAGTAAGTCACTCATGTACTGGGGCTCTGTCCATTTAAAGCTCTGTAAGTTAAAACCAAAATTTTAAAATCAACATGGAACTTAACAGGAGCCAGTGCAGAGAAGATAAAACAGGTGTAATGTGATTTTGTCTGTTTGCTCCTGTTAAAAACCTTGCAGCTGCATTTTGTACACGTTGAAGCCGCTTAAATGTAGAAGCATTAAAACAAGTAAAAAAAAGAGCCAATGATGTTCATTTTGTCTTCTTATCTACTTTAACTTCTTAGGTTCTTTTTAAAGACAATGCAGTAAAGTGTGTTTACCTTGTTGACATGTTTCGGCTGCTGCTGCATCTTCAGAACTGTCACCGGTGTTGGTGGTGACGTGTCGTATATCAGCTGTTGTTACTTCCTGTAGGCGTGGTCAGACCCGATGGACCTGCAGGTCGCTCAGACTGACCACGCCTCCCGTCGCCCGGTTGTCTCTGGAGGAGGGTGTCCCAGGTGTGTGAAAGGAGGAACGCTCCGTCATCACGGTTAATGCTGTCCGTGCCTCGTTTCCTGATTTCACCGTCCTCCTTGATCCAGCGTTTGAACTTGTTGTTTTCTGATCCAATGACCCGAGCCCCGTCCCAATCCAGAATGTGGTTGTTTCTTTTACAGTGTCTGATATGGCGGATTTTAGGTTTTCCTGTTCTGCTTTATCTTTTTGTGTTCTGGTGAGTCTCCCTGACGTTTCCTTTTCGCATTCCTTTTGGTGTTCCTTTTTGCGGATGTGAAATGCCCGGCCTGTTTCCCCTATGTATGATTTATTGCATGATTTGCATTGGATTTCGTAGATGGCATTGCATTTTTGTTCTTGTGGGATTTTGTCCTTGGGGTGTACGAGTTGTTGGCGGAGTTTTGTGTCTGGTTTTACTCCAGTGTTTATGTTGTGTTTTTTCATTTCTCTCTGGATGGGTTCGGTTATTCCTCTGATGTTCGGTAGTGTGACTATGTTTTTGTCCTGCTGCCCTGTGTTGGATTGTTGTATTTTTTTCCTGGGTTTGTTGGCTTTATTGATAACTTGTTGTTTGCCTTTGTTTATGGCTCAGCTGGGATATTGACATTGTTTGAGTGCTTGTATGATGTCTCTCCTCTTCCTCCCTGTCGGTGTGGCCCGTTCCAATAATGTTCTTACTACTGAAAGTTTGTGTGCAGTGGGATGTTCGGATGTCCAGAGCAGATATTGGTCAGTGTGTGTAGGTTTCCGGTATACAGTCATTTTGATGCTGCCGTCTGCGATGTGGTGGATTTTAATGTCCAGAAAAGATATGGCTCCATCTTTCTCCTCCTCGTGTGTGAATTGAATATTACCTGTGTCGTCTTGTGTGTTGAGATGGTCCGTAAGTTCTTGCGTGTGTCCTTGCAGTATTTTCTCCAGGATGTCATCTACGTAGCGTTTCCAAAAGGTTAAACGGCATTGTGGTGGTGCGGTGTTGAATGCTTTCTGTTCCAGGTCCTCCATGAAAAAACTGCTCATTATTGCTGATAGTGGATCTCCCATTGCAAACCCCTCTTTCTGTCTGTAAATTATGCTGTTGTACTGAAAATATGTAGATTTGGCCACAAAATGTAATAATTGTGTAATGTCATCAACTGTTAGATTTGTGCGTTTTTTTGAGTGTTCTGTCCTTTTTAAGTTTTTCCTGTACTATGTGTAGTGTGACATCCATGGGTGTTTTGGTGAACAGTGATATGACGTCGTGTGATATGAGTATTTCATCCGGTGCTATTGTAATGTTTTTTAGTTCCTGTGCCAATTGTTTCGCATTCTTGCAGTGGAATTTAGTTTGACCGATGAGTGGTTTTATTATTTCGACTCCAGAGACACCGGGCGACGGGAGGCGTGGTCAGTCTGAGCGACCTGCAGGTCCATCAGGTCTGACCACGCCTACAGGAAGTAACAACAGCTGATATACGACACGTCACCACCAACACCGGTGACAGTTCTGAAGATGCAGCAGCAGCCGAAACATGTCAACAAGGTAAATACACTTTACTGCATTGTCTTTAAAAAGAACCTAAGAAGTTAAAGTAAAAAAAGAATAACAATAATCTAAATGAGATGAAATAAAAGAGTGAACAATCATTTCAAGATCAGCATTTGATAAAATTGGTTGAGTTTAATGATGTTCTGAAGCTGATAAAAACAGCTTTTAACCACTTGGCTGCAGTGCTCCTCTAAAGACATGGATTTGTCCAACAGCACTCTAGATTTCTAACGCTGGATTGGACTGAGGGGCTCAGTGAGACGAGGTGATCCTTAATTTGAGGAATTTTTTCATCTGGTGCCAGAATAAGAGTTTCTGTTTTTTCATCATTAAGTTGTAAGAAGTTTGTTTTTTATACAAAAGAAGCACTGCAGGAGGGTTTTTAGTCTGTCCATTTCTGTTTCTTTAAAAGAACATACAGTTGTAAGTCATCCACATACAAATGATAAGAAACATTCTTGAAATGTGGTTTTAAAACTCGCTGGGGTCAAAACAACAGTTCTTTTGTTCGCTGTGAGAAACGAGGACAGCTCTAACTCACTTCCCTCATCACAACGATCAGGAATCAGGCCAAAATCTTTAACACGATTTATTAAACTAACTCAGGCTGAAGATAAGATTCAGTGTTATTTTTTGTTATTTCAGAATTTCAACATTTTTGTGGATTTCTTCTTGTTTTTTTTTTTCTTTCCTTTGGGCTTTTCTTGGTCATAAGACTCCAATTACTCCACCACTACGCACTAAACTCCAGCTAAACGTTACTCATTAGAGCTTTAAGAGGAGATTCAAGAGCTGGGTGAACCGTGCGTAGGAAGTCTTAAAACATGCTTGTGGAGAGGAGAGATTAATTGCATTTAAAGTTCCTCTGGTGGATCTTTGCAGCTAATTGACGCAATATTAGAAGCAGCTTAACGAAATTTGGCGCAGCCGACGAAATCATGAACTGTCTGACCGCAGAGGAGGAGGAGGAGAGGAGGAGAGGAAGAGAAGGAGGAGAGGAAAAACTTTAGATTTTGGCTTTATTTTGGAATTTGAAGACAGAAGAGAGAGGAGATGGCGTGGGTTTTGTGCGTGCTGCTGTTCCTGAGTTCTCTGGTCGCTGTGGGTAAGTGATGCGTTTAACTTAAAGGTTCTATATGACACAAAACTGACTCCTCTCAGCTTGAAATCATTTTATAATGTTGTTACCTTCACAAAAAGCTTTGAATGGACGTCTCGCACCTCATCCAGATGTACACTCTAGTACGCTCTGAGGTCCGGGGTCCAGCTCCAGCTCGTGGGGCATAAAACGCGCCTGTTTCACTTTGCTTACTGCTGGGAATGTTAGTCACAACATGTCTGACTACGACACCGATGATGAAGACATTGTCTTTAGCACAGAGCCGAGGGGAGATCTTTATGAACCCGAATATACTGATGCTGAAATTCACCAGATGGAGTTAGAAGAGAGAGAGAAGAGGGACAGAGAAGTGGTACAAGTTGAAACTGGAGCCACAACTGGAACCATCACGTCCAGTGTTTATGTTTATGTTTATGTTTGTTTATGTTTATTTCAACTTCTAGTCATTGTCACAGAGAACAACGAAATTGCGTTTGGAGCGTCCCATAAAGCGCAAACCCATAAATAATAAATACCCCTTAAACCCAAGTGTAGACATTAACCCGGAGTGGCCTCAGTACAACATGAGACGTTCTTATAGCAGCATGATGAGGGTGTGTCATGTAACATACACAGACAGGGACATTCACACAGAGACCTGAGAATCATGACCAAAAAAAAATGCAACAGTGCAACCAGTTTAGTGTTATTAAAAGTTGGATGTGTTTTTTGCCCGTGAGAGAGGAGAGGGGGAGGGGAGAGTTGGGGAGTAACAGATTACATTTACCGGAGTTATGTAATCAGAGTACAAATTATGAGTAACTGTATTCAGTTACAGTTACTGTTTCAGTGAGGTAAGTGGTAATTGGATTACAGTTATAAATGGATTACACGGCGGTATTTTCCTGTTTTCACATTTCGGGCTTTTTTTTTTTTTTCCCGGTAATTCCACTCATTGCCGGAAACTAAACCAGGTCTAAACTAGATCTAAACCAGGTCTAAACCAGGACTAAACCAGAACTAAAACCAGGTCAAAACTACATCTAAACTAGATCTAAATCAGGTCTAAACCAGGTCTAAACCAGAACTAAAACCAGGTCAAAACTACATCTAAACTAGATCTAAACTAGATCTAAACCAGGACTAAACCAGGACTAAACCAGGACTAAATCATGCTGCTGCTGCGTGGACGTGTCTCCTCTTCTATCAATAATATTTTTTTATATGGTTCAGTAAAGTCTGGGCTTTTTAGTTTCTTTTAACAGACAAAACATCTTCTGTTACGATAACTTAGTCTTTGCTTCTCTACAGCAAGTGCAAGGTAAGGCATGGACGACTAATAGAAACATGAATCATCCACACGTCCACGTCGCTGCTGCCAATAGTGTAAGAGACATTTACAATAGTAATAACAGTCGACTTATAAAGTTACGTTTTGTCGAAGCTTCCCTGGTGATATGACACTGAGTGATTTACTGTTGATTCTTGAGCCTGTCCTCTTGTAAACACAGCACCTCTTTGTTCTTACCTGGGTGCAGGTACAGCAGTGCTCTTCTAAACAGATTTCTTCCTCTGTCCTGGGCATGAAGGAACATATCTTCATCGCTGAATTGCGCACTGCACACACGAAGCTTTTTTATCTTTGGTTTCCACATTGAAGGCAAGAAGCCAAAGTTTCCTCAGAGCAAAGTCCGTGACAGGAAAATGGTGAAATGTGTGTGGAGATTCAAACAGATATTTGTTGTTACAGCCTGGAGAATCAAGAGTTCACACCATGTTTTACATATATTCTTATATAGCTTATACAAGCATATATACTTATCGCTCTAGCTCTCACATTAGCTCTCTCACATCGCAGCGGTCTGAGCCAAGCCCCCAGGTTCCAAAATGGCCGCCCGTTCAAGTCAATGGGCCGAGCTCAATGGTGCATGATTCCAGATTCGCCTTTAGCCCGACGAGGTACTTCCGGTGGCTGTGGGCCGACTGAGCATGTGCAGTAGTGTCTTTTCTCCCACAGGCACACGCAAATGCACGTGAGTGCATACACAGAGTGCGCGCTCGTGTATCACGTGTTCACTTTGACCAATCAGAGCGAGAGGAGCTAGAGCGAAGCAGAGCGGAGCTGGAGTGAACGATTATAAAGCGTTTAAGACAACTGAAGGATTTTGAGCTGAGAAAAAGTTTATGATCTAATAATAGACAAAAATTGCCACAAAATCCAAAATTTTTGAAAATTGTAGGTCCCTGTCAGACAAACACGAGCAGTTTGTGATTACATTGCCTCTATGAGAAAAATCTTCTCTTGGCCCAGTGAGTGACACTACATCAACTGGAGGCAGCTACAAGCAGCAATTCTGTATCTAGTTATTTTAATAGATCCATGGTCTGAGCACATAAACACTGCCAAACAGTTGCAGAAAGTGATGGATCTGTGCGCGGCTGTCACCTGGCAGCAGCGCGCGCAGTGATACGAACGGAGAGAAAATAGGGCCAAGTGATTATGAGGTCTGACGTTTTTGAGGACAAAGGTTTTGTGATGTAAATATATCACTCTTTTGAACACATATTGTTTTGAGAACAAAAACACGTTATTTTCGTGTCTCCTGCCAACTTGCCGGACTACTTTTCGTCAGTATCTTGGCTCACCGGACACTGTCGGGGGTAAGTCAGTGTGGATGCCATACAGATTCATGTCAAAAAAATCCAAACTATCCCTTTAAAACCTGGATGTCAGGAGCTTCTCTGCGACCGGGCCCAAGCTCTGGAACACTCTGCCGCCTCACTTCCCAACAGCCCCACAGTGGAATGTGTTTTTAGTTTAGTTTAGTAGTAGTAGTAGGTAATTTTCTTCAGTCATATACTTAATCATGAACATAATAGACTGTTACATTGAAGCACTGAAGCAAAGCACATCACCACTCACGGCTACATCTCCACATCCACACGTTTCTTTCAACGGACGTTTCTGCCGCTGTCCCACAAAATGCTGCAGCCAAAAACCTCGTCCTTCTCCTTCTCAGTCTCCTCCTTAAAACAAGTAAGTTGTTCATGTTCTGGCTCCGGTACGAGAGGAACTTTAAAATCTCCAGGTGCTCGATGCTGCGTCCATGTTTGGACAACTTCTGTAAACACAGAGACGCTCACTGCGGTTGACGTCATCGTGTCTCCAGTGTCACATGTGGGACACTTTCGGGCCATTTAATGTTCACACTGGAGTCACATACAAGTCACATTTAACTGGAAATGTGAAGGACCTCGCAAAAACATCGGATTTCACAAAAAATCTGAATTGAGCGTTAAGCCCTGCAGTCTGTACTTCATCTAAGGCTTGCTGTGGCTCTTTAATATAGGAGGCTTTGCACTCTCACGTCACCCCTATAGCAACAGTACCTACACCGCCATGACACCGTGGCACCATGGCACACTATGTCATTGACTTCAGCAGCATCGGAGAAACATGGGCAGGTTTTGTTGTGTATTTTGGTTGTTCTAGACGCTCTGAAAGGGATAAAACGATTCGTTTCTTCACTGTTCCTCTGGAAATGACTCATCAGGATCAAACAAGGGAATTATCGAAAAAAAAGACACAGATTATGACTAGAGAACATAAAGAGATTTCCAATGTTGCCATCAAGACACCCGAAGTTTCATCAAGGTATTTGCTATTTAAATTGTTTCATAGCTTATTTAATGAGAAGAGTCTGTGAGCCGAACCTCGAAAGAATCGGCCATGAAAAGATCCTCGCAAACGTTACAAAGATCCACTCACAAAAAGCGATTCATTCTAGAAGACATAGTTATGGATAAGCAAGACAATAAAGAAAACATGGGTCCTACGACGAGTGACATGTTTATATGTGCACTGGAAGATACAGTTTCTACTGCCACTCACACTGCAAATGTTTACTTTTTAAATTTTAGTTCAGTAAATGTGCTTCTCTTTAAATAAACTATGAAACAGTTTAAATAGCAAATACCTTGATAAAACTTCGGGTGTCTTGATGGTAACATTGGAAATCTCTTCGCGGTTTATGTTCTCTAGCCATAATCCGCGTCTTTTTTTCGATAATTCCCTTGTTTGATCCTGATGAGTCATTTCCAGAGGAACAGTGAAGAAACAAATTGTTTTATCCCTTTCAGAGCGTCTAGAACAACCAAATACACAACAAAACCTGCCCATGTTTCTCTGATGCTGCTGAAGTCAATGACATAGTGTGTCCGGTGTCATGGCGGCATAGATACCGTTGCTATAGGGGTCACGTGACAGTGCAAAGCCTCTATACTAAATTTCCTACAACCCCTAAAAATAGCAGCTCTCTGGCATTTTTGTTTTGTAAAAGCAGCTCACCAGAGGAAAACATTTGGAGACCCCTGTGCTGTGTAAATTAAGTATTAAACCCTCTCTCTTTCTCTTTCTGCTCAGCTCCTCTCTTCTGTTACACGTGTGTGTTTCCGGTGGTCTCTCCAGGGGAGTGTATCCGGTTCCCAGTGAAGTGTCCTGTGGAGCAGCTGTGTCTGTCGAGTCGTGCAGTCGGACGCAGAGGTGAGGACGTCTGCCGCTCACTAAACTCACACCTCACACTTTAAAACTCCTACAACACACAACTGACTTTTGTTTAAGCCATGTTACAATGTTGTTCCCTCCTCAAAAACACACCTGGAAGTGTGTTTTGTTTCATTCACACATGTTTGAGTAATCCTGCATTATTAGTCTGTCTACATCTCCAAAACTCAGAATGCTCAGTTTCACCTTGTGATGTCATGAAATGTTCGTATTAACCCACTTTACATGATCCTGGGGTTTTTATTTCGCTGTTTTGTTCATATGGACCTGGCTCACAGGACTACACCTGGAGGTTCACCCAAAAACTATTATAAATACAGAGAAGTACCAGGAAACTCTGTGTTTATAAAGTAAAATGTTAGACTTATGATTCCACCTTGTGATGTCATGAAATGCGATGGTTTTCAAGTGAACAGATGAACGGCTGAAATGATTCAAATGATTCTAGTGAAGGTGTGTGGAGTTTAAAAACACAGGAACACTTCCAGTATCACCACACGACATCAGAAAGTGGAATAAACGGTTTTCGGTTTGAGAAAAGAGCTCGATATTGGCCCTTTAAATGTTCTGTTATGAGTGTAAATGTACGTGATGTATTCAGTTTATTGTTGAACTAAGACAGTTTATGCTAATTAGTCATGTAGTCTTAAGTTTTGTTTCTGTAAAATGTAAACAAATGTGATCAGAGCTGAATTATATGATCAGAGCTGATGTGGATTTATAGTTGTTATGGTTTATATGTTGTAAAGTTGAGTTTATTTCTGCAGAACATTTTAATGAAGAATCTGTTGGATTTGATCTGTGCAGTGGCTCCTCACCGCTGGTTAAACCTCCCGAGCTTCCTCTGCTGAAGGAGCTCGTGGTTTGTATTTTTCCTGGTTTATTAAATTGATTTAAGTTCATTTTTGCGCTTGCGCATGTGTAAGTTTATGTCAAGAAACCGGGATACTCCATTTGATCATGTTCATGCACATCTCCTCCTCATCATCACCTGTGTCCTGAGGTTCTGCTCAGTCCTGGAATAACTCAGAGATTCAGTGTTCAGTCTGTGGCACCGGGGCCCTGAAACACGGAGGACTCTGGCTCTTTTGTATCTGGGATGGGACCATAAACTGTTTGTATAAATAGACATAATAATTTTTTTAGTCCCTATACTTAAACTATTTATTTTCACCATCATCATTTCTTTTCATCATCTTTCACCATCCGTCACAATCTCAAAGAAAGCAATCTAAAAGTATTTTTTATTTATTTTATTTTTATTATTATTATTATTATTTATTATTATTTATTATTATTATTATTATTATTATTATTATTATTATTATTATTATTATTATTATTATTATTACAACCATAATTGATTTATGGTTGTCTTATTATTAATTACAATAATTACAACAATATTATTTATTATTATTATTATTATTATTATTATTATTATTATTATTATTATTATTATTATTATTATTATTACTACAACCATAATACTGATTATAATGGTTGTCTCTATTATTAATTACAATAATTACAACAATAACTTATTTCATTATTATTATTATTATTATTATTATCATCATCATTATTATCATTGGCAGTAGTCATTTTTTTTTATGTATTTATGTATTATTTTTATTGTATTTATGTCTTTATTTTACTATAAATAATGGGTATATGAATAGCCATGTTTTTATCATTGCATATTCTGGAAAAATAAGATCAGTATATTTACATTTAGATTACTGAGGTTAACATTTTTTAGGTTTTCTATTTTAAAAATGTGCAAAAAGGTGTGTGTTCAAAAATATATGTTGTGAACTGTAACTGTTTACTAATATTATCAATATTAATACTAGCGCAGTTTAGAAATACGAATACAACATTAAGTTTTATTTTGCTAAGCTTTATTGTTCATGTGCACAACAGGAGCCTCCTGTACCACCTCCTCTTTTTCTTCTCCAGCTCCTGCTCCAGCGCTGCGCTCACCTCCTCCAGCAGGGAGCGCTGTTTTTCTGTTCTCCTCTGCTTTTCCTCCAAGGTGCTGACTCTTTGAACCTGTAGGGAGCGCTCAGTGTTCAGCTCCTCACAGGTCTTTAAGAGCCGTTTTCTCCTCCTCTAGAGCAGTTTATTTGATTTTCCTGCTCTACCTGCTGGTGTAGAGCCCTGTTCTTCACCATCAGCAGGGAGCGCTCTTCCTCTGCTTTTGTCAAGAGCTGTTCTAATGTTCTATATCTCTCCACCTGCAGGGAGGGCTCTTCCTATGTCAGAGCGTGGTCCAGTGCACCGCATCTGTCCACCAGCAGGTCTCTCTCTGCCTTGAGGTCTTCACGGGTCCTCAACATGGTGGCCTTCTCATTCTCTAATTGTGCTCTGCCACATTTTTTCCTCCTTCACTTCCTGCCCTAGAGTGCAGTTATTTTCAATGAGCAGGAAGTTCTTTTCCTCAGACCTGCTCAGTTTTTCCTGCACTGCACCACATCTCTCGAAATGCACTGAGAGCTCTGCGTTTAGCTCGTGGCAGGTCTGGGGTGAGGGCGGCCTTCTCATTTAGCAGTTCATCTTTGTCCAGTTTTTCCTGCTCGAGCTCCTGTTGAAGTGCAGTGTTCTTAGTCACCAGCAGGGAGCACTCTTCCTCTGAGGTCCTGAGTAGCTCCTCTAGTCCACTGCACTTCTCCTCCAGCAGGGAGCGCTCTAAGCTTAGCTCCTCACAGGACTTCAAAATGGTTGTGTTTTCTTTCTGGAGCTCAGCACTGATGTTTCTCATGCTCCACCTCCTGCACCAGATCACTCTTCTTTTTGCGCATTTGGCTGCGCTGTTTCTCCAGCTTCTTTAAGAGCTGCTTCAGAGCACCATACCGCTTCTCCAAAATGGAGTGCTCTTCCTCAGACATCCTCAGGCTGTCCTGCAGCTTCTCACAGGTCCACAAAATGTTCTCCTTCCCCTCCTCCATGTTGTGAACCTGTGTCTGCATGTGCTTTAGTTCCTGGAGCATCTGGATCTTCTGCTCAGCCTCCTCTTGTTGTCTGAGCTCCGGAGATGACCTGTCTGTTCTGAGTTGGGCCAGTGCATGCTCCAGGTGTATTCTCCAAAGACTTTTCCTGGAGTTTGGAACTCAGATCAGTAGAGTCCTGCTGGAGTCTCTGCTTTTCCATCTTCCACTCTGCTGATTTTTTGCAGGAATCATCTAGGATTGGCTGCAACAGCGTTATCAGGTCTGCAACCGGTTTCTGCAGTCCCTCAATATGTTGGGACTGGGACTGTTCTGGGTTCTGACTGGGTTCTTCAGTTCTTCTGCTTGGACGAACAGTTCTCTTCTGGTTCTGGCTTGAGCAGCTGAGGCAGCTTGGAGTCAAGACGTGACTAAGGTCATGCCCTTCTCCTCTTCCTCCTTAGACCTCTGGTGGTGTTGATGTCCAAGCTGCTCCCTTTCTAAGTTAGAAAGGTGTTCTGTTCTGGTGGCCCAGAGGCCTGATGTGGGTTGGTGGGTGTTATCTCCCACTCCTCCATCAGGTTGAACTCCTGGCTTTAGAGGAGTTGGTCGTCTTCGCTAGTATAATCGCACCAGCCTTTGGGAATGTTTGTCTGAGGTGGGTGTCTGTGTCTCGGTCGAAGGCTGAATAGAAGTGACTTTATACTGGGACTTGTGCCACACCTACAGAAATCATTCTTCTCCCGTCAGATGAAAACTGTGTGTGAGCTTTGTGTGAGTGAAGCACAGATCAATCCCACCACTCTGCGACTCTGTACCCACACGTTTCTTTCTACAGACGTTGCTGCCACTGCCCCACAAAACACCACGACCAAAAACCTCATCCTTCTCCTTCTCAATCTCCTCCTTAAAACAAATCCTCTGTACATGTTTGGCTCCGATACGAGAGGAACTTTAAAATCTCCAGGTGCTCAATGCTGCGTTCATGTTTAGAAGTCGTTATGTCCTCCAATCCTCATGTGGGACACTTTTGGGGCATTTAAAGTTCACACTGAAGATCACATACAAGTCACATTTAATTGGAAATGTAAACAACCTTGCAAAAAAAATAAATAAAAAAATGCACGACATGATGGATGAGGACAGAAAAAGGGACGACATTTTAACAAACATTTGTTTAAAAAATATATACACACAATTCAGGGACGGAAGTTGATCGCATCTGTGCCTCGGCAGCTCAAATCGATGACATTTAAAGAGCCTATCTCATATAAAATAACTCTTTTCACATTGTATCTTCTGCACATAAACAAGCACAATCTGGGTTTTGGAACATCCATTACACAATAGTTCTGAAATCTTACTGATTTCTTGGAGTCAGTAACAGACCAGGAACTATGAAAGTCCGGCTATTGCTCATCCCCCCGCCCATCCTGAGAAAGCACAGGCTCCGCCCTCCAAACGTGACATAGGCGACGAGTGAGCCGCCCTTCCTCCGCCATCTCAGGGAGGGAGGGGGAGACAGGCGTGCACCCTGATAGTGGTAGGAATAAACTTTTATTCATCATGGAGATACAGCGCGTTCAGCCGCATGTGTTGGACCCAGAATCAGAAGAGGACTTTGAGGAGCACGAAGCTCAAGCACCACGTCCACATCAGATGAACATTACTGATTGATAAAGTTTTAATAAACACTAGTAGATCAACTTATTACACCGTGCTCACTGCAGTGTAGAACAATGAGCTTATGCTGTCGCTTTTGTTTCATGTGAAAATTGTCAGCCGATGCGGGGTGGAGGTGGGGTGGAGGTGGTGGAGCAGGGGAGGGGGGCGGGTGTGAAGCACTTTCTGTTCCGTCAAACACGTCATAGGTGTAGCTGCTGCGTCATCGTTGTAGCAGCTTTAGTTCGTTGTCACGTGGGAGGGTGGCAGAAATACGCTGCAATTTGTTTAAAAACGCTGAATAAATCTAAAAAACACTTGTGCGACAAATACAAGGCCCACACATCACTCTTAGAAGGTAGAAAACTCTGAAAAGTAGATTTTGCATGAGATGGGCCCTTTAAACTATAACTTAGGAAGCCGAGAGGGGTCACAACAAACACAAACGTCACAACAAATACAAATGCGACAACACAAAGCCACAACAAACCAAAAAAAGCCACAACGGAAATGACCGCGGGACTCTATTTTAATGCAAACGCTGCAACAAATACAAACGCCACAACACAAACGCAAATGCCGCAACACATTAAAAAGCCACAACACAATTAAAAAGCCACAACGGAAGTGACTGCGGGACTCTATTTTCCGACGGACCGATCAAGTGGCAAGTGAAGAAGAAGAACTACAACGTGAAAAGTAAAGGAACGGAGAAGTTGGAAACGTAAGTAAAAGTAATTTATTGTTTTATCATTATTCGTTTCACATTGTAGTTCTTTTTCTTCACTTGCCGCTTGATCGGTCCATCGGAAAATAGAGTCCAGCGGTCACTTCCATCGTGGCTTTTTAATGTGTTGTGGCTTTTTAATGTGTTGCGGCTTTTTAATGTGTTGCGGCATTTGCGTTTGTGTTGTGGCGTTTATTTTAATGCAAACGCTGCAACAAATACAGAGTCCCGTGGTCATTTCTGTTGGCGTGTTGTGGCTTTTTTGGTTTGTTGTCGCATTTGTATTTGTTGCGGCTTTTGTGTTTGTTGTGACCCCTCTTGGCTTCCGTATATAACAGATGTGTGAATGAAACAAAACACAACTCCAGGTCTGTTTGTGATGAGGAAACGACATTAGAACAGATCAGAATAGTGTGAAAAGTATGGGCCCTTTAACTCTGTGTGTGTGTGTGTGTGTTCAGGGGACTTCCAGGTGGAGGTGACGGAGCGGAGCTGTGTAGCGGCGTCCATGTGCGGGCAGACGGGACACAAACACGCGCTGGGACTGAACTTCACTTTTTACAACACTTGCTGCGACACCAACCTGTGCAACAGCGCCCCCACCTCTAGCGCCAACTACTGGAGCGCCTCTGCTATTACACTGCTGCTCGGCCTCTCTGTGGGGAACGCCGCCCTCTAGTGGACGCTCTTTACATCACCCGTGAACAGACTGGGGATTCAGTACAATGTGAATTTGATGTTTGTGCGTTGATTTGAAACTTTTGCTTTATCTAGATCTAGAACACACACTTCTTCAGCACTTTACGAAGAAGCAGTTTCACCAATGAATCTCTTGAGTTCAGATGGGCATGATTGACAGGTGGTTTAGCCAATCAGGGATAAACAAATATGGACATCTGCATAAAATATAGACCAGTAAAGTATTATCAGGGTGAACATGGTCTATTCACGCTTGTGTCACAAACCAGGAAGATGTTTGAATCCGTGTGTCATTCGTTCATTTGTTTTTCAATATAAAACCAAACATGAGAAAACAAAAAAACAACTATTTTCGTCATTATTTGTCTCTAAAACCAAAATGAAAAAAAATGGATTTTGATTTTGTGTTTAAATGAAAAATGGAAAAAAAAAACAGATAACGGCCGTTTCCTGTTTCTGTGACTTAAACTGCGATGCCGGACTGAACCAGGACTAAACCAGGACTAAAACAGGTCCGGAACCAGACCAGAACCAGACCGGGACTGAGATCAGGACTTGGACCAGGAGCAGACCGTGACTGAGACCGGGATAAGACTGGGACTGAGACTGGGACCAGACCAGGACCACATTGTGATTGAGACCAGGACAAGACCGGGACCAGTCCGGGACCAGACTAGGACTGAGACTGGAACTGAGACCGGGACGAGACAAGGAGCAGACCGTGATTGAGACCGGGACCAGACCAGGACCAAACCAGGACCAGACCAGGACCAGACTGGGACTGAGACCGGGACCAGACCAGGACCAGGACCAGACCGGGACTGAGACCGGGACCAGACCAGGCGCACACCATGATTGAGACCGGGACTGAGACCGGGACTGAGACCGGGACTGAGACCGGGACCGAAAACGGTTTAGTCCTGGTTTGGTCCTGGTTTTCCTGGTTTGTCCTGGTTTGGTCCTGGTTTAATCCTGGTTTAGTCCTGGTTTGGTCCTGGTTTAATCCTGGTTTTATCCTGGTTTTATCCTGGTTTAATCCTGGTTTAGTCCGGCATCAAAGTTTAAGTCACGGAAACGGGAAACGGTCATTATCCCATATTAACCATTTAAACACAAAATCAAAAACTGAAAAAACTAATCGTTATCCTTTTTTTAAATTTTTTATTGTGGAGACAAATAATGAAGAAAACTGTTGTTTTTTCGACTTCTTATTTTTGGTTTTATGTTGAAAAACAAATGATCGAATGACACACGGATTCATTTGGAAACATACGATGATAACTTCCGGCAGACTCTGTTCACAGTAATAAGTCTGACAAAATCTAAGAAAACTGAGAGAATGTTCCAGTTTTCTTCGTCTCCATGTGGGAATGTAACGATATCCAGTTCTCACGGTACAATATCACAATATGCCTCTCATGATATGGTAAGTATTGCGATATTTTGGAAGGTTTAACAGAACTGTACATACACTATTTTTGTATTTTTATCTTTGTCTTTAGTTTGAATCATTACTGCCATATTCCACAGAAATAAGCTTTAAAGTATGTTAATATGTAGTAAAGTTAGTAAAGGATCATGGCCTATGCACTGCCTTCATTTTTAATACTTTTAAGTGAAAAATCTTGTAATTTGATATATTGTGATGGACCATGATATTATTGTGAGACTTCTGATGGTACAATATTACAATCTTTTGGTTATTGTCACATCCCTCTCTCCATGTCATTGTAATGTTCTGTTATGTTCGGCTAATCAACAATTCAAACCAGACCTCAGTTTTCATCATTTCTCCACTGACACACAACTCCGAGTGCACTGGTACATGTGATTAGAAGAGATGAGACCAAATTCCAGATGATTCCAAACAGCACATACGTCTGCAGTCTTCATTTTACCACTGATCACATTTACTTCAGTGGGTTTGATCACAGTCGGTCGAGTCCAGTGTTGAGAACTACACCGGAAGTCGTCTTCACATGTTTCCAAATGTCTTCCTGGTTTATGTCTTAAGCGTGATTAGAGCCTATTCCAGTTCCCTTCTTCAAACTATTATTTATTTGCCTTTGTTTGCAAATCCACACTGATCTCTATTTTTTATACAGAGGAATATCAGTTTGATCCTCCGTCACTTCTCAAGACCACGGTTTATTTCAGTGACACATATGAAACCAAGGAGCTCACTGGTCACAATCATTTACAAATACAATCTAACTGCCCTCCCTTCAGACCAGGGGTCATCAACCTAAAGACCATGGGTCAACTCTGGCCCCCCAGCCCCTCTGCCCCCACCACCTGAACTGGCCCTATGAGACAATCCACAAAAGTGTCATGGCCTATTTATTGAAATTACTTTTGGCAAATAACACGTTTGCATTTTGTAGATTTTTTCCAATTAAAATATATTTCCATGAAGTATTTATATGTTGTATTTACATTTGCTGCTGAATTTGCCATTGAATTTTTGTCACCTGACAAACTCAAGATCAAACAGTGACAGTCGCATGTGCAGAGTACTGTAGTGCAGAGTACTGTAGTGCAAAGTACTGTAGTGCAGAGTACTGTAGTGCAGAGTACTGTAGTGCAGAGTACTGTAGTGCAGAGTACTGTAGTTCTGTAGTACAGTTAAGGACAGCAAAACGACAAATGTTAAAGTACAAAAAGTTGACAGAGTGCACAGTTTTCAAAGAACAGTGGACGACTTTTTGTGTTCAGTGTGAGGAGCGTGCAGTTTGATATGTAAAGAAAGTGTGACTGTTTTCACAGAATATAATCTGTGTCATCAAAGTCAAACTATTCTGTTAAACGGCCCCGACCCCCACCACAGTCAGGAGCCATAATGTGGAGTTTAGTTCCTTGATTCTGCAGAAATCTGTGATGTTTTTCAGTCCTCTGATATATTTTTTTTTGATACAGGCAGTCCAGTGCTTGTCCCTGATTGACAGGTGGATTAGCCAATCACACCCATTTAAACTCGGGGAGATTCACCGAGATTCATCTTTTTTTTGTATTTCTACTCATTACTGAAAACTAAACTAGATCTAAACCAGGACTAAAACCAGGTATAAACTAGATCTAAACCAGGACTAAAACCAGGTCTAAACTAGATCTAAACCAGGACTAAAACCAGGTCTAAACTAGATCTAAACCAGGACTAAAACCAGGTCTAAACTAGATCTAAACCAGGACTAAAACCAGGTCTAAACTAGATCTAAACCAGGACTAAAACTAGATCTAAACTAGAGCTAAACCAGGACTAAACCAGGACTAAGACCAGGTCTAAACTAGTACTAAACTAGATTTAAACCAGGTCTAAAACAGGACTAAAACCAGGTCTAAACCAGGTCTAAACCAGATCTAAAACAGGACTAAAACCAGGTCTAAACCAGGACTAAAACCAGGTCTAAACTAGCTCTAAACTACATTTAAACCAGATCTAAAACAGGACTAAAACCAGGTCTAAACCAGGACTAAACCATTCTAATCTTTGCTACTCTACAGCAAATCAAGTAATCCAAAGTATTCAGATTACATTACTCACTTTAAGTAATTTAATGGATTACGTTACAAACTACATTTTGGGGTATGTAATCTGTAATCTGTAGGGGAATACATTTTAAAAGTCACCTTCCCAACACTGGACATAATTATATAAATGTAAATGTACAAGTCAAAATAAAATAGTAAATAAAATAAGTAATAAAATCTCAGCTTTATCATCTCTGAACTGTATTACTCAATGTGCAACAATTAAAGCCTAAATTGAAAATATATAAATTTCTATAATAAACTCTCCGTTGTGCCAGATATTTAGTTTTTTTTCCAGTTTTCTTTCCCTGTAGTTCCGGGACGCAGCAGCAGGGGGCAGTATTGTACAGGCGTCTCTCGTACGTACAGGTGCAGCTGATTTCACCTTTTGACCCTGACGCAAAGCACGTACACGAACCCCAACCTGACCACGACCCCAAACATTAAAATGAGATTATATCTGTTAAACCGGCGCTTTACTCTGCTCTTGGCGTTTCTTGTGGATGTGACGTTCCCCGCGGAGGTGCACACGGCCGGCTTCGTGAAGACACTTCCCCGGACAGAGCGCTCCTCTCTGCCGCCAACACAGCTCCATGTCCCCGGGCCCGAGGTATGGACTCTACAAGCGTTTTACATCCCATTAAAAACTGTATAAAGCGTTTGGATCATTCTCTAAGTTTGACTTTATTTGGTGGGATAATACGTGTAAATATACATTCTAGTTTTAGACTGACTGAGAAGCAACTTGTGAAGAAAAGTTTGTGATTTGTTGAAAATTACAGGGATTGGAGTTCCACATTGATGACGTCACAGTAGTAATAATCAATCTTTTTCATAATAAATCTTTATTTATGAACAGTGTTGGAGTAACAGATTACATGTACTGGAGTTACATAATCAGAGTACAAATTATGAGTAACTGTATTTGGTTACAGTTACTGTTTCAGTGAGTGGGAATTGGATTACAGTTACTTTGTTGAAATAAATGGATTACGGGACGGTATGTTCTTGTTTTCACATTTTGGGCTGTATCCCTTTGTTTTTTTTGTTTTTTTTTGTTTTTTTGGTATTTCCACTCATTGCCGAAAACTAAACCAGGACTAAATCAGGATTGAACCAGGACTGAACCAGGTCTAAACTAGATCTAAATCAGGACTAAACCAGGACTAAATCCAGATCTATAACCAGGACTAAAACCAGGTCTAAACTAGGACTAAACCAGGACTAAAACCAGGACTAAAACCAGGACTAAAACCAGGTCTAAAACCAGGTCTAAAACCAGGTCTAAAACCAGGTCTAAAACCAGGTCTAAAACCCTAAACCGGACTAAAACCGGACTAAACCAGGACTAAAACCGGACTAAACCGGACTAAAACCGGACTAAAACCAGACTAAAACCTACTGTGTGGACCGTGTCTCCTCTTCTTCTATCGATAATATTTTTAATTTGGTTCAGTAAAGTCTGGGCTTTTTATTTTCTTTTAGCAGATACAACATCTCATGTTATGATTTCCTCGTCTTTGCTTCTCCACAGCAAATCAAGTAATCCAAAGTATTCAGATTACATTACTCACTTTAAGTAATTTTATGGATTACGTTACAAACTACATTCTGGGGTATGTAAACTGTAATCTGTAGTCTGTAGGGAATTACATTTTAAAAGTCACCTTCCCAACACTGTTTATGAAGCACTTTTTAAAACAAGCTTCACAAAGTGCTGTACAGGCAGCAAAGAACAATAAAAAATAACATCCAAAAAGCAAACAAAAACAATGAAGAAATCAATTCAGTTATAATAAATAAGTGAATAAAATAGAATAAAACATAAATAGAAGATCAAATCAAACTAAAACCAGCAAAAGGAAGGTCATCTGATAAAATTTAGTTTAAAGAAGTGATTTAAAAGATGATAATGCTTTTTTTTTTTTTCCTTTGGATGGAAATTGATTGAAAAAATTGAAAAAATGCTGCAAACCAAACGCCATTTTGTGCATGTGCAGCTGAAGAGTTCTATCCAAAAATGAGTAACAATTTACACACTAAAAACATATTTTTCTGTGACTTTAAACATACTTTCAACAGAATAAAGGTGTTTGGTTATATTTTTATTTGGCAAATTTTTATTTCTGTGTAGGTTAGAAGAGTTTTGACATAATGTACAATATGGTTGTTATATAAGTAACAGCTCTAGAATTCCCTCATGTGACGTCACGATTTCTTAGCCTGATTCATCAGCCGGTTTCACTTCATAGAAACTGTCTGACCTAACAGGTATATTAAGCTTTTCCAAAATCCTGTAGGAAGAAGGACAATAACGTCTTTCCCCTTGATAAAAATCATCAAACATTCTCTTTGTTCCATCTTTAAATCCTCGATCTCGGGAATCGTTGACGACACTGAATGTCTGGCTCTTCGCTGATTGGCTGGTGCCCGAACTTGCACCTCTGGGTTTTTGCGAACCGTCTAGTGTATTCTGATTCCTGACCTAGACGCTGGAGAGAAATGAAATTGAGCAGAGGTGTTAGGTGGCGCCAGTCTGACTAACAATTTTTAGAAGAAAGTCAAATTTGAAACCTGAAAAAAATATAAAATTTTTAGTAAACATATTAAATCTAACAATTTTACGTGTGTTTTAGTAAAATGAGCCGTCCAACCTGTCATAATCACTTTTTAAATCTGTAAGAAATGAAGATAGACACAAAATGAACACTCCAAGACCTAGCAGTATAGGTTTATAATAAAGTCTTAATTGGCCTAATTTATCAGGATCATGGTTAAAAAATTAAAAGCACTGAGAATAGAGACACTAGACAAGGATGTTTAGAAAGAAAATGTAGCTTATTCTGTGGACTGTCGAATATTTTAGGCCAGTCTTAATATCCAGTAGTAATTTTTTTAGACAAGCACTGCAATTGCGTTTAAATTTGCGATTTTTGTTTTCATAGGAGGATTCTGTTCACATTTTAAACTGAACTGACAAACAGAATCACCACATGTTTAAACAAACTAAACTACAGGGTCAGTGTTTTTTTTTTCTGCAGAATGAGACCGGAGATTTGTGGAAGAAATGATGGTACAACTTTAAAAATTTCAACCTTTGCGATTTGCTGATTACGTCTGTTCCAATTTTGATTAATTTGTGTTGAATCTTACAGTTGTATCTTTAATTGTCCGGAGCTGTCAGTCAATCTTGTTATTTGGAGCAAAATTAAGACTTGTTTTTTCATTTTGTTCATTTCTAGTAGCCTAATAAAACCAAAAAAATTAAATGCAATCAGTCAATCAATATGGGAACAGCCTATAAGTTTGTAATGTTGCCCAGCTGTAGCCTATGTAAAAGACACGCTACTCTAGACTGTAAATTAGGACATTCATTTAAATGTTTTCTCTTGTTGTGTCTGTAGTTCATGGACCCGGCTCTCCCTCCGCCGTACCTCCTCCTGCCCATGTCCGTGGACTCGGTGAGGCCGCTGTTGGACCCGGAGCACTTCCATCCGTCCGCGGGCACCGGGCTGGAGCGGCTGCCTGCCCCGGTCCAGGAGCTCCTCAGAGCGGCCAGCGGCCCCCGGCCCGACCCCGCGGAGCCGCAGCCCGAGGCCTCCGTGCGGATGGACTGCAAGCACAACCGCATGTACGTGGAGGTGGACCGGGGCGTGCTGGCGAGCGGCGACCGGGAGAGTGCGCTCAGGCTGGGCTCATGCACCCCCACCAAAGCCACGGAACAATACGTCTATTTTGAGTTTAAGCTGAACAAGTGTGGCACCAAACAAACGGTGAGTGTGAAGGCAAAACAGGTTTTATTCCTGTTTATTTAGCCTTATTTTCTTACCTTATTCAATACTCATTTGAACCTCGTTTGGTTTTAGATTAGCTTTAAATACCGACATATTCCATCAATACTACTACGACCGTATTTTCCGGGTCATTAGATGAGGTCTTAAGCCTCTAACCGCATCAAAAAATGACCGCACGCTGCGCAATCCAGAGCGCCCCATACACGAATCCACTCGAGTGTCCCAGCACGACTTCAGTAAACTATAAAGCCACACCACACGCAGTGCATGCAAACACACACGGAGCAGACAGCGACCACACAGCGAAAAACACCCGCGGACACACTCATCACTCCACCTCGACGAGGAACGAACTGAAAAAGTGAGTGCAATGTGCCAATCTGAGTCACAACTGAACAACTGAGTCATTGCCACTGATCCAGTGGTACACGCCACAACTGAACAAAGCCCAGAGTCACCGAGAAGGCCACAAACAAACAAAACCACTCATCCATTTAACTGTTGTGTTTCGTTTAAAGTCCAGTGCGGTTTATTTGTGAAAAAAGTTCAAAAATAGACCATTTAATGACAGTGAGTCTTATAATTCAGAGCGCCTAATAGCCCGGAAAATACGGTAAATAATAGTGATGGGCAAATGAGACGGAGCTCAGGAGCACGTCTTGTTCTTTCTGAAACAAATCACTCTGAAGCGCTGCCTCGGAGCTCGTCTCGCAGCAGCTGCTCACGTGACCAAAGTGTGGAAGTGTCGGCCCCTCCCCCTACTGCTTCACTATGCGTGTCAGTCGCTTCAGTGTATCGAAGCGTTTCATTGGCTCAGCGAATGTTCCGCTCTGCAATTGGTTCAGAGTGCTTCAGAGTGTTTAGCGCACTTCCGTGGTTTGACAAACTGCTACAGTGTAAAAGATGCACCAATATTCCTTAAAAATGTTGGGTAGTGAGGAGTATTGTGTGACGTTAGTGGTGATTTTGGCGACTTTTGGCATTTGTTTCATTTTCGATGGCATCTACAAGTGGAAAAAATCAATCCATGGTTTGGGATCAGTTTGATCTAATTCCACCTAACAAGGTAACACCTATTTTCTTATTTACAGCTGCTATTTATGTTGCTCTTTACATATTATTTTAAATCATCATTATTATTGTTGTTGTTAGGTTCAGTGTTGCTCTGAACACAAGTATTGACTTATAGTTAAATTTGTCCACTAGAGGTCAGTGTTTCTCCGAGGCCTCAGACACGTCGAACCATTTGAGACAATATTGCGACTGAGGTGTCAACGCTTCACAAAACTCAATTCACCCATCACTACTAAATAATAATAATAATCATAATCATCATCATCATAATCATAATGTAACATACCAAAACAGGAGACAGATAAAACCATTTTCACAACAGCCAGAAGTGTCCTGTTGTAGGGTTGTGGAACTTCCGGTTAATAGTTTTCTACCACAAAATGTTTGTAGACATGTGTGTCGTATTCTCCAGCAGCTTCATTAGTCTGCCCCATCACCAAATCTTCAACCAACAAAGTCCACAAAGGAGAAACATTCTTCATGAAGAATTTATCCACAACTATCAAGAGAAGAAAGACGAAAACTTAAAGGAAAACAACAACGACACATTAGTGAACTACTTGCACTGCGAAAAACAAAATCTAGTCATGGTCAGAACGTTTTATTATGATTTCAGTAAATTTCACTTCTAAAATAATCTGCCAGTGGAATAAGAGTTTTCGTACTTAGAATCTGAAAATACATCTTGCTGCACTTAAAATAAGAAACAGAATCGCATGTTGCTTGAATTAAGTAATGTACTTCACTCAGACTGATTCTAGAATTAAAATTCAAAATGGATATCATGATGTTAATATTAGCATAGATAGAAACATGTACCGTATTTTCCGGGCTATTAGGCCCTCTGGACTATAAGACGCACTGTCATTAAATGGTTTATTTTCTAACTTTTTTCACAAATAAACCGCACTGGACTTTAACGGAAACACAACAGTTGGATGGGTGAGTGGTTTTGTTTGTTTGTGGCGTTCACGGTGACTCTGGGCTTTGTTCAGTTGTGGCGTGTAGGGAGGGTGCTGTCTGGGACTGCAGGCTTGTTGGCGTGTTCGCAGTGACTCAGTTGTTCAGTTCTGGCTCAGAAAGGCACATTGGACTCACTTTTTTGGTTCGTTCCTTCGCTCCGTTCCTCATCGGCGTGGAGTGATGAGTGTGTCTGTGGGTGTGTTTCGCTGTGCGGTCGCTGTCTGCTCCGTGTGTGTTTGTGTGTTCTGTGGGTGGTGCGGCTTTGTAGTTTACTGAAGTCGTGCTGGGACACCGGAGTGGATTCGTGTATAGGGCGCTCTGGATTGCGGGGCGCGTTCGTTGTTTGATGGGGTTAGAGGCTTAAGAGTGCGTCTAATAGCCCAGAAAATACGGTAAACATCTCTAGCATTCATATTGCTCAAATCTATCGATCTAGGCCGATCCAGTAACCAAATGTTAAGATGAGTAAAGTGACAGACATAACTCAGTGCAATCTGATTACCATCCAGAACAATCATGAAGATCGCTTTCAGTTGCTTTTCCCACTAGAGATGAATGAACAGTGATTCCGGACAAGTTTATCGGGCCAAATTCTGTTGTTTCCATGAACGCTGCCCCGCATCGAAGCAGTGGCCACTCCAGTTACAGTGCACACCTGTGGAGTGGGCTCTTTGCCAGTTTTAGAAGAGACTTACTACAACCTGTGCATCGACGAAATCCAGGACGTCCATCTGGGCTCCAAACCATTTTTCTATTCTACTTTTTTCCCCTTTTGCTTTTGACATTGTCACGTTCATTAAAGAGAAAAAGTCTTCTATAAACTTTTTAAATAATAAAAAATTGCTTTCCTTTCTGCAAGAAACTCGTCCCCTACCTTTAGATCACAACGTTTGGAAAACACTTTGGGGAGATGATCCATTATGTAAAAACAAGTCATCTGGAGTAGCAATTTGAAAGGAAACTTAAAGGGTTGAATCCTAAAACAAATTGTCCACAAATTTGACCAATGGTTAATACTAGGTTAATCAAAGCAACATTAGAGAATCACTTTATCTTGGGTAATATTTATGGACATAAAAATAATCAAATAGGCTCAGCCCTTCTTGAAAAAAATTTAAACGAAATTTTAAAACTTTTTTTCCAACTGACAAACTGATTTTAGGGACAAATGGGATGCAATAACCAATGCCGGTCTTGAATGTTTTCCCCAGAGATTCATTCAGTGAAATCAGCAATATCCTTTTTTTTTTCTTCAACTGTTGTGATTTTAATATATGTGTATTATACTTTTAGTCAGCACTATTAATGCCATGTAACACACATATGCACAATATGTAAACCCAAAACAAATGAAATGGAAAGGAGCATTTCTTCAAGACTTCATATACTCTAACAGGTAACTATGCCCTGTCAGTCATCGTATCATAGTCTTCCATATGACCCCTTGTATATTGCTGAGATTTTATATTACTTATTTTTCTGTTTTATTTTGACTTTTGCATATACATTGATAAAATTATGCCTTATTTGACACATGTTATTATTAATAATATGTTATTATATTGTGACGTGAGCTACTGTATATATAATAATAATTTCCCTTGTGGATCAATAAAGTTTGTCTAAGTCTAATACAGGTAAAAAACAAAGTAAGAATAATATTCAAAATTTTGCATCAATATTTAAATCGATTGTCTTTTTTATGAATGTATATGTATGCATGTATTAATTATTTAATATTTTTGGATAAAACTCGAAGTGAAATACAAATATTACAACAACATTACAACTCTTAGGAATCAAATATTTTTTATTCTTCTATGACAAAGATAGCAACTATGATTTGAAATGCTTTACTCATCATCTCATTCTACTAGAAACATACATAAGTGTAAATGTGCAACAACAAAAACAAAATGCATGCATGTTTTTTTTTTTAGTTTTTTTTTTTTTTTTTTATGAGGGAACAGCATTATAATATGGTAGAAAGCTTAAAAAAAACAACAACAAAACAGACCACGACCAAAATGGCATGTAACTCTGACTGTTCAGGAGGTTATTTAAGTTTAAGGAAATGTGCCGTAGATAAAGACCCAACCCTGACCCCAGCGTGTAGAGGCTGAGTGAACTGTGTCTGGACTCTGTGGAGGAGCCTCATGGTTTGACCCTGAACACTGTAAAAGGACAGAGCCCCTGCGCTGTGGTCCAGGTAAACCCCGATTCTGGACCCGACTGGACCTGAGATGTTAGAGTTGACGTTGATAAACAAAAATGAGCAATAACCTTCACTATCACAGTATAAGGCCCAGGATTTATCATTGTACCCAAACACACAGTTTCTCTCAGTGTCTCTGTAAGCAGCTGCTACTCGAACTGTCCCATCCCACTCCAGCTCCCAGTAACAGCGGCCTGTCAGCTCCTCCCGGCTCAGGGCCTGATACACACTGAATCTGTCTGGATGATCTGGAGACCACTGCTTTTCAAACACAAATGTCACTCTTGTGTTTCCATCAGACAGAGATAGACGTGGGTCTGCTGTGTCTGGGTCCAGGGTGATGTTCCGTGCGTATCTGAGGAAGTCCTCTCTGCAGCTGGGCTCAGGGCTCAGTTCCTCTTGGATTTGAACCATGTTCTTCTCCAGAATGAGCTGCAGTTTGTCCCTGAGCGCAGACACAGCTCTGGACACGTCCTCAAAGTCCCTCCTTGGTCTGGTCTGGATCCTGGACTCTGTGCGCTGTGTGTCTGTGTCCAGAGGGGGGCAGCGCAGTATAAACTGGTTATGATCCTGGGTGAGGGCCAGTGTGTCCAGCTCAGAGAGGCTCCTCTTCAGCTCACTCACGTCCTGCTGCAGTTGGTCCTGGAGCTCTTGGACTGGGCTCAGTTGGGTCTGCTCCTGGGAGCGGATCTGCTGCTCCACTTCAGAACGTCTTTTCTCCAGGAGAAGGGCCATCTGTGTGAAGCTGTCCCCGCTGTGCTGCAGGGCCCTCTGGGCAGAGCGGCTGATGTTCTGTGCCTCCTGTTGGAGCATCTTCAGGTCTGTCTCTTTGTGCTGGAGGCTCTGGAGCAGCAGGACCCTCTTGGCCGGCAGCTGTGCCTGCCTCTGGGCCCTCTCTGAGGCAGAGGACACGGTGTGGTGGGTCTTGTGGTGCTCCATGCAGCAGACCACACACAGGAGCTGCCCGTCGGTGCGGCAGAACATCTTCTTCACCTCGTTGTGCTCGGAGCACAGGTTCTCCTGGAGGTGGTGTGAGGGCTCCACCAGCTGGTGTCTCTGTAGCGCTGCGGCGTCGTGATGAGGCTGTAGGTGCTTCTCACAGTAAGAGGCCACACACTGCAGACAGGAGCGCAGCGCCTTCAGCTTCCTCCCAGTGCACACGTCACAGCTCACATCTCCAGGAGCGGCGTAGCAGCGGTCAGCAGGGGGCGCTGTGAGCCCGCTCCTCCTCAGCTCCTCCACTAAACCTGCTAACATGATGTTTTTGCCCGGGACAGGCCTGGGGCTGAAGTTGTGCCTGCACTGAGGGCAGCTGTAGACCGGCCTCTCTGTCTCCTCTCTGTCCCAGTGACTGTGGATGCAGCTGCTGCAGTAGCTGTGTCCACAGGGAATAGTGACCGGCTCCTTCAGTTCCTCCAAACACACGGAGCAGCTCAGAGCCGCCGGGTTCACTGTGCTCTGCGCCATTTGTGCCTCTGAGAGAAACACTCCCTTCAGGAGGGATGATAACAAAAATATAAAAACAGCTGTGTCTTCAATTGCATAAATTCAGTATTTTAGTTCCTCTTATCAATAAAATGATAAATTATTAACCAAAATCACATGGTAGAAAATGCTCCTTCCTCGTGTATTTTATTATGTATTACAGCTTCAGATATCAAAGTGCCAGCTGTTGTTTTTGGCCTTATTAAAATAGGTTCACTCTTTAGTATTGCTGCAGACAGGGAGGTCCGCCACCTGCTTGTTGTCAATGGAGATGTTACAGCTTTATCTGAAATATTTCACTGTAGAGCATTATCTATCATTCATTCAATTGTATGTGTTTATCCATCCATTTTCGTCCGCTTATCCAGGGTCGGGTCGCGGGGGCAGCAGCCTAAGCAGGGACTCCCAGACTTCCCTCACCCCAGACACGTCCTCCAGCTCCTCCGGGGGGACCCCGAGGCGTTCCCAGGCCAGCCGAGAGACATAGTCCCTCCAGCGTGTCCTGGGTCTTCCCCGGGGTCTCCTCCTGGTGGGACATGCCCGGAACACCTCCCGAGGGAGGCGCCCAGGAGGCATCCGGAACAGATGCCTGAGCCACCTCAACTGGCTCCTCTCGACGTGGGGGAGCAGCGGCTCTACTCCGAGCTCCTCCCGTGTGACTGAGCTCCTCACCCTATCTCTAAGGGAGCGCCCAGCCACCCTGCGGAGGAAACTCATTTCAAGCGCTTGTATCCGCGATCTCGTCCTTTCGGTCACTACCCAGAGCTCATGACCATAGAGTGTAGTGTAGAGTATGTGTTTATTTTGCTTATAAATATATGAAAAACATGCCTCTTACACAGTGCTCACACCTAGAAAGTGCGTTCTTGGGCTCTGTTTGCTTCTGTGTTGTCTTCAGCTGAAGGTTGACTGATAGGTAAAATAAAAAGTACAAGATATTTTTTTATGCTGTTGACCCACTTTGGGAATGAAGGCACTACAATGTGTAAAATGTACCCCAATGCTATCAAGGGAACAGTAATGTAATGATTTGAGATCAAATCGGTACACTTATCACAAGTGTCCTCAAGTGTAGGGCCCGACTGATAAGGATATTTTTGGATCCAATATGATAGCGATACAATGGACTTTGGAGCTGATATAAAAAAGCCGACATATTTAGTGACATAAAAAGTGACTGTAAATATTCAACTAATTCTAAAACTTAGGTTTGGCTCTGTTGGATTTTAAATTGGGTTTGTTTAGGCAACTATTATTGTTATTCTGCCTCTTTACAGTCATATTATCTACATATATATTTTTAAGTCGGTAGGTCGGCCTAATGGCGTTTTTGCATGACATTCTAGCCAATAAACAAAGTAAAGTACCTTTATCAGCCTTTAGCGGTAAATGTGTGCGCTCCATGGTAATTATGTGTAAATGTGGCCCATTCACACCACTCTTCACAGCTCATTTACATATCTTACATATCAGTGTGTGTCTAGTAATGTGTATACAGCCACTATAGTCACTTTGCATTAGGCCAGTGTGAGAAAACAGGCTGTTTCTATGTGGGAGCTACAGCAGCTAGGCTCTAACCAATGAGAAAGAAAAGTAACTTCAAAACCGACATGTTTGCAACACTCACCGCTCATACAAACACCTCTCAGATCACAAGCCTTCACAAACAAGTGTCTTTAATCCTGACTCAAAATGATTGTCCATGAAAAGAATAGAATCCAGCAGCTGTCTATGTGATAGTCAGTCCTCTCTTCTCCTCATTCGGACTTTTTTTGTTGCTGGCCAAAACTGAGCTTAAATGAACTTTTATTTATAGTTAGTGTCGTGGATCAGACACGTGACTCTGGGGGTGCGTTCAGGTGCATTTGGGCAACACAGACAAATTACTCCTCTGAATCCTGATGCGGCGCCACATATTAGGACATTTATCTGTCTGTAAATTGGATTAAATGAACATAATATAGAGAGTCTTTATAACTTTATTATCTTTATAATGAGGTATAACATGCCACGTGGACTATCAGCCCATATCGACAAGATTTACACTGATAGCCGATATGTCTCTAAGTGCCCAGATCGGCCGATCATTTTGGCCAACCGATATATCGGTCAGGCTCTACATAAGTGTGTCATATCAATAGTGTGTTTTTAACATGAGGAGAAGCATAGAAGTCAGTGTGTATCTAATATCTTTAAATATGAATAAAAACTGTGTTCTTTACAAACATTTATACACCACTTCATTACAAAAATGCTTGGAAAGAGCATGATATCAATATGTTATAAATACATTTAAAATGAGCACAAAACACACAAGTTACTACAAATGATCTAAATGTGTGAAAAATGCATTAAGAATCTATTTCATACTACTTTTCTATATGTGTCTGTCAAAGGTGTTCTCTGCTCTCCCCTTCCTCTAGACGACTCCTCTCCTCTTCACTTCCTCTAGACGACTCCTCCTCTCCACTTCCTCTAGACGACGACTCCTCTCCTCTTCACTTCCTCTAGACTCCTCCTCTCCTCTTCACTTCCTCTAGACGACGACTCCTCTCCTCTTCACTTCCTCTAGACGACTCCTCCTCTCCTCTCCACTTCCTCTAGACGACGACTCCTCTCCTCTTCACTTCCTCTAGTCTCCTTCACTTCCTCTAGTCTCCTCCTCCTCTCCCCTTCCTCTAGTCTCCTCCTCCTCACCTCTCCCCTTCCTCTAGTCTCCTCTCCTCTTCCTCTAGTCTCCTCTCCCCTTCCTCTAGTCTCCTCTTCACTTCCTCTAGTCTCCTCTCCCCTTCCTCTAGTCTCCTCTCCTCTTCCTCTAGTCTCCTCTCCACTTCCTCTAGTCTCCTCTCCCCTTCCTCTAGTCTCCTCTCCCCTTCCTCTAGTCTCCTCTCCCCTTCCTCTAGTCCCTCTCCACTCTCCACTAGTCTCCCTCTCCACTTCCACTAGTCTCCTCTCCACTTCCTCTAGTCTCCTCTCCTCTTCCTCTAGTCTTCCTCTCCTCTCTTCCTCTAGTCTCCTCTCCTCTTCCTCTAGTCTAGTCTCCTCTCCACTTCCTCTAGTCTAGTCTCCTCTCCACTCTCCTCCTCTAGTCTCCTCTCCACTTCCTCTAGTCTCCTCTCCACTTCCTCTAGTCTCCTCTCCTCTCCTCTCCACTTCCTCTAGTCTTCTCCTCTCCACTTCCACTAGTCTCTCTCTCCACTTCCACTTCCTCTAGTCTCTCTCCACTTCTCTCCTCTCCCTTCCTCTAGTCTCCTCTCTCCCTTCCTCTAGTCTCTCTCCTCTCCACTTCCTCTAGTCTCCTCTCCACTTCCTCTAGTCTCCTCTCCACTTCCTCTAGTCTCCTCTCCACTTCCTCTAGTCTCCTCTCTCCTCTCTCCTCTAGTCTCCTCTCCACTTCCACTAGTCTCCTCTCCACTTCCACTAGCTCTCCCTTCTCACTCTCCTTCCTCTAGTCTCCTCTCCACTTCCTCTAGTCTCCTCTCCTACTTCCTCTAGTCTCCTCTCCACTTCCTCTAGTCTCCTCTCCCCTTCCTCTAGTCTCCTCTCCCCTTCCACTAGTCTCCTCTCCCTTCCACTAGTCTCCTCTCCACTTCCACTAGTCTCCTCTCCACTTCCACTAGTCTCCTCTCCACTTCCACTAGTCTCCTCTCCACTTCCACTAGTCTCCTCTCCACTTCCTCTAGTCTCCTCTCCACTTCCTCTAGTCTCCTCTCCACTTCCACTAGTCATCTATTAAATGAATGAGAATGAGTGATATGTGTGAGTGTGAGTGTGGCCATTCTACCTTGTCAAAGCCTGATCCCGTCAGACCTCAGAAGCTCAGCAGCTCTGGGTCTGGTTAGTACTTGGATGGGAGACTGCTGGGAAAATCAGGTGCCACAGGGGGGCGCCAGTCGCAGAAATGTTGTGTTGCGTCATCGTGTCCTTCGGCAAGACACTTCACCCACATTCCCTGGTATAAAAGTGGTGTGTGAGTGAGTGTTGGTGGTCAGACGGGCCGATGGCACAGACTGGCAGCCTTGCTTCTGTCAGTCTGCCCCAGAGCAGCTGTGACTACAATAGTAGTTTACCACCACCACGTGTGGAGTGACTGAATAATACTCTGGAAAACATCGGAGTGTCCAGAAAAGCACTATAGAAAATTGATGCAGCATTATTATTATTATTTAATAATAATAATTTAATAATATGATTTGAGTGCGGTGTAACTGTGAGCGGGCTCGCCTGTCACAGATCTGATGTGTAACTTGGCCTGGTGGCATCACCTGTTTGTCATGGAGGTAGTTGGATTTCATGTCATAGCTCCGACATCCAGAATATGCACGTTCCTACAGCTTGATTTTTATAAAAAATCTTACACTTGAATGTTTCCAGAGGGAGCAGGACCAGGTGGTTTTCTCCAACACACTTCACTATGAACCAGAGACGAGCCCCAGTCCCATCCGACGCACGGCCCCCTTCACCCTGCACCTGTCCTGCCGCTTCAACAGGTAACTGCACCTGCCCTGCGTCAGGGTTATCAAAAGTAACGAAATTCTGATACCAAAATTAGTACTGAAAATAAACACTAATTTTTCGCAGTTATCGATGCTAAAAAAGGTCCCAGTGACAGGACAGAAATGAACTTTTCCTGAATGTGTTTAGAATGATGTTGATCTGGATCAGAACAAGTAGAAGACACATAGACTAGTACACACACATGGACCAACATGAACCTACTGCACCACTGACCATTACACAGATAAAACACATGGGGATAGAAAAGAAAGTTCTATTTCATGTCTAAATATTGTTTTTATTATCATTGTGGTAGCAGAATCAGTATTGACTATAGTGTGTTCCTTAGTATTGACATTGAAATGTTAGTGTCATGACACTGCCGGGCACCTGTCCTGTCAGTTCAACAGAAAAACTGCCTCTGTCCTGAATGTTCCACAATATGTCTTTTTTTAATATTTTTTTTTTTAATGTCTGCTTGACATAAATGAAGATAAGTTTTTCATACTGTGAAACATTCTCCAGGCAATAAAGTTTCCATGGAGACATGGGGGTCTAGAGGTCCAAGTGTGATTGGTTTGGTATCCACACTTCAAACTCCGCCCCTGCTGTGGGTGTTTGTATCAGAAACACCTGGAATCAGGGCAGTCCTGTGTGATGTCACCAACTACTGGTAATCACAGAGGCTCTTGGAGGCAGGTACGAAGGCAGATTTAGGTGTTTTTAAGCTAAAGCTGCAAAGTTTTGAAAAGACAATGGCATTAAAATGCTTATTGATAATCTTGATACTTTGCGTGACATCACACTGGGGGTGTTCTACATGTATTTGTAGGGTGGAATGTTCATCAGTTACCATGTTGATACAACACACACATTAGCAAACACTGCCAAAAATGTTTCAAAATAGTCTGAAATCTCGAGAACAATGTGTGTGTTTGATTTTTAACAAAAGCTGAGAGTGAATAACTGAAAAAGTGTTTGCAAAAGCTGCCAAACATGTCTAATGTTCACTGTAATGTTATTTGAGAGGGACTTGTTGAACTCTGCTCACTTGTTGTTGTTCCAACTATGTAAATTCTTTATGGTCAAATAGTTTTGAAATAAAGAAAGTCTAACAAGAGACGGCAGAACCTATAGTTAGAAGTGGATTTATTGTTTAGCTCCACTTTAAACTCCTGTATTCTGGTGTAACTCCTGGTTTATGTGTTTCAGATTCCAGTACTCGTACAAAGTCGGCTACAGGCCCAAACTGAGCGTCCGAAACCTGTTCAGACGGATGAGGAACAGGAACAAACTCACCCTCTCTCCAAGAAATGGTGAGCCCACATTTGAAGTCTGTTTTACGTGTGCTCTTCCTTAGTTTTAAAGATGCACTGTAACATTTGTGGTGCTTCTGCCTGTCTCAATGGAAATTTGTGTTTGCCTGGAATGTTCCAAAGTATAGCATTAAACTTATCTATCTTGCATTTCTTCAGGTGTTTTAATTACAGCAAGAATGCATCTTATTCATCTTATTCATGTTATTCATGTTATTCATGGTGTTTTTGAATGAGCTCACCTCTCCACAGATTTGATCCATAACTTGGGAGGATCCTCGTTCTGTTTTCTAGTGTTTCTTATCTTTGTGGTATCAGTATCGGTATCGAGTATCGAGTCTGAAACTTTAGTATTGTGACAACACTAGAGTAAAATAGATGAGGAAGAGATTTCTCATGAAAAACAGTTGAAATGACGTCAGTCTCTGTTTGTTTTCATAACTTCTTTGTGTATTTTAAACTCTCTTATCCTCAGCCCTGTGGGAGCCCCTGTCCTCCTCCGACACTTTCACTTTAGGGAGGCCCATGTTTTTTGAGGCCCAGGCAGAGCTCCCCTCTCCTGGGCAGAGGCTGTACGTTCACTCCTGCTTCGCCACCCCAGATCCATCGCCCTCCTCTGCTCCACGCTTCACCATCGTCAACAACTACGGGTATGGAACTGAGGCTTTAGAAAAGGGGCTCTGTGTGACACCAAGTCCACTGACTTCAGTGGGAGAAAAGTGCATCACATGCCGTAGGCCGCTCCTGTGGATATCTGCAGATCATGTTAATGAGTAGCAGATTTTATTTTCATTTTCACCACATGATTATGTGACAGTGCCAAGTCCTGTGTGTGTCACTGATTCATCAAATTGGACAGAGAAGTGTGTACGTGACAATGGACATGTCCTGGTGTTGGAGAAAACAGGTTCGACTTGAGCATTGACGTCTTGAATACAGGAGAATACAGATTACTGAAGCATGTATGAATTACTCTGCAAACAGCTTCAGAGGGTCAGTGAGAAGGAAACGGCTATGACAGAGTGAAAAGCTCTAAAGTCCATGTTGTAGAATAAGTCTGCTGTAATGTGGACCAGATCTGTACTGTCCATCAGGTGCTCGAGGGCCCAAAGGAGTTTGCCACAGTGCACAGGTGCTTTGTGGATACTTTGAAAACACATAAGATTTCAATGTGGGAAAAAAAAGTTATATATCTCTACAAATATGGACAGGGCAGTGTCTTAGGAGCAAATGGATGCTCCTCTTATAAGTAAATCAGCCACAGAGGGCTTAATTTTATAGACACCCTGAAAATCAAAGTGAAATAATGATGTTGTCAAAATGTCTGCAACTCTAAATGCTTCTCTGCATGTTTGACAACATCGTGAGATGCTCCTAATGAGATGATGGGTGGAGTCTTGTGGGATGTTCTCCCAGATCTGTGTAAGAGCATCACTGAGCTTCTGTAGAGTCTGAGGGGCAACCTGGAGGCACTTGATGGACACAAACATTATGTCCCAGAGGTGTTCTATCTGGTTTAAGTCAGGTCATCGTGAGGGCCATTCATCCTCCAGGTTCTGCCTCCAGACTCTTGCCACATGAGGCCGGGCATTGTCATGCATCAGGAGGAACCAGGACCTACTGCACCAGCGCAGAGTCTGACGCTAGGTTCAAGGATTTCATCCTGATACCTAATGGCAGTCAGACTGGTGTTTGTAGTCAGTAGAGATCTGTGTCCCTCTGTGGATCTGCCTCGCCAGAACATCACTGACCACCACCAAACTGCTCATGCTGAACCATGTTACAGGCAGCAGAGTTCTCCTCATCTTCTCCAGACTCTTTCACGTCTATCACAGGTGCTCAGGGTGAACCTGCTCTCCTCTGTGAAAAGCTCAGGGCACCACTGGTGGACTTGCCAATTCTGGTGTCATCTATCAGATGCCAATGGAGCTCCACGGTGCTGGGCGGTGAGCACAGGGCCCACTACAGGACATGGTGTCCTCAAGCCTCATGAAGTCTGTTTGGGACAATCACACCAGTGTCCTGCTGGAGGTCATTCTGTAGGGACAGTGCTCAGCCTGTTCCTCCTGCACAAAGGAGCAGGTATGAGGTCTGCTGATGGTTTGAGGACCACCCCTGTACGGCCCTGTCCAGCTCTCCTAGAGGAACTGCCTGTCTCCTGAATTCTCCTCCATGTTCTGGACATTGTGCTGGAGAAACATTAAATCTCCTGTCTCCAGTCTGTGCAGCTTCTGTAGTGTTATAGAATCACCTCATACTCCCAGTAGTGATGATCACTGGAGCCACAGCAGCACTAGTGGAAAAACAGCCACAAAACACCAAGAGGGAGAAACCTGAAATGAACTCCACATTCAAATCCAGACCTGTTTGAGGGGCTGTGTCTCTGGTGCTGCTCTAGTGTCAACTGTTGTTTATTTCCATTAAAAGAAGAGCATCCTTTTATTTTTAACACATTGTCCTGTCCAGGTTTGTAGACATTTATAACAACATATTATTTTCACATTGATTGAACTGATTTGTTTTCAAAGTATTCCTTTTGTTTTTGTTTTTGACAGTCTTGTATTGTGACTATTCAAATCTCTGTTGTAGTTTGACATTGCGAGATAGGGCCAGTGCTCTGTGGTGTTCATGTGTGTCCCTTCACAGCTGTATGGTGGAGAGCAAAGACGGCCGCTCGTCCTTCATCGCTCACAGGAACGACGTGGTCAGGTTTTCCGTGGACGCGTTTGTTTTCCACGGATTCGAAGGAAAAGTGAGTGAATGTGAGATATTTAGACGACCAGTCAAAAGTCCAGACACACTTTTTCATTTAGGTTTCCTCTTTATGTCCAGAATTATTCACTGTAGACTCTAGATGGCTGGATTTCACATGACATCACAACATTCTATAGGCCAAGAACATTGAATCAAATACAGTTCAGATATAAACTTTGTAAAGCTTTTGGATATTTCATGACAAAGTAGAGTGTTCTTCATAGAGAAAAGTGTCTGGTGCAGTTTGAATGTTGACTTCATATAATACATACATACATAATTCTACATCTGTTGCTTCATATTTGATTTGTCCTGTGTGTATTTTGAAAGTAGAAAGAAAAGTCTGAATGAGAGGCTGTGTCCAAACCTTTGACTGCTCGTGTGGACTCGTGTGTTTCTGCATTTGTTTCTTTGCACTTTTCCAGCAGCTGTACATGCACTGCTCCATGTCACTGGGCCCCGACACTCCCACCATCACAGACAAGTCCTGCAACTACCAGCCTCAAACCAGGAGGTCAGTGGTTCAGTCTCCACTTTAGATTAACCCATTTACCCCGGATGCTGCGCAGTGCAGCGCTGAGTGTCCTGTCAGTGTTCTGGATTGTCTGGCGATCAGTGTAACTGGTAAAGGCGAGGCCACATCTGGAAGCATGGGGGGGCGTGTCCTCCTCTCACTTCCATTCACTCCCATAGAGAGACACAAAACTGCCGGAGCTGTATTGTCACGTTAAACCTTCTTTATGGTGGCGTATTATTTCTCCATTGAAAAATAATCCAAATGTATCAAATAAACATGGTCAAGCACAAAAATGTTGTGCTTGACCATGGACAACAAACGGACAACATTTTTGTGCTTGACCATGTTTATTTGTTACACGACATAGTGATATGGCTCTTGTTATAGGAGCGTCTGGAACAGCGACCAGATCAAGTGGTTGAGCGCGTTCATGCACTGGCAGTAAAGGGCAATTTTACCAGGTCTTGATGGGAACATGTGCGGGATACATTTGGAGTATTTTTCAATGGAGAAATAATACGCCACCATAAAGAAGGTTTAACGTGACAATACAGCTCCGGCAGTTTTGTGTCTCTCTATGGGAGTGAATGGAAGTGAGAGGAGGACACGCCCCCCCATGCTCCCAGATGTGGCCCCGACTTTACCAGTTACACTGATCGCCAGACAATCCAGAACACTGACAGGACACTCAGTGCTGCACAACATCCGGCGACATGTTGTGCTTTAGAGTGTTTCAACTATTCCACTCGTCTATGACATAATTGGATCGTTGTTATTTTTACATTTCATGTCTCAAAATGGATTCAAAAACAACTTGATGAAAACAGTTCTGCTGATTTCCACACTGTCCCTTTACCGTGCTGATGGCGCCGCTGACAGAGACTGATTCTGAATACTGAAACAGCTCGGGTTTAGTCCTGCTTTAGTCCAGGTTTAATCCTGGTTTAGTCCTGGTTTACTCCTCACTTAGTTTTGGTTTAGTCCTGGTCAACTCCTGGTTTAGTTCGTGTTTAGTCCTGGTTTCAACCTTGTTCAGTACTGGCTTAGTTCTGGTTTAGTCTTGCTTAATTCCTGTTTGCATCTGGTTTTGTCATGATTTTGTTTGTTTTAAAAAAAAAAGAAAAGAAAAAAAAAACTTAATCTAGTTCTGGTCAGATTTGGTTTAGTCCCGGTTTCAACCTTGTTCAGGCCTGGCTTAGTTTTTATCTTAATCCTGGTTTAGTCCTGGTTCTGTATGCAGTGCAAAAGTCCGGCCAGGTACCAGGACTTAATCTGGGACTGGACCAGAACCAGGACTGAGACCGAGACCAGACCGGGACTGAGACCAGGCCCAGAATAAAGGAGAGGGGGACAGAGTGTGGTGTAGGTCCTGTTGTGTTGAGTTTATTCTGGTCTCTGTTCTGGCTCGTGTTGGTATTGTATAATATCGGCTCGTTTCCCACGGCAACAGTGAGTGTCTCCTCCATGTTGAATGAAAGTTCACATCTGTCTCTGCATTATACGTCTCTATTAGAACACGGCCCCTGATTGGTTGACGTGACGTGAATATTTGTAGAAAATTCAAAATTTTCAGCTTTGGCCAATTTTCCATCATTCTCCCCGTAGAACTTTATTCACACATCAGCGTGCCTTTACACTGGGTTAACATGTAAATCATTGGTCTTGTTTGTGCCAGACGCGTTCAGACTGAACACGTCTTGAAAAGTGGATTTGACACAATGTGTCTCCTGTAGGACCATGTGAACTACTGCACACACTCAAATGTTCTTCCTCGTGTCACAGTTTGAAAATGGGCTTGAGCAGCTTGAATTCTGGAGCAGGTGGATGAGTTGAGTCACAAATCCATTTGTGTTTCATGTGTTGTTCAGGTGGGTGGAGCTTCACGGTTCAGACGATGTTTGTTCCTGCTGTGAGTCGCACTGTGGCTCTCCTGCCTCCACAGGTCAGTCCCGTGCACTGCCACCGGGGGCGCCGTCTCCACACTGAATAACCAGGACTTTCACTGAAATCACATGTTTATAATCCAACGTTAAAGCTGCTGGTTTAGTCCTGGTTTAGTCCTGGTTTAGTCCTGGTTTAGTCCTGGTTTAGTCCTGGTTTAGTCCTGGTTTAGACCTGGTTTAGTCCTGGTTTAGTTTTGGTTTAGTCCTGGTTTAGTCCTGGTTTAGACCTGGTTTAGTCCTGGTTTAGTTCTGGTTTAGTCCCAGAGACACTAAAGGACGGTCAAATGTAGGTTTAACACCAGAGAAGGGCGGGTGGGTCAAATGTGAGGACAAACTTCCCTACAGGGACAATAATGTGAATCTTAAAGTGTGTGTGACTTAATCTGGTGGGATAATACCTGTTATAAATATAAATTATAATTTTACACCAACCCAGAAGCAACTTGTGGAGAAAAGTTGAAAAATCTGTTATGCAAATGAGTCATGTGATTTTAAGTTTAGTTTCTGTAAAATGTAAACAAATGTGCACAAAGCTGCATTAAACACATTATTATTCAGTGTATATTTGATTCGTCCTCGTAGGAAATAAAAAAGTCTTAAGTGTCGTCTGTTTTTCTTAATGCGCCTCATAATCTGGTGCATTTTATAATCTGAAAAATACAGTAATACTAAGAATTCAGAAACACGATCACTCAGTCAACAATAAAATATCTTCTTTAATGTTCACAGATTTATTTTTGTGATTTATAAATAACGTCTATTGACTTGGGTTGAGAAGATTTGTGATTTTTTAAAAATGGGTCCCCAGAAAAAAGTTTGGGAAACACAGATTTACATTCATGTCAGAAAGTCAAATTTCCATCCCAAGAAAAGGTTAAACAGTGTAAAAAATGTGATGTTCTTGCTCTGTTGATGTCAAGTGTTTGAGTAAAGTGTGTATTCTAACCTGTCATGGGCACCTTGACCTTGAAATATTTGTCTTTTCTTTTCAGAGACTGTGATCAGCAGCAGAGCCTGGAACATGAACGTCAAACCTGCAGCAAAGAAAAACCGGCACAAGTCCTCAGACAGATCCACCAAAAGGAAGTGGAACCCCTCTGTGGTCCCAACCTTCAGACCTCCAGGAGAGAGGGGGGAGACGGGAGAGGCCCAGCCCATCTCCGAGGCCGTGCGCTGGGCTGTGACGGAGGAGCGGCCCCTGGAGGTGGTGGGCTCTGCGGAGGTGGAGGAGCTGGAGGAGCTGGAGGAGCTGGAGGAGGGAACGCACCGGATTTTTGAGGAAATCTTTGACCTGGCCCTGTACAACCTCCCAGAAAGTGAAATAAAGACATGAAAATGAAATGTGTATGGTGATTCTGAACACAGAAACAATTAGGATTTAGTCCTGGTTTAGTCCTGATTTAGTCCTGGTTTAGTCCTGGTTTAGTTCTGGTTTAGTCCTGGTTTAGACCTGGTTTAGTCCTGGTTTAGACCTGGTTTAGTCCTGGTTTAGTCCTGGTTTAGTCCTGGTTTAGTCCTGGTTTAGTCCTGGTTTAGTCCTGGTTTAGACCTGGTTTAGTCCTGGTTTAGACCTGGTTTAGTCCTGGTTTAGTCTTGGTTTAGTCCTGGTTTAGTCCTGGTTTAGTCCTGGTTTAGACCTGGTTTAGTCCTGGTTTAGTCCTGGTTTAGTCCTGGTTTAGTCTTGGTTTAGTTCTGGTTTAGTCCTGGTTTAGTACAGGTCAGTCCCGTGCACTGCCACTGGGGGCGCTGTCTCCACACTGAATGACTGGGACTTTCATTGAAATCACATGTTTACAATCCAAAGTTAAAGCTGTACTATGTCACTTTTCTGGTGAATGGTGCACCACCTGTTTGTCTCCAGGTAGATGTTGCTTTATTATGTTCCACAGTATGGCATTCAACTTCTTCTGTTTCCATGGAGACGAGCAGGTGATGCCACTAGATCAAGTTCCAGGTCTGGGGCTTCATTTGTAAAGCTCGTTTACGCACAAATCTTTGCGTAGTCGCTCTTTACGCCAACAGCAGGATTTATGAAACTCGTCCTAAGTGCCGCGCTTTGCTTCTCTCTACGACAGCTCCAACCTGCTGTAAACTCTACACAAAGTCTGGAGACACGGGGAAAAAAACAAACTCATGGAGTTTGTTGAAAATGTCAAAAGTTTTCTTGACAAACACACATATGTGGGAGCAGTATTTCTCGACGCCAAGAAGGCTTTTGACACTGTAAATCACCACATTCTTTTACCTAAATTATCCCATTTTAGTTTGTCTAAAGAGGCTCTGTGCTGGTTTGAATCTTATTTTTCCCACAGACAATGTGTTTCCCTCTCTGGTTTTAAATTGGCCTACCTTCACTGTCCAACAGGGTCCGCCAAGGTAGCATTTTAGGACCTATTTTATTGAATTTATACATCAATGATCTTCCTAAAATGTGTCCAGATGTCAATGTCCAGCTGTGTGCTGATGATGCTGTGATTTTTACACATGCCAAAACTGTACAAGAAGCTTCAGAAACGTTCACATCAGCCATGACTCATGTCCAAAAGTGAGTCAAGAACTCATGTTTGCAACTCAACATCAAGAAAACTGTCTGCATGATGTTCAGTAAAAAAACAATTGATCTACAGCGGACCAGTGTCTTTGTGGACAGGGTGGAACTCAACCTCGTCAAAGAGTTTAAATACCTGGGACTGACGCTGGACCCCACATTGACATTTAAGAAACACATGAAGCGCCTCACAAAAACTGTTCATTTTAACTTAGTGAATTTTAGACAATTCTGTATAGAATAAACACATGGTCACTCACTGCTGGCACAAAACTCAAACCCATCGAATCACTTTTTAAAAAGCCATAAAAATACTGGAAAAGAAACTGATCTCATTTCACCACTGCACTGTTTTAGATAAGTACAATCTGCTTCATTTGAATCATTTTGATGATTTTAAATATGGATGTTTTATCTATTAAGTTTTGCATGGACTTGCGCCTCCTCCGTTACAGGATTTTATTAAAGTAAAGACCGTCAGTGGAAACTAGGGCCACAGTCCGGGGAAACTGTGAGCTCCACACAGACGCTCCACATTCAGACAATGTGTGTCTCAGACAGAGGCACAACATTTTGGAACAGTCTGTCACTATCAAAAAGAGAAACTCCAACACTTGAAACTTTCAAGTCCTACTTGAAACAGTGGCTAAAGGAAAACCAGACTTGTGGCACACTTTTAGTGTATATCTGTCACTTGTTTTTGTTTTTTTCTGTTAAGTTTGTGGTGTTACCTGCCGAGGGCCGACAGATGGAAATGAGCATTCTTGCTATAATCTGTCATATTGACACTGCAGTGTTGTAGATGTTCATTAATATGCCCTGTCCCTATTCAATAAATAAATAAATAAATAAAAAGCAGAAGTGAACAGAGTCTGAGGAAGAGTTGGATCAGGGAAGTTCACCAGAGTTAAACCTACTTTGTCCAATTTTAATAAAACTTGGGATATGGGTAAATCACAGCCAGAAAAGACTCAATTTAAAAGTTTAGTTTGATTGGAGAAACTGTTTCTGAGATATCACAATTTCATTTCCACTTTTTTGTGTGGTCACAGAATTTCAAATTACATTTACTCAACAACTCCTGGTCCAATATTAAAAACCAAGGAATCTCTGGAAAGAGGAAATCAGAATGAATCCAAATCTGTCATTTGTTTTTGCATTTGAAACCCCTCCAGATGTTTCATATGTTGTAGTAGATGTAGAGGGCCACATTTTTTCTGTTGGTGTCATTGAGGTCAGGCGTGTCCTTTATTGTCAATTTCAAGGTCAAAATATAGGTCAAAAGGTCAATTCATCTCAAAAGTTCTCAAATGCAAAAATAAAAGTCAGATTTGGATTCATTGTGATTTCTCCTTCAGTTAATCATGAGTGAACCTTTACAAGTCATTTGATCCTGTTTTGTAAAGCACAGACAAGTCTCTCTTTACAAGAACATATTACATCCATGCAGTGTTGGAGGAACAGATTACATGTACCAGACTTATGTAATCAGAGTACTAATTATGAGGAACTGTATTCAGTTACAGTTACTGTTTTAATGAGTGGTAATTGGATTACAGTTACTTTGTTGAACTAAATGGATTACACAGAGGTATTTTCTAAACCAGGATTAAACCAGGACTAAACCAGGTCTAAACTAGGTCTAAACCAGGACTAAACCAGGACTAAACCAGGTCTAAACCAGGACTAAACCAGGACTAAACCAGGAACTAAACCAAGGACTAAACCAGGACTAAACCAGGATTAAACCAGGACTAAACCAGGACTAAACCAGGTCTAAACCAGGACTAAACCAGGATTAAAACAGGACTAAACCAGGACTAAACCAGGACTAAACTAGGACTAAACCAGGACTAAAACAAGATTTCACAGGACTAAACCAGGACTAAATTATGACTAATCCAGGACTAAACCAGGTCTAAACCAGGTCTAAACCAGGACTAAACCAGGTCTAAACCAGGTCTAAACCAGAACTAAACCAGGACTAAACCAGGTCTAAACCAGGTCTAAAACTGGGAAATAACCCAATGAAGAAGTGAGTCACTAATCATTAGTTGAGTATGTGGGTTAAGACTTTGATACATTTGGGTGGAAAATAACACTTTTACATATGAATAGTTGATGAGTAGTAATGAATTAGTAATGATTTACTAATGATGACTAAAGACATTAAATAATGTATTTACTAATCATTAAATCAGGTGAAAAAATGAAGAGGTTAGTGTGTACAAATGATGAACCAATGTGTTAAATAATGTTTAACAAATGGCTGTAAGATGGACTTCTTCACCATGGACAAAACATGAACAGAAACATCTAGAAATGATGAACTGATGAAAAGTAAATAAGAGTTAACTGTTTACTAATGATTAACAAATGTATTAAGCACAAGTTAAATAAGTCTAAATTAAACATGAACATAAATATCTATAAATGATGAACTGATGAGAAATAATTCAGAGTTAACAGTTTACTAATGATTAACAAATGTGTTAAATCATGCTTAATAAATGCTTAATAAGGAGGAGTTGTTATTATAAAGTGCTACCAGAAAGTGTTTTCTAGTGAATGTTCTTTTGTCCTGAATTGATATGTTCATGTTTGTGCTCCACACCTCGAGCAAATGAACACATGAAATGAAATGAAGAAAACACACATTTTTCACCTTTTCTTTACAATTGTGTACATTTATGACATGATCATTGTTTTTGGATCCCATTAGCTGTCACTACAAAAATACTAATACAAAAACTATTTCCATGATACATTTCAAATAGTACATCCCTGAGACCTGTCCCAAATCCAGTTTCAGTCCTGGTTTAGTTCTGGTTCAGAATGGTTCCACAGATGGGCCTCCAGGTTGTGACTGTTCAGGAGGTGATTTCAGTTTAAGATTGGCCTGTCCCAAATTTGAAGTGTGATATAGAAAATACAGACAATAAACCATAATATTGAAACTCATTTATGCCACCAACACAATAAACCTAAAGCAGGATTATCCCCAAATCTATTCTAAATGTAGAATATAGTCAAATATTGTAATATTGTTTGTATCTATAATCAGTCGTGGAAGTTACTTGTTCCACCATCAACTGCTCCAATTCAATACTACAAAAAATGAACCAAAAGATCAACACTAGCACAAAGAAAAAGTACATGTGATATATACTGAACCCTTAAAAATATTGTTCCATCTTTCAAACATTGAATAATAATTTGAAATGGTATTTATCATGACGGGGATAGTTTAAGGAAAATGTGCTGCAGAAAATAACCCAACGCAGATCCCAGTGTGTAGAGGCTGAGTGAACTGTGTCTGGACTCTGTGGAGGAGCCTCATGGTTTGACCCTGAACACTGTAAAAGGACAGAGCCCCTGCGCTGTGGTCCAGGTAAACCCCGATTCTGGACCCGACTGGACCTGAGATCTTGGACTTGACTTTGTTAAACACAAATGAGTAAGAACCAGAGATGTTACAGTATAAGGCCCAGGATTTATCATTGTTTCCAAACACACAGTTTCTCTCAGTGTCTCTGTAAGCAGCTGCTATTCGAACCAATCCTCGCTCCACTCCAGCTCCCAGTAACAGCGGCCTGTCAGCTCCTCTCCACTCAGGACCTGACACACACTGAATCTGTCTGGATGATCTGGATAATTCTGTTTTTTTCCCACATATTTCACTCTTGTGTTTCCATCAGACAGAGATAGATGTGGTCCTGCTGTGTCTGGGTCCAGGGTGATGTTCCGTGCGTATCTGAGGAAGTCCTCTCTGCAGCTGGGCTCAGGGCTCAGTTCCTCTGGATTTGAACTATGTTCTTCTCCAGAATGAGCTGCAGTTTGTCCCTGAGCGCAGACACAGCTCTGGACACGTCCTCAAAGTCCCTCCTTGGTCCGGTCTGGATCCTGGACTCTGTGCGCTGTGTGTCTGTGTCCAGAGGGGGGCAGCGCAGTATAAACTGGTTATGATCCTGGGTGAGGGCCAGTGTGTCCAGCTCAGAGAGGCTCCTCTTCAGCTCACTCACGTCCTGCTGCAGTTGGTCCTGGAGCTCTTGGACGGGGCTCAGTTGGGTCTGCTCCTGGGAGCGGATCTGCTGCTCCACTTCAGAACGTCTTTTCTCCAGGAGAAGGGCCATCTGTGTGAAGCTGTCCCCGCTGTGCTGCAGCGCTCTCTGGGCAGAGCGGCTGATGTTCTGCGCCTCCTGTTGGAGCCTCTTCAGGTCTGTCTCTTTGTGCTGGAGGCTCTGGAGCAGCAGGGTCCTCTTGGCCGGCAGCTGTGCCTGCCTCTGGGCCCTCTCTGAGGCAGAGGACACGGTGTGGTGGGTCTTGTGGTGCTCCATGCAGCAGACCACACACAGGAGCTGCCCGTCGGTGCGGCAGAACATCTTCTTCACCTCGTTGTGCTCGGAGCACAGGTTCTCCTGGAGGTGGTGTGAGGGCTCCACCAGCTGGTGTCTCTGTAGCGCTGCGGCGTCGTGATGAGGCTGTAGGTGCTTCTCACAGTAAGAGGCCACACACTGCAGACAGGAGCGCAGCGCCTTCAGCTTCCTCCCAGTGCACACGTCACAGCTCACATCTCCAGGAGCGGCGTAGCAGCGGTCAGCAGGGGGCGCTGTGAGCCCGCTCCTCCTCAGCTCCTCCACTAAACCTGCTAACATGATGTTTTTGCCCGGGACAGGCCTGGGGCTGAAGTTGTGCCTGCACTGAGGGCAGCTGTAGACCGGCCTCTCTGTCTCCTCTCTGTCCCAGTGACTGTGGATGCAGCTGCTGCAGTAGCTGTGTCCACAGGGAATAGTGACCGGCTCCTTCAGTTCCTCCAAACACACGGAGCAGCTCAGAGCCGCCGGGTTCACTGTGCTCTGCGCCATTTGTGCCTCTGAGAGAAACACTCCCTTCCTCATATCAAACTCAGAGAGTGTACAGTGTGATCACACTCACACGTGACTGAGGAGGGAGAGGCTCATGGACAAACAGGTTTTTGGTTTAGACTTGGTTTAGTCTCAGTTTATTCCTCCTCCAGTGGGGTGTTCCAGGTCTGCACTGGTTGGTACACTGTTAATCAGGGGTGTTTCAGTCTTGATTTAGTTCTGGTTTAGTCCCGATTTAGTCCTGGTTTAGTCCCGGTTTAGTTCTGGTTTAGTCCTGGTTTAGTTCTGGTTTAGTCCTGGTTTAGTTCTGGTTTAGTCCTGGTTTAGCCCTGGTTTAGTCCTGGTTTAGTTCTGGTTTAGTCCTGGTTTAGTCCTGGTTTAGCCCTGGTTTAGTCCTGGTTTAGCCCTGGTTTAGTCCTGGTTTAGACCTGGTTTAGCCCTGGTTTAGTTCTGGTTTAGTCCTGGTTCAGTCCTGGTTTAGACCTGGTTCAGTCCTGGTTTAGTCCTGGTTTAGTCCTGGTTTAGTCCTGGTTTAGTGCAGTATTTGAGTTCTTGGACATGTTTGGGTCATAAAAATCGACTCTTTAAGCCACTGGTTTGGTTCATCTTTTATTAACATAAACATTGTGGTTAAATGCTACATGGAAAATTCTGTACATTTCTTTTTTTACAAAGTCACGTCTAACTCAAAGATGACTACATTTCCAAACCATACACAATACATACATCAACAACCGTATTTCATTTTCAACTCACTTTTGAGTTCTTCTTTTATCAAAACATTTTACTTACAAACACAAACTTGGTTTCACAAAATAAAACTACAGTATATACGATTTGAAAAGGCACATTTGAAGACGACTTTAATGCCCTGTTCTAATGATTTCTACATTTATATCCAGAAAAATGGGCTGACAGTGGCTCAGTGGTTCGAGCACTGAAGGGACGGGACAATTAGACCTGGACATAAACTTGAACTAAAAATAAAAGGATTTGAAACAAGTGACATTATGGAGTGGATCCAGTCTGCCGTCAAAACCTGTCACTTTTCACTCTCTTCCTCAACTTTCTGACACAAACTAAAGCCCTATTCACACGGGATTAGCATTACCTGTGGACCTTTGGTGAATTGTAATCATTTCCGAGGATTCCTGAGATCTTAATCCTGTGCAAAAGCTCCATGTCTGTAATTTGTAAAGTAAAAATTACACCGCAAATGACCAAATATATTTGACCAAACACAGACGTGTGGTGATAATACTAGTCCTGTGTGAATCTGCATGTCAGTGTTTGTTGTGGTAACTGTGTCTTTTCTGTCTCTTTCTCTTGAAGATGGAGGCTGCGGGAAAAATTTAGATTAGAAGATTTGAGCTTTTTAGGGGCAAATTCTAATACGGCCCCATACACACAGTGTTGGAGGAACAGATTACATGTACCAGAGTTATGTAATCAGAGTACAAATTATGAGTAACTATTCAGTTACAGTTACTGTTTCAGTGAGTGGTAATTGGATTACAGTTACTTTGCTGAAATAAATGGATTACACAGACGTATTTTCCTGTTTGTTTGTTTTTTTCTGTAATTCCACTCATTGCCAGACACTAAACCAGGTCTAAACCAGGTCTAAACCAGGTCTAAACCAGGTCTAAAACCAGGTCTAAACCAGGTCTAAACCAGGTCTAAACCAGGTCTAAACCAGGTCTAAACCAGGTCTAAACCAGGTCTAAACCAGGTCTAAACCAGGTCTAAACCAGGTCTAAACCAGGTCTAAAACCAGGTCTAAACCAGGTCTAAACCAGGTCTAAAACCAGGTCTAAACCAGGTCTAAACCAGGACTAAACCAGGTCTAAACCAGGTCTAAAACCAGGTCTAAAACCAGGACTAAACCAGGTCTAAACCAGGTCTAAACCAGGTCTAAACCAGGTCTAAACCAGGACTAAACCAGGTCTTAAACGGGATTTAACAGGACCATGCTGCGTGGACGTGTCTCCTCCTTTTCTATCAATATTTTTTTTAAATATGGTTCGGTAAAGTTTGGACTTTTCATTTTCTTTTATCAGACAAACTTCTTATGTTACGATTTCCTCGTCTTTGCTTCTCTACAGCAAATCAAGTAATCCAAAGTATTCAGATTACATTACTCACTTTAAGTAATTTAATGGATTATGTTACAAACTACATTTTGGTGTGTGTAATCTGTAATCTGTAGGGGAATACATTTTAAAAGTCACCTTCCCAACACTGAAGACGCACTATTTGTAAACCGATCTGCAGAAACGGGAAGAGGTCCAAGAAGAGAGCCAGTTCTCTCAGGATGACGGCCTGGATGACATGTGTAGCAGCGAGCGCTAATAGATCCATGGGGGCGATCTAATGCCCACGAGATCACTACTGAGAACCGAGGGAGGGGAGCGATCCACGCAACTCCACCCCGTAGACCGACACTGGTTTAGTCCTGGTTAAGTCCTGCTTTAGTCTCACTTCAGTTCTATACCAGTCCTGGATTAGTCTCAGCCCAGTCCTGGTTTAGACCTGGTTTAGACCTAGATTAGTCCTGGTTTAGACCTGGTTTAGTCCTGGTTCAGTCCTGGTCTAGTACGGGTCCAGTCACCTTTAAACTAACTGCCCTTCCTATTTTTATAGCTGATGTGTGGTACGTTTTGGTCCGGTCGTAATATCAGTAAAACAGAGGAATTTACGGACTTTGCTTTTCCCGTGTGAATGTGCTACAAGTAACACAGACGTGGGGCGGTAATTTACAAATGACCACACGTCCCCAGGTTGTACTTATCCCATGTGAACAGGGCTGAAGATCTAAATGGTGTGAAACTGTGATAAACACTTCCCACAGCAGTTCTTCTCCCACCAGATAAAGGATTAAAGCTCCATCTGTAATTCGACTAGTCCCACCAAGCCCAGCTGCATTCTCACATATCACCACTAGATGCTGTCTTTGTTACTGCTGTCCCACAGTGAGCAAGACTTGACCTGACCAAGACCGGAGAGCACGAGGCCAGGTGAGGGGGGAGGGGTCAGGTGAGGGGGGAGGGGTCAGGTGAGTTAAGGGGTGAACAGGTTTCACATCTGTCATCTCGGGGTCTGGTTGTTGACCAGTTTGTGTTGGTCGACTCCTGGTTTTCTGGAGATTATGAGGATTTCTATGGGACAGTAGCACAAATGAGATGTTAGTGAGTGACATTTGGTATTTCTTGGTGTTTCTTTATCACTAAAAAGTCAGATTCAACTCCTGATTCACAAATGTCATCTGTCTTTATAGAAATACAGAGTTTTGTTTTTGCATGAGCTTTGGCCACGCCCCCTTTTTTAGTCGACCAATTCATGGGCAGGACATGTCTTTAGTCCAGGAAGAATGTCTTAAAGGTGCATTGTGTAACTTTTCTGGTGGAGAGTCCGTCAAATTATTTTCTGCATAGAAATGTTATTAGTTTGTCTTGAATGTTTGACAGTGCAGTGGTCCCACGTTTATCGCGGGGGTTATGTTCTAAAAATAACCCATTAACCCACGATTATATCAAAGTTGAACCTGCACCCACCCGTTACCCATCCACGCCCGTGATAAATCACACACAAATTAAAACATTCTGCACACTGAAGCATCCATCAGAATATAAACTGAAAAGTTACGACTTCAAGAATTACAATCACAAAACAAAATGAAACGGTTACGATTTTTTCAGCACGAATACAGACGTAACTCGACTGAAGACTGAAGAAACATTGATCAAGATGATGGAATTTTGCACCGCACACACCACGAACTGAACCAGGACTAACCAGGACTAAACCAGGATTAAAGCAGGATTAAACCAGGACATACTGAACCAGGACTAAACCAGGACTAACTCTCGCGTCAGGCTCGGAGGTGCGTCCGTGTAGACTGTCAGGTGACTGCAGGAGAAAGGACTGGCCGGAGTCCCATGGAGGTAATCGCAGCCGTCCCCCAATCGCGCTTTGCAAACACCCTGCTCCACAAGCTCAAGGTTCTCTCTATTAAGTCCAAGACTAGGCCTGCTTTAGATCTGGTTTAGTCCTGGTTTAGTCCTGACCCGCCTGTGTGTAATCACTTTCAGCTCATAAAATTCCAGATCTTTAAAACCTGTTCGTTTCAACAACTATTTGCTGGGACCCGACCCGGTGCAGGACTCTGCTACAGGTCGTAATTTCTACCTTCCTTCAGCGTGTCCAGAATTTAAACTCTTTGTGCGATGGTTACATCTTCCTCTGCCTTTTGGGGTCAAGCGCAGGAGTCTTTGTCGGTGCAGAACGTTTCGTCGACATTGTGTTTTTTGTCGAGGAGAAACTCGCAAACATCCAGCACTTCAAAATCCCACTGATACAGATCCAACATTTATGTCCATTTGTCAAACTGAACACATTCTGTACTGAACAGGAGACACGGCACAGAGGAGATTGATTGACAATGGTCTACAGTCCCTTAGCCAATCAGGACGCAGGGGGAGGGACATAATCCACATTTATACGAATTTTTAAAAAAAAAGCAAAATTGCACTTAAAAAAAATCTGTGAAACATCGAGGCCGTGAAAGGTGAACCATGTTCTAGTGAGGGACGACTGTATGGCATTAAACCTTTCTATCTTCATGGACACCAAAGCAGACCAAGTTACAGATCAGATCTGTGGAGAGGCGACCCCACTCACAGTCACATTGTCTATTTTTCTAGGTATTTTTGAACTCTACAACCACCTGTAACTGAATAAATGTAAAGTATGTCTGTTTAATGTCACAATGTGGAACATTCCAGGCAGAGCAATGACATCTCCATAGAAACAGAAGAGTTACACAATGCAGCTTTAAGTGGGCTCCAGCCCTAAAACGTACAGATGGTAAGTTGAAGTAAATGAAAGGTGAAAAGCTGTGGTCTGCACTTGAACTCATTGAAACTGTTGTTTGTGCAGGCTGGGCTCCTGAGCAGTCCCTCTCCTCAGTAGTAGGAGCTGAGGTGGGCGTGGGTGCCCGGGTGCCGTGGCATGGGCGTCCCTTGGTACAGCGCGGCGTTGGAGCTCCAGTACGGGGAGGCCGGGCTGAAGAAGCCGCCCGGGGACACGGGCACGGAGGTGGGGTGGGCGGACACGTACGGCCCCTTCGGCTGGTGGCTGTGGAACTGTGGCACGTAGGACATTTCGCTCTGGTACTTCAAGCCTCCCTCTGCTGCATGGCTCTGGTGCGCCGTGGAGATGCCCTGTGAGGTGTAGAGCGGGTTAGGAGGAGGTTTGGACTCAAAAAATATACTCAAATAAAAGTCAAGTAAAAGTATTAAAGTACATTTAATCATGTACTTAAAGAGTAAAAAGTAAAGTCTTATAAGTAAGTCTTTAAATTTCATTTTTGTGTCATTTTTGATACACATTTGTGTTGAATTGTGTGTGTGTGTGTGTATATATATATATATATATATATATATATATATATATATATATATATATATATATATATAATATATAGATAGATAGATAGATATAGATAGATACTGCACCGGCACCAGTTCAAATATCGGTTCAGTCGATATCTTGGTTGGTTCTGTCAATATTTTTGGTATTTTTGAGATACAAAACCAGCTGGAATTGAATCAATGTAAAGTAGAGTTGGTGAATGTCACACTGTGGAGGAGCAGGTGACGGACGCTCACCCTGAAAAGTTACACAATGCACCTTTAAATCCAAGGGGGACAGGGCCTTCTCTGTGGACGCTCTGGAAATTAACAAACACTTCTCTCTCTTCTTTTTGTTTTTTTTGATTCAACAGATTTAAAACCTGCCCTTCACGCCCTCTGCTGGTTGTTTAACAGAACACAGCCTTGACATTAGAAACATTTGGAAGTATAGATGTAGTGACGGTTACTGCTGCTTGGGTCAAGACCAAGACAAAACCAAGATTTTTAAAAAAAAGGTCTCAAGGCCGGTCTCGAGACCAAGACCAAGACCAGTCTGGAATACTACGACACTACTGATTACATCCTGATGTTTGGGATTATAAACCTCGGTCTACAGGAGGGAGTTTGAAGTGTACATACCTGTTCAACAAATCACAGCTACATTTAAACTTGATTTTGTTTTTAATAAGACAGAATAAAATGTAATAAAAAATCACGTCTCTCTTGCATTTAATGAATTTGTTGTGTTTTATTTACAATGTTTATTCTTTCTCTCCACAGATCTGGTTTGTAACTTGGCCCAGCTCCATAGAGACAGATCAATGTAATGACATAATGTGGGACCTTGCAGGGCTTTATTCCACCTTTAATAAAAGCCCAAATCAATTAAACCTAAATGTGATAAGATGAAGATTCAAACAAGCAAACAACAAACTCGATCCAGCAGCTCCCTCTGGTGGACAAACACAGACAATACAACATAGATCAGCGTTCATATGCTGTTGGCTTTTCTTTCTAAACTATCGACGGTGTTTAAGAGACCTAAGAGACCTGCGCTCTCTCTCTCCCGTACAGTTACAGGGTCTGTATAACTCTATGGGAGATCTGGAAAGAAATCTCTTATCGTCACTTCATCCACAAATGTTATTTGTTTATTTGTTTGGGATCGGCTCCACAAATGCCCTTTCATCTGACAACTATCATGTCCTTGGAGTTGAATTTCTATAGCTGCTGTAAGTGAACTAATGCCAGGCTGTGGAACATTCTGGACAAAGCAAAAACATCTTCATGGAGACAAGCAGCTGCTACCCCCCCACCAGAAAAGTTACACAGTGCATCTTTTAAAGGGCTATGTGTATCCTGTGCTCTTACAGATTAAAAAAGGATCATGAGTCTGTGTGTCCAGAGTCTTCACCTGCAGATAGAGACACATCCAAGTTTGTCTCATTCTCACTTTATGGACAAACCTCATGTGAAGCTCAAAACCTCCAGAATTCCCTCCCTGAGCTGCAGAGGCTGCACTAGCACTGACTCTGTGTTGGCTGCAGGAGCTGGGCTTTAGGTACATGTTTACCTCGTATCTGGGGAAGTCATGTCTGTGGAATTTTAAGTGTAATTAGACACTAAATCCACTTTGTTTGCTTCAAAAGTGTGTAGATGTTCTACTGTTGTTAATAGCACTGTCTACTGTCCCTAGTGCTTTTTGTGCAAACTACAGGTACATCTGCAGCTTTCTGGTAAAAAAAACAACAACAAAAAAAAACAACAAAAAAAACACCCAAATTTAAATTTGTGCTGCCTTCAGTGGCCTTTTTAATTTTGGTGTAATTTGGGTGTTTGAGTTTAAAATGTGGAAGCTTTTTCTTCCAGTGTGAAACCTTCACAAAAAGAAATTGCCAAAGAGCCTGAGGGCCTGTTAAAACAACTTCATATTTTATGGGAAGTGTCTTTTGTTTAGACGGTAACACCATTTTTGGGGCTTAAAAACACAAAAATCTGAAACCACCATCCAGAGTGTAAAAGTTGAATCTGCTCCAGTGTAGAGTTTCTGTTTACACTGCCCAAGACGCAAAACTCTGGTCAGATTTGCTCCCCCGCCCCTCCTCCCCCCTTTAATTCTCCAAGCTCCGCCCCTCCTACCCCCTCACTCCCCCTTTAGTCCTCCACCCTCTACCCCTCCTCCCCCCTCACTCTCGCTTTAATCCTCCAAACTCACCCCTCCTCCCCCCTTTTGTCCTCCAGACTCCGCCCCTCCTCCCCCTCGCTCTCCCCTTTAGTCCTCCAGACTCCGCCCCTCCTCCCCCCTCACTCTCCCCTTTAGTCCTCCAGTCCCGCCCTCCTCCCCCCTCACTCTCCCCTTTAGTCCTCCAGACTCCGCCCTCACTCCCCCTTTAGTCCTCCAGACTCCGCCCTCCTCTTCCCCTCTCACTCTCCCCTTTAGTCGTCCAGACTCCGCCCCTCCTCCCCCTTTAGTCCTCCAGACTCCGCCCTCCTCTTCCCCTCTCACTCTCCCTTTAGTTCTCCAGACTCCACCCCTCCTCCCCCTCACTCTCCCCTTTAGTCCTCCAGACTCCCCTCCTCCCCCCTCACTCCCCCTTTAGTCCTCCAGACTCTGCCCCTTCTCCCCCCTTTAGTCCTCCAGACTCCGCCCCTCCTCCCCCTCACTCTCCCTTTAGTCCTCCAGACTCCGTCCCTCCTCTCCCTCGCTCCCTTTTAGTCCTCTAGACTCCGCCCCTCCTCCCCCTCACTCTCCCTTTAGTCCTCCAGACTCCGCCCCTCCTCCTTCTCACTCCCCCTTTAGTCCTCCAGACTCCGCCCCCTCCTCCCCCTTTAGTCCTCCAGACTCCGCCCCCTCCCCCCCTTCACTCCCCCTTTAGTCCTCCAGACTCCGCCCCTCCTCCCCCTCACTCTCCCTTTAGTTCTCCAGACTCCGCCCCTCCTCCCCCTCACTCCCCCTTTAGTCCTCCAGACTCCGCCCCCTCACTCCCCCTTTAGTCCTCCAGACTCCGCCCCTCCTCCCCCTCACTCCCCTTTAGTCCTCCAGACCCGCCCCTCCTCCCCCTCACTCTCCTTTAGTCCTCCAGACTCCGCCCCTCCTCCCCCTCACTCCCCCTTTAGTCCTGCAGACTCCACCCCCTCCTTCCCCTCACTCCCCCTTTAGTCCTCCAGACTCCGCCCCCTCCTCCCCCTCACTCCCCCTTTAGTCCTCCAGACTCCGCCCCTCCTCCCCCTCACTCTCCCTTTAGTCCTCCAGGTTGTGTCCAGTTGAGCAGTTGTGTTTGAAATGTGCTTGTGGGTGGAGTTTGGGTGTTTAGTTGCACCTTCAGTGTGTCTTTTACCTGGAAGTCAAACTTGTAAGCGTATCTCTTGCCGTGCACTTTGGTCATGATGTTCTTGTCGTAGTAGTATCGCAGCGCGCGGCTCAGTTTGTCGTAGTTCATGTTGGGTTTGCTCTTCCTCTCGCCCCAGCGCTTGGCCACCTCGTCCGGGTCCGTCATCTTAAACTCTCCGTTTGTGCCCTCCCACGTGATGATCCCCGAGTTACTGCTGTCAGACAGGAGCTCCAACAGGAACTGCCACAGCTGGATCTGACCCGAGCCTGAGGAGAGGGGAGGAGGGGAGGAGGGGAGGAGGGGGAGGAGGGAGGAAGAGGAGGAAGACAGAGGAGAGAGAAGAGAGAGAGGAAGGAGAGGAGGAAGAAGAGGGGAAGAGATGAGGAGGGGGCAGATGGGGAGGGTAGAGGACAGGGGAGGGGATAGACCCAGAAAGGAGGAGAGGGAAGAGGAGAAATCAAGTTTATGAAATTTAAACTCTACATTTCAAGGTACAACATGTCATTTTGTGGAGGAGGCACGTCACCTCCACGTCACGTGATTCCATGTAGATAAATACATGTGATAACATACTGTGGAATATTCTAGAAATCTGTTCTATATATAGTAACAACTTCCCCATGGGAACAAGCAGGAGGAGGCCCTCCTCCAGGCCACAAACGAGTCAGGTTTGTGGAGATGCAAGCTCACTATCTATGTTTTTCAGAGCAATAAACACAAACATGAAAAACATGTTTTTATTTGAATGCTTCTTTGGCTAAAAAGTTACATACTGTTGCTTTAAGCCATTTGAAAATGTCTGGTTCTTACAGAAATGGGTCTAATGTCCAGCAGAGGGCAGTGGAGTTCTGCACTTAGTGATGTTAGTGACGTTATTCTCTTTGCCCCTCTTTGCATGACAAGTGTTTGGAGTATAGTGCAGTTGGTTAGTACATTTGAAGTATAGTTTATAGTGTTTCATTAGTACATTTGAAGTATACTTTATAGTATTTCGTTAGTACATTTGAAGTATAGTTTATAGTATTTCGTTTGTACATTTGAAGTATAGTTTATAGTATTTCGTTTGTACATTTGAAGTATAGTTTATAGTATTTCGTTAGTACATTTGAAGTATAGTTTATAGTGTTTCATTAGTACATTTCAAGTATACTTTATAGTATTTCGTTAGTACATTTGAAGTATAGTTTATAGTATTTTGTTTGTACATTTGAAGTATAGTTTATAGTATTTCGTTAGTACATTTGAAGTATAGTTTATAGTATTTCGTTAGTACATTTGAAGTATAGTTTATAGTATTTCGTTAGTACATTTGAAGTATAGTTTATAGTATTTCTTTAGTACATTTGAAGTATAGTTTATAGTATTTCTTTAGTACATTTGAAGTATAGTTTATAGTGTTTTGCTAATATATTTGAAGTGTAGTTTCGTTAGTACATTTGAAGTATAGTTTATACTATTTTGTTAGTACATTTGAAGTATATTTTATAGTATTTTGCTAGTATATTTCAAGTATACTTTATAGTATTTTGTTAGTATATTTGAAGTATAGTTTCATTACTATATTTGAAGTATACTTTATCGTGTTTCGTTAGTACATTTGCAAGTATACTTTATAGTTTTTCGTTAGTGCGTGGCTTAGTTTGCTTCTTGACTTGTTTTTAGTTGTTTTTAAACATGTACCTGGATTGGCCAGTCTGCTGCTGAGGGGCCCTAACGTCTGGTATGGATCTGTGGAGAGGGGAGCATTATAAATGACCACGAGGTGAAATGTGTAGATTTAAACTTGACTTGACTAAATCAGGACTAGACAGGGCTAAACTAGGACTAAACCAGGACACCACCAGGGCTAAACTAGGACCATACCAGGACTAATCCCACTAAACCAGGGCTGAATAACATGTATGGATTACCTTGGATGATTCTGGGAGCTGGTTCTGTCACTCGGCTGTGTTCTGTGGAGAGACACATTTATAGTACAATGAAATATGAGTTCAGTGTGTGTTTTTAGAACATGTAGCCAGAGGAGACGTGTACCTTTGGGCACTGGGGCCATGGTGCTGGACCAGCTGTTTCTGCGACTGACCTCATCAAATCCACTTTCTGTCAAAACATGAGAGAGATCAGGAGTCTAACCCACAACCTCCAACTGGGAAGCGACAGGATAACCACTCTGCCACAGTAACACAGGGAGAACACGGCCCTCAGAGAGCTCAGGAGTCTAACCCGCGACCTTCTCACTGAGAGGAGGAGACAGGATAACCCCTCTGCCACAGGCTTTGATGCTTGTGTGTTTTGACCCTGTCTTTTCACTCTTTTGTCCCTGGTTTCCTCCTTCTCCTCTGCATCTGTTTCCTCTGGATTTAACTGTTCACGGCTCCAGCCCTCCGCCTCAAACACTTCACATCAACAGATTTTAAAGACAGAAAGACAATTCAGTGTGGCTGCGATAAAACAGACGTTTAAGTGAGCGCTCATTTAGTTTCATCTGAGACCAGGCTCATATTCTGTGGCGCTTCAGTCCTGCTCCTGCTATAGTCTGGTTTAGTCCTGATTTAGTCCTGGTTTAGTCCTGGTTTAGTCCTGGTTTAGTCTTGGTCTGGTCCTGGTTTAGTCCTGGTTTAGACTTTCTTTAGTTCTTGTTTAGTTCTCGTTCAGTTCAGGATTAATCCTGGTTTAGTCCTGGTTTAGTCCTACTCTTGGTTTGCTCCTGTGTTAGTCCTAACTTAGTCATGGTTTAGTCTTGATTACGTCCTGGTTTTGCCCTTGCTACCTCCTGGTTTAGTCCTGGTTTAGTCCTGGTTCAGTCCTGGTTTAGTCCTGGCTTAGTCCTGGCTTACTTCTGGTTTAGATCTGTTTCAGTCCGGGTTTAGTCCTGGTTCAGTCCTGGTTTAGTCCTAGTTTAGTCCCAGTTTAGTCCTGGTTCAGTCCTGGTTTCGTCCTGGTTTACTCCTAGTTTAATCCCAGTTTAGTCCTGGTTTAGTTCTGATTCAGTCCTGGTTTAGTCCTGGTTTAGTCCCGGTTTAGTCCCGGTTTAGTCCCGGTTTAGTCCTGGTTCAGTCCTGGTTTTGTCCTGGTTTAGTCCTGGTTTACTCCTAGTTTAATCCCAGTTTAGTCCTGGTTTAGTTCTGATTCAGTCCTGATTTATTCCTGGTTTAGTCCTGGCTCAGTCCTGGTTTAGTCCTGGTTTAGTCCTTGTTTAGTCCTGGTTCAGTCCTAGTTTAGTCCTGGTTTAGTCCTGGTTTAGTCCTAGTTTAGTCCCGGTTTAGTCCTGGTTTAGTCCTAGTTTAGTCCCGGTTTAGTCCTGGTTTAGTCCCGGTTTAGTCCTGGTTTAGTCCCGGTTTAGTCCTGGTTTAGTCCTGGTTTAGTCCCGGTTTAGTCCTGGTTTAGTCCTGGTTTTTAGTCCTGGTTTATCCTGGTTTAAGTCCTGGTTTTAGTCCTAGTTTAGTCCCGGTTTAGTCCTGGTTTAGTCCTGGTTTAGTCCCGTTTTAGTCCTGGTTTAGTCCTGGTTTAGTCCCGGTTTAGTCCTGGTTTAGTCCCGGTTTTAGTCCTGTTTAGTCCTGGTCCTTTAGTCCTGGTTTAGTCTAGTTTAGTCCCGGTTAAGTCCTGGTTTAGTCCTGGTTTAGTCCCGGTTTAGTCCTGGTTTAGTCCTGGTTTAGTCCCGGTTTAGTCCTGGTTTAGTCCTGGTTTAGTCCTGGTTTAGTCCTGGTTCAGTCCTGGTTTTGTCCTGGTTTAGTCCTGGTTTACTCCTAGTTTAATCCCAGTTTAGTCCTGGTTTAGTTCTGATTCAGTCCTGATTTATTCCTGGTTTAGTCCTGGCTCAGTCCTGGTTTAGTCCTTGTTTAGTCCTAGTTTAGTCCTGGTTTAGTCCTGGTTTAGTCCTAGTTTAGTCCCGGTTTAGTCCTGGTTTAGTCCTAGTTTAGTCCCGGTTTAGTCCTGGTTTAGTCCTGGTTTAGTCCTGGTTTAGTCCCGGTTTAGTCCTGGTTTAGTCCTGGTTTAGTCCTTTTTTAGTCCTGGTTTAGTCCTGTTTGTGTAGTTTGTATAGTGAAATGGTAGAGTGGTTCAGACCTGCTTTGACCTGCAGTCGTGGCTGGGGCGTGGTACTCGCTGGAGTCGAGGGGTACGAGAACGTGGGACTGCCTGAAAAACAAAGATCACTCTATTAAGAACACTGAGAAGAGTCCAAATATTCTCTTCCACTTTGTGATGTCATGTCGTGTCATGCAGTAGTTCTTGTAGTTTTCAAGTTTTACCTTTTGTTCAGTGAAAGGTGTATGGAGTTTAAAAACATAGTGGAGCATTTCCTGTTTTACCACATGACATCACAAGTTGGAACACAGTATTTTCCTTTTGAGAGTCAAACATGTGTGAATGAAACAGAACACAACTCCAGGTCTGTTTGTCATGAGGAAACGTTATAAAATATGGGTCATTTAAGCAGCAGCACCTATGGTACTGTTGTGTTCTTGGGCAATACACTTAATCGCCTTTAGTATAAATGTGGAAATAAAAATAAATAAACTATATTAAATTCCCTGCATTACATTTTTCTACATGTATCTGAGTATAATATGTCTTGCCCCAGTACAGATATATTGTTTAAGCAGCTCTTGAGGTTAAAATAAGTTTTCTTTTTACTGACTGTGTCTATTTATAAGTGTTTTATTGACTCATTCATCATTTTTTTCTTAAAACATTTCCGTAACTGAAACTTTAAGAAGAGGCTGAGAGAACTTTGCCCCAGATTCACAAAACGTTCTTAAGCAGACAAACTTATTCTTAAGAGACAGTGGTGCCAAATTCACCAACACTGAGCTACAAACACCTCCACACTCATTTACATAGAAAATTAACATGTATTTATTTAAAAAACCCTCTGAACTTCTAAATATGGCCAGTATGGGTTTGTTATTATGAAAGATCGAGGGAGAGAGTGATGAGGAGGTGAGCGTCTACAGACTACGACTGTTTTACACCTTCAGCGCAAACTCACATGAACACACTCAGGGAGGAAGTTTGAAGTCATACACTTATTGAAATAAGCAGCAATGGGACTTTCATCATATTTATCGCGCTGTGACAGAGGCCGTATGGAGGCACTGTGGCTGGGACAGACTGAGGCTCACTGCAGCCTGGAGAATGTCCAGTTAGACCAATAGACACAGACTCCAGAAAACTCCTCAGAAATGTTACTGGATCACACAGTCATATGTTTATAGGAAATAATTTAAGAAAATACATAACTTACAATCATGGAGGAATTAGAATTTTTTTGCATTATTAGAGTAATAATATTCTAAAACAGTAGAATTTTTGTTCTTATGAGTGCTCCTGACTGTTTGTAGGATTTGTTCTCCCAGAAGAACATTTTCGCATGAGAAAAAGTTTTGTGAATGCCACAAATGTTCGTAAGAAGGTACCGTGAATGAGGCCCAAAGTTATTAAGAACCCCATATAAATAATTACTGAAAACTCCACTCTGGTCTCTTTCTTTAGACAATAGAAAGTGATTTTCCACATTAAATCATAGTATTTTCTTGGTCTTATATGTGTGTAATGGTCAGTGGTGCAGTAGATTCATAGTGTCCATGTGTGTGTACTAGTCTATGTGTCTTCTACTTGTTCTGATACAGCTCAACATCATTCTAAAGACATTGAGGAAAAGCAAATTTTTGCCCTCAGAATGTGACTTTTTTTTTTGTAGTAATACCTGCTCAAACGAGTATCCAGTTTTAATATTAGTTTTAATATAGATTAGTATCCAATATTTGATACTTTTGACAACCACATTATATAATCTCTGTGTGTGTGTGTGTATATGTGTATGTATATATGTATATATTATATATATATATATATATATATATATATATATATATATATATATATATATATATATATATATATATATATATGATGAAGATATACAAAGTCTATGGTTATGTAAAAGGTCTAAACAGGAGCGTGCGGTGAACACAGGAAGTGTGCAGTAAAGAACAGGAAGTGGTCAGCGCTGACACAGTTTTGCCCCGCCCACTTCCTTCTCCACACGAAAAACACAAATCTGAAAGGGCAACCCCGACGTAAACAAAGACACTGAATCAAAGTGAGCTCCTGCTTTTGCTGCTTTAGATTTGCTGCAGAGTGATTTAATTCATTTTTTACCATTTTAAGTTCATTGAATATAGGCAAAATAAATTAAAACATGTAAGTCAAATGGTAAAAATGGTTTCAAATGCCAAATTTTATTTGGTTGCCATCATAAGTTATCTCAAAATATCTCAAAGTATCTCAAAGTACTGGTCTGAGGAAGTGGAGTTTATACTGTGCTGGGAGCAAAATACTAAAAACTACTATTATAGGGTGAGCAGACGTCCCTGTTTACCCAAGACAGTCCCAGTTTTGAGCCCTGTGTCCCCTGTCCCAGCAGATTTCTACAAAACCACAAATTTGTCCCATTTGTCCCTATTTTTGACCAATTTGTTACCCACCAACAGTAAAGACAGGACAGATTGTCATTTGTTAAGATAAAACACAGAAAACTGTAACTGAAAATGGTAGAGACAGACGTCCCTCGGATTGTGACCGACCCACAAATGAGACGAGAATGGACAATGTTACGCACTCTTTTCAGTTTTATTTACATCAGCCATCCCAACTCGAGTGTGTCCCAGTTTTGAATTTTGAAAATCTGCTCACCCTACACTATCAACCACATTCATATATAAAAGAAAGTACTGTTATTTAATGTTGAAAGCCACATTCTAATGTCCAAAGAAGTACTGAGTCTGTTCCTTAGTATCAAAATTGAGTTTATGTTGTATGTTGTATGTTGTGGTGTTGTTGTTGTATGTTGGGGTGTTTGTTGTATGTTAGGGTGTTGTTGTATGTTGGGGTGTTTGTTGTATGTTGGGGTGTTGTTGTTGTATGTTTGTTGTTGTATGTTGTTGGGTGTTGTTGTATGTTTGGGTGTTTGTTTTGTATGTGTTGGGGTGTTGTTGTATGTTGTTGTTAGAGTGTTGTTGTTGTACACTGGGGTGTTGTTGTATGTTAAAGTGTTTGTTGTACGTTGGGGTGTTTGTTGTACGTTGGTTTATTGTTGTATGTTGGGGTGTTGTTGTATGTTGAGGTGTTTGTTGTGTGTTAGGGTGTTGTTGTACACTGGGGTGTTGTTGTTGTTTTGTGTTTGTTGTGTTGGGGTGTTTGTGTATGTTGGGTGTTTGTTGTTGTTGTGTGTTTGTTGTATGTTGTTGTGTTTGTTGTTGTTGTATGTTGTTGTTGTGTTGTTGTATGTTAGAGTGTTGTTGTACACTGGGGTGTTGTTGTATGTTTAGGGTGGTTGTTGTAGTTGTTTAGGGGTGTTGTTGTTGTTGTATGTTAGGTGTTGTTGTTGGTGTTGTGTTGTTGTTGTATTGTTGTATGTTGGTGTTGTTGTATGTGTTGTATGTTGTTTGTTGTAGGGTGTTGTTGTATGTTTGTTGTATGTTGGGGTGTTGTTGTATGTTGGGGTGTTGTTGTATTGTTGTATGTTGGGGTGTTGTTGTATGTTGGGGTGTTGTTGTATGTTAGGGTGCTGTTGGATGTTAGAGTGTTTGTTGTATGTTGGGGTGTTGTTGTACGTTGGTTTATTGTTGTATATTGGGGTGTTTGTTGTTGTTGTGTTGTTGTATGTTGTTGTTGTTGTTGTTGGGTGTTTGTTGTTATGTTTATGTTGTGTTTGTTGTTGTATGTTAGGGGTGTTGTTGTATGTTGTTGTATGTTGTGTGTTGTTGTATGTTAGGGTGTTGTTGTATGTTAGTGTTGGTGTTGTTTGTATATTGGTGTTGTTGTTGTTGTGTTGTTGTATGTTGTTGTTATGTTGGTGTGTTGTTGTATGTTGGGGTGTTGTTGTATGTTGGTGTTGTGTTTTGTTGTATGTTGGGTGTTTGTTGTTGTATGTTTAGGTTGTGTTGTTGTATGTTGGGGTGTTGTTGTATGTTAGGGGTGTTTTGTTTGTTGTATGTTAGGGTGTTGTTGTATGTATGTATGTTGGGGTGTTTGTTGTATGTTGGGGTGTTTGTTGTATGTTAAGGTGTTTGTTGTATATTGGGGTGTTTTGTTGTTGTGTTGTTGGTTGTGTGTTGTTGTATGTTGTATGTTGTTGTGTTGTTGTTGTATATTGGGGTGTTTGTTGTATGTTGAGGTGTTTGTTGTGTGTTAGGGTGTTGTTGTACACTGGGGTGTTGTTGTATGTTATCATGTTGTTGTATGTTAGAGTGTTGCAGGTGTTTCATCTTCTGTTGGAGGTAGTTGAAGTGAGACAGTAAGATATCAGGTTCATGATGTCGTCTTTGTGTGTCGTTATGTTGTATGTTAGCATGTATGTATGTTAACGTGCTGCGTATTTGTGTATTCGCGTGTAGTGTGTGTTTCGTACTCTGTTGGAGGTAGCTGAGGTGTGACAGCAGGATATCAGCGTTGTAAGGCGAGGTCAGGTTCATCATGTCTTCTTTGCTCATTTTACACAGAGACTTTCCGTCCAAACCCTGGAACAGAACCACGTCCACCTCCTCCAGGACGTACTCCTTTATGGCCCAGTCCAGCCACTGCCGCACGTGCTCCTGACTCCACACCTCCGGGTCTGAGAGGGCGACGAGAGAGAGAGGAGGGAGACGGGTGGTAAGATAAAGGAGGGGGGTAGATGGGGAGAGAGGGAGAAACATCTGTCAGTCACTTCTTCAACTGTCATAACTAAGGGTGTGGAAAAATATAAAAATATCGATATAATGTATTTTTTTTATGGCTGGATAAGGTTCTTTCATTTAAAACACACATTGACTCTGTTATCAAAAAAGTGAATTGTAATTTAAGTCAGTTATACCATTCAGCTAAGTGTTTCACCCCACCGGTAAGGAAAAGAATAATTATGCAACTAGTATTACCCAGAATCGATTATGCTGATATTATCTATCAAAATACAACTAACTCTCACCTATGTCCTCTGCATGTCACCTTCAATAGTTTGTGTAGATTCATTTTGCAATGTCCATATCTCACTCATCATTGTATTCTGTATGAAACTCTGGATTGGTTACTTCCTGATGCAAGAATGCACTTTCACTGGTTTCAGTTCATCTTTAAATGCATTTTTCTTTTCTGTCCATCTTACCTCCAACAATACTTTGTTCCATTTTCATCACAATACTCCCTCAGACAATTAGACCATCCTTCCTTTGTAATACCCAAAGACGAAGAGCGTTCAGATTCAAAGCACCATCAGACTGGAACAACTTACCAAACTCTCTGTGCTCCACATCATCATTCCATATCTTTAAGAAAGACTTATTCATTCATCTTAAAACACAATGTGATGCTTTTAGTGAGGGATCTGTTTGCTTGTTATATTAACGTTTCTCTATGTTTATGTTTAATGTCTGTTTGTGTCTTTGTATTCTGTCTTATTGTTCTGTGTTTCTGTTTATTAGATATGTTGTTTTGTTTTTGTTTGTATTTTTACGACTTGTTGTTGTATTCTTTGGATGCTAAGGAAAATGAGGTGACTCACCTCAAGGGGCTTTTCCTTAATAAAATAAACGTATATGATACAGTATTGATATTGTGGGCTGCTGTATCAATATACCGCCAAGAGTACTTTTTGATATATTTTACTCAATTATTTTGTTATAGCACTACATTTTATTTTATTATTATTATTTTATTATTTTTTTTGTTTGTTTGAGCAAAGTACAATAAAACAAGGATATTAGGTACATGTGCATATTTGGGACTTGGTGCTCAAAAGTAGTAATAAGTTTAATAAACTCATAGTGTCCTACCCTGACTGTTTTACATAATCACATGGTTTATACTTTTTTTTAACAGCTTTGGAATGTTTACCTGTCGTATGCAGTACATAAATATACACATGTAAATATACATATATACACACACACATATACACATACGCATCTAAAATATCCAGTACATATATCCAGTATATCAGGGGTCTCCAACCTGTAGCTCGGGAACTTCCAGTAGCTCTCCACCCCCTTCCAAGTAACTCACCAAAGGATTTCTGAATTACACATACTGCGGTGAATGACTCAAATTTGATGAAATATATGATTCTGATGTCTAACTGTGTGTACTATTAAATGCATAAAGGTTTATGTTTTATAGGTAAGTAAGTCTTTATTTAAATAGCGCTTTTCAGATTCATTATTATTATTTTTCTCCACACCTGGTGATGGTAAGCTACTATTGTAACAAATTTTTACAACTAGCGCCCAGTGGTCTCCCATCCAAGTACTAAACAGGCCCAGCCTTGCTTAGCTTCTGAGATCTGACGGGATCAGGCTTTGGCGAGCCAGTATGGCTACGACTGGTATTGAACTGTTCCCCATCTGAACAGTAGACACAAACAGAAGACACAAAAGTCTGAACAGAAGACACAAAAGTGGCATCGCGACTTCACTTTTTACTCCACGTTCAGACAAGCATTTTCGAGAGGAAATCTGCGTGCATACGGTGATGCAAAAGTGAGTGGAATTTGACTGGGTATGCATGCCAAGCGTCTCAGTGGTGACGCTAGGTGGTGATATATATGTATATGACGTAAACGTGTACGAGTAGTGAGCAGATTTGACCAGAGTTTTGAGTCTTGGGCAGTATAGCGTATTCAACTTTTCCACTCTAGAGGGTGCTTTTTACAGTTTTTTGCATTTTTAAGCCCCTAAAATGGCATCACCGTCTAAACGAAAGACACTTCCCATAAAATATTTAGTTGTTTTTACCTGCAAGCGTTCTCGTGTAAACAGACCCTCAGGCTTTTCTATACTAAGCTTTTTGTGACTGCTAAAATGAGTAGCTCTTTGGCAATTTCTTTTTGTGAAGGCATCTCACTGGAAGAAAAAGGTTGGAGACCCGTGCAGTATATATATACATACATACACATACATACATACACATAACACATATATACATACATGCACAAATATATTTTCATTCATGGTTGTACGAACTAATAATAATAATAATAATAATGAAGTCACAAAGTTTATCGTTTATGATCGTACAAAATAAACAGTAATGAGAATGAAAAATGTAAGGATTTTTTGTTTCTGTTTACGATCGTACAAACTAATAATAGTGATGAAGAAGGCACTAAAGTTCACCGTTTATGATCACACAAAGTAAACAGTGATAATGAAAAAAGTCATGATTTTGGGTTTAATTTATGGTCGTATAAACTAATAGCGATGATAAAGAAGGCACAGAAGTTTATGATCATACAGAATAAACAACACTGAGAAAAAATAAATAAAAAATCAGTGTTGCTTGTTTTGGGGAAGAAAATTCATTTATGCGACACATTTGACATTTTTACAGTTTTGATGATTAAAATTTGTGTTTTTTTTATATTCACTTTGCACAAGAAGTGGTTTAAACAAAGACTTTTAGTATCACAGCCATGATTTAGCTTTTATTTTGTATTGAACCGTGTCGAATTGATCTGAAATATATCGTATCAAATTGAAAGCTCACTGTGTTGAAATGTATCGTATCGTGGCCTGTTTATCGAGGTCTGTATCATAACTTCTAAATGATACCCGGCCCTAGTCATAAGTACTGTTCTGAACTTAACTACACTGCCACAGCCGCCCTGGGGCACACTGACGGACACGATGCTGCCATTCTGCCCCATCCTACCAACAATACGCACCACATTCATACTAGGCAATGTGCTATTTGGACACAGATAACAACACTGCAAAAAAGCTTGGCCAAAATGTAAGATATAAACATTTAAATGTATCAGAGAAAGACTTAAAAGTAGTGAAATGATCTGTCCATGCAGCAAGATCATTTGACTTGACAAGTGCTCTATCAAGTTATGCAAATTTCTCTGATCTGACCAAGATTTTAAAACTTATATCAGGTTATTCATCTTGTTTTCAGATTTATTATCTACTTACTAAACCAGAGACAGCTTCATTCTAGTCTAGAGGTCATTTATTTTAAGAGAACTTGTCAAGTAAAATGATCTGTCCGTGCAGCAAGATCATTTATTGTATGAAAGATGTTAAATTGTGATGTGTGAGCTAATGTGTCCAAATCATTTTCCTTGTGGATCAGTAAAGTTTGTCTAAGTCTGTTACACAATTTTTAAAGTAATTTTCTGATCAATTTAAGTGTTTATAAATGTTTTTGCAGGGTCAATAAGTAGCAGAAATGGCACGAGACTGATGTCAAATAAGGCTTAATTCTATAAATGTACAAGTAAAATATAGTAATAAAATAGATCTCAGCTATATGTAACAGGGTGGACTGATATTCTCAGTGGTCTCCCATCCAAGTCCTAACCAGCCCTGAAACCACCCTGACATCACTGATCTTTGAAATGCAATAAGACAAGATTACTCCAAAAAACAATATAAAAATCAAATCTTACAGAAATACCAAGAGGACTAGATCTATTGTCCACAACGATTACTGTAATTTTCTCAAAAATTGACATTTGTATTAATTCTGGTTGTGCTTACTGACCTCGAACCAATTTTATGTGATACACGGTCTAAACCAGGACCAAACCAGGACTAATCTTGCACTAGAACTTGGAAGCGCCTTGCAGACAGGGTGTCTGTAAAGCGCGATCGGGCGTCAGCTGCAGTTAGCCCCGTGGTGCGTGGAGTTCTGCACTGGTCCTTTCGCCCACAGTTACCTCACAATCCAGCGTTTCACCACTGCTGATATTATTTGATTTTAGCAAATTTGCATGAAGAAAAATGAAAAACCCACCACTTCAATCCAGGTTAAAAATCATAGTAACACGCATGACTCACATTTGTACTGAGTAAAATATTACAATTTTTTTCCCTGTAATGCCACATTACTGCGTTACAGCAAAAAGCAACACATTACAGTAACTCGTTACTTTCATAACACGTTACTCCCAACACCGATTATTAGTTTGTATGACCATAATACAGTGCAATACAAAAATAAGAAAAAAATAAAGAAATTGGGTTCAAATGATATTTAGTATGCATAGTATGTAACTTCTTTTGCTATATTTAGATATTTGTAAAGTTCTGTCATCAATGTACAGAAGCAACTACATCATTTTTTAATTTTTGAAACTGTCATGAACAGAGGTGGGTTAATCTAAGTATTTTTCTTCTTCCCTCTCCTTTTCCAGAAATGTGCTTTTCTCTTGTTTACAGTGTGTATGTAGTATGTCTATGATTATTGTTGGTCTCTTGGCACAAACTCAAAATAAAAACAGATCAAATCAAATAAGTTGCTTGCTCAAGGAAACAACAACAATATGGAGTGAGTCAGAGCAGGAATTAAACCCCAAACCCAGTGCCACCCAGCGTCCAGAGCTGTGTGAACCACCTTCATGACGTCACGGTTTACATTTCTGAGAAAAGCGACGGACACGTCTCCTGCTGAGTATAGGCTGAGAGAATTACTCCAAATAAAGTCTTCTCTCCGAGTCCCACTTTTCCAAACTTTACTGTTAGTTCAGTGTCACCGTCAGCTGCGGGAAACTCCACCTGACTCACAGCTGACGGTGTCACTGAACTAACCGTAAAGTTTGGAGTTGTCCCTGAATGCCTCACGTCTCAGTCCTTCACT